AAAAGAATTCATACCAACAGAAATTGAATTCCCAAAGTGTTGGGGTGGGGCGAACATCAAAGATAGGTGTCATTTATCCTGCAGTGTCTTTAATTTAGCGATGTAACTAATCATATAGCCCCAAGCCAGGTCAAATCTTTCAGGGGTCCCCCTCAAATTGTATTTAATTTTTTCCAGGTCTAAGTGCAGCATCAAGTCCTTAAGCCAGACAGAGGCTTTGGGGGCAAATGGTGACTTCCACTCCAGTAATATTCTTCTGCGTGCTAGAAGAGAAGCAAAGGCGATGCTATCCTTAATTTTTCTCTCTATTTTTTGACATTCTGGTAGTACTCCAAAGATAGCCAATTCTGCGCAGGGCCTCAGTTTTGTGTTAAGTGCTTCTGTAAGGTGTTTAAAAACAGCTGTCCAAAAGGCTTGCAGACAGGGACAGGACCAAAACATGTGGGTCATGTTTGCTGGCGACAGGTGACATCTGTTGCAGCTATCTGTGATACTGGGGTAAATCTTAGACAATTTGGAATTGGTAAAATAGATACGATGAACAACCTTAAATTGTATCAGATTAAGCCTGGAGCAAGACGAAATTTTGGAAATGAGGCCTTTCTGATTTGTGGGAATGCTCAAAATGGAGTCAATGACTGAGTTAGGTGGAATATTGGGAAAACAGGTGCTGTTTGATTTCACAAAGTTACGGACCTGGAAGTAACGGAATAGGTGGGAATTTGGAAGGTTAAATTTTTTGCACAGTTCACTGAAGCTAGGAAAGATGTTATTAATGTAGAGGTCACTTACCCTAACAAGACCTGAGCTCTGCCATAAAGAGAACGCATTATCGGTTCTAGGAGGGAGAAAGAGATGATTATTTTGTATGGGGCTATGATTAGACAATCCTTTGAGTCCAAAAGAACATCTGAATTGGGACCAGATTTTTAGGGTGGAGATGACGATTGGATTAGAAGTATATAGGGACGACTGAAAAGGCAATTTTGATGTGAGTAGAGCCAGGAGTGAAGTAGAGCACGCTTTAGTCTCTAACTTAAACCAATCTAGCTCAGGTTCCCGAATCCAGAGAGTCATTTTGTTTATATTAGCTGCCCAATAGTAAAATCTTAGATTAGGGAATGACAAACCGCCAATAGACTTATGTCTCTGCAGAAATTCTCCCCTAATCCTGGCAGTCTTGCCTTTCCATATAAAAGATGAAATTAATTTATTTATAGCACGAAAAAAAGAGTTGGGTAGAGAGACTGGCAAACATTGGAACAGATACAGAAATCGTGGGAGCACATTCATTTTGATACAGTTTACCCTGCCAGCTATGGATATATGCAAGTTACTCCACCTTTCCAGATCAGATTTAAGTTTGTCTACTAAAGGTGGAAAGTTGATTTTATAAAGATCTGAGATCTTACGACAGATATGGACACCTAGGTACTTAAAACTGTTTTTAACAAATTTAAATGGGAGAGAGACAGCTGGAGTTTCCAAGGCCGTGTCATTAATAGGGAAGCATTCACTCTTCAATTTAATTTATACCCAGAAAATTCTCCAAAAACATTCAACAAATCGATTATTTTAGGGATGGTGGTTACTGGGTCTGAAACAAATAATAATAAATCATCCGCATACAAGGAAAGAGCATGCCTTGAACCCCATCTGTGGATTCCTTGATTAAAGCTAGCCAATTTAAGTGCAATCGATAATGGTTCTATCGCTAAAGCAAATAGCAACGGACTCAAAGGGCAGCCTTGACGGGTTCCCCTGTTAAGAGTAAAATATTGAGATTTCACCCCATTAGTAATAACTGAAGCTTTGGGGGAAGAATACAGAAGTGAGATCCAGGATATGAATTTAGGTCCGATGGAAAATCTCTTTAAGACCTCCAGCAGATAGCTCCACTCCACTCTATCAAAAGCTTTCTCTGCATCCAGGGAGACCACCACTTCTGGTGTCTCCCCAGACGCAGGAGAGGAGAGAATGTTGAGGAGGCGGCGGATATTGGGGAAGGAGTATCGGTTTTTCATGAACCCGGTTTGGTCAGGTGAAATGATGCTTGGCATTATCAATTCAAGGCGTGAAGCCAGTGTCTTTGCCAGAATTTTATAATCAGCATTTAAGAGGGAGATGGGATGGTAGGAGCCCCACTCTGATTCTACTTTACCCGGTTTTAACAATAGGGTTATTGATGCCTCAGTGAGAGTTTGGGGTAAGGCTCCCCGATTTAAAGCATCGTTAAACATATCTAGAAGGAGAGGGATTAATTTGTCAGCAATTTTTTTAAAAAATTCAATAGGGTAGCCATCAGGGCCAGGAGCCTTGCCACTTTGCATTAGTTTAATTGAGTCTTTTATCTCACTGAATTCTAGAGGCTTATCCAGTTCGCTCTTCTGGGTAAGAGACAAAAGGGGGAAGTTTTGATTGTCCAGGAAGCTCATCATATTTGTTTTGTCGGGTGGGGATTGTGAAGTATATAATTCAGAGTAAAAGGTTTTAAAGGTTTCATTTATGACAGATGGTATCACTGTGAGATCACCTGAAGGGGTTCTAATCTGTTTAATTTGCTGGGATGCTGTTTGACTTTTAATTTGACATGACAGGTGGCGTCCTGCCTTCTCACCATGTTCATAAAGGAATCCACGTGACCTTAAGAGTAATTTTTCTGTTTCCTGTGTTGACAGCAACTTATAGTCCAATTGAAGGTTTTGTCTCTCCTTTTCCAATTCTGGGGATGGATGGGTTGATAATTTTCTGTCCAATTCTGTTATCTTTTCCATGAGTTGATCCTGTTTTTGTCTCTTTACTTTATTTATTCTTGCAGAATAGGATATAATCTCTCCTCGAACAACTACCTTTAATGTTTCCCACAGTAAGGATGGGGAGATGAGGTCAGACTTGTTGGTAGCAATATAATCATCGATTACCTTGGAGATTGTTTGACAGAAGTCATCATCATTTAGCAAAGTGCTTTTCAATCTCCATGAAGGGCGCGTCTTTTGCAGGAGTACAAATGAAAGGTCAAGAAGTAGAGGAGCATGGTCTGACACTACTATCGTTGAATATTCTGTATTATTAACAGCAGGAATAAAATAATTATCAATGTAAAAATAGTCAATTCTGGAAAATGTTTTATGAACATGAGAGTAAAAAGAAAATTGTTTTTTATTAGGATGGAGAAAGCGCCATGGATCCACAGCTCCAATTTGATCCATAAAAAATGTAATTGCTTTACCAAATTTAGAGGGAGAGTCCTTTCGTGGGCATGATTTATCCAGAAAGGGGTTAATTGTGCAATTCAGATCACCTCCAAAAATCAGGTGGTGGGAAGTTAGGTCAGGTAAAAGTGAGGTTACTTTCTCGACAAATGCCTCATCATCCCAATTGGGTGCATAGAGATTAACTAAAACGACAGGTACATTAATAAGGGTCCCTGAGACAATAATAAACCGGCCCTGGTGATCGGCTGTAACTTTTGTAGGGTAAAACTGTATCTTTTTGTGTATCAAGATCGCTACACCCCTTGCTTTACTACCAAAATTGGAGTGGAAACTTTGGCCCACCCATGAAGCCTTTAACCTATGGTGATCCTTAGCGATCAGATGTGTCTCCTGGATGAAAGCAATTTCCGCTTTAAGATGCTTCAAGTGAGAAAAAACTCTACCCCGTTGAACAGGACCATTGATTCCTTTGACATTCCAAGAGACAAATCTCAGACAAGATCTCCCTGTAGTGTTAGGCATAGCAGACTAGTAGGAATATGGCAAGAAAAAGCATTGATTCATTGAAGGATATAGTGCTGAAACCCCACACAGAAATAAAGATAAAAACAAATATGTAGGATTTCCCACCCCATTGCCCAAAAACAAAAACCCTAAAAACAAGAAACAGATAAAAATAAAAAAACCTATACCTCCCTAAGCTTGACCTATGAACACAGACAAGCAGCGGGACTCCATAGACTCTGTTACTTCCGTGTGACATAACTAAGCAAAACCCTAACCAGCGGGCGAGACTCCAATATCTGAAAGTGACTACAATGTATACAATGTGCAGAGTGATTATATGTATATATGGAAAATAAATAAATAAATAGAAATAATAATTTAAAAAAAAAAAAAAACGACAATAATAATAATAATAATAATAATAATAAATGATAATAATAATAATATGTAAATAAAAAATAGGGAATTATGACAAAGGAGGAGAAAGAAAAAAATTGCAATAAAGTTAATACATAAATAAAAAGTACAGGAGAGAAAGAAAGAAAAAAAAATAATAATAAAAAATAAATTATAACAAGAAAAATAATTTTTTAAAAAAAGGGATATATAGTTAGCTGCACCAAGACACAACAGCATACATGTTGTAAAGGATTAACCAAAGTAGGCCCTTGTTCTTACAATTTGTCTATATAGAACTAGAAGGGAAAAAAAAAGAAAAAGTGAAAAAAAAATGTTGACTTCCCTTAGGTCTTAGGGGGATGAAAAGCAATATACAGCAGTATGCATGCTGTTAAGGGTCAACCAAAAAACAGCCCCTTGCTTTTAAATCTTGTCCACGTAAAACTTAAAAAAGGAAATGGACCAAATTAATAACTTAGAAGTAAGTCTATTCGGGGAAAGGAAAGCAATATATGACAGTATATATGCTGAACACGATCAGCCAAAATAGCCCCTTGTACTTACATTTCAACAGAATAAAACTTTATCCCAAATGCAACTAGAAAAAATATTAAGATAGTTACCTAATAACTAAAACTATTAGGCAAAAAGAAAGCAGTCTATGACGGTATATACGAGCCTATTACAATGAAAGGGCAGACTGACATTCAAACACTTGTGTCAGTGTCTCACCGGAACAGCTGTGAGTGAGTACCGGTGACCAGACATTGCCGTGAACCGGGTCCTCGATAAGTCCCCTAGTCGGTGGAAGCGATGCGCTGGTTGTAGAAATCCTGGGCTTTCTGTGGAGAGTCAAAGTGGAAGCTCTCGTTGCGGAGCCAGACCTGGGGCCTGTTCTAGGAAGCAGGATTGCTGCTTAGCGAGGTAACTTCAAGGATAAGTTTGGGGTTTCCTGTTCTACGACTCGGGTTCACTTCTTAGCGAGGCGAGTCTCCATAGCAATATACGCTGAACGGCTAACCTGCTCCGGGGCAGGTTAAATTCCAGATTGAACTCACCGAGTATAAAAACCCCGCCCACTGACCAATGAGCTCTCTCGAAAAACGGCTTGTCCGTTCTTGGAGGATCCTGTAGACCTCGGTGCTCGCATTGTCCGAGGAGCACTCCGGCTCGCGAGAGTTTTCAGGGAGAGTTTTCTCCGGATGACCACCTTTATGAAAGGCTCATATGGCCGACATATTACACAAAACATGTAAACACGATAGGAATGAACAAATGAATGATTCATCTTGGGAATGAATGGGCATGGGCTGCGCGATCACAGACAACATCTCGGTACTATTTAGTAGCAGCGCACGCCCCTTATAATAACCCCGTAAATACTGTTCTTCAGGACTGCTTACTTGTGCTTCCTACCCAGTGTAACAACCGTTGTTCTTGCCCACATGCAACAGTTTTGTTCTCATTCATGAAACGCTTAAATCAGGGACATTTTCGGGGACAGCTTTAGCCGGGGACAGATCATCCAATTTGGGGACTGTCACCTTAGTTAAAAGCGCATGTTGAACAGTGCTTTTTCAGGGTGATAATGGCATCAAAGATTACTTTTCCGCCAGCATTCCCTCCGTGATTTTGCAGCGGCGACGGTGTTGCTTTTGAGGTTTGTGATAGCTTTGAATTCTTCATACTTTCTCATGATCGTCTCCTGTTCCTCGTTTGTAAAGTCCGCGGTCCTTTGCTCTCCTGCCTGCTCTGACGCTCCAGACTGATCCATGTTCGCGATTGGTCAGATGCGGCGGGCTCCGCCTTATATGCGTGCACGCGCTCATAGCAGAGCTGGATCCACTTATGAGGTTGATAACCAGCGTCGAAAAACCGCTCAGCGAGACCACTGGCTACCGCGCTAAGATGAGCGAGGTAGCTCCAAGGCTACCTCGCTAGGTTGAACCTGCTTCGTAGAACAGGCCCCTGGAGCCGGGCGGGATGTAGCAGCCGGAACTTTACTCCTTTCAGGTAGAGGGAGTTCTTGACAGGGTTGAACGCAGCCCGCTTTTTAGCCAGGTCCGGGCTGATGTCAGGGTAAACTCTCAGCTCAGAGCCGCGATATTCCATCTTGTGTTGTCTGGCCCATCGGAGAACTTTTTCTTTTTCTTGGAAACGGAGAAATTTGACGAGGAAAGCTCTGGGTTTCCCCGCGCTGCCGTCACCTGTTCTGGAGCCGGGGGAGCGATGAGCTCTTTCTATTTCGGGGGGGCTGCTGAGGACATCGGGGCCCACCACGGTCATCAGAAGGTCGGAGATTAATCTTGTTGGGTCCTGGTCCCTTCCGCTGCCTTCAGGTATGTTGATAAAACGCAAATTTGAACGCCTGGACCTATTTTCGAGGTCATCGACTCGCTCCAGCAGCAGTGCGGCTTGGGAATGTAGTGTAGCAACTGTAGCTTCCATTGCTGTTATCTTCTCGAAGTTCTCTCCCACCACAACTTCAGTTTTGGTGAGCCGGTTGTTGAATGACATCATCTGTTGACCGAGGGTCTCGACTGACTGTTTTAGGGATTCGGTGGATCGTTGAATCAATATAGCCACATCGGCTTTGAAGCAGTCACGTTGCTTGTTGAATAGAGCCTCCAGGTCGAGCCTAGTGACTGGGTCGGCAGGGTCGCTATCTGAGCGTCTTTCCCCCGGGTCTGGAAGCTTCTGTACAGTAGCGGCCTTGCTAGCTAGCTTAGCTGAGATGCTAGTAGCTCGGGTAGTTACCGACGGATTGGAGTTAGAGGTGCTCATTGCGTCAAAGTTCACTTTCCCACAAAGTAAAATAATTTGTGTGCAAGTCTATTCAGGCAGGAGCACTGTTAAATTAGTAGGTTTTAGAAGTTAAATGAAAAGTTAAGCTGGAGCTCCCCGCTTGCACGTCCGCTCTCTACGCCATCAGCGACCGAAAGTCTGTGTGTGTGTGTGCATTCTGATCGATCACAACATAACCTCAAAGTTAACTATGCTTCCTCTGTCTGTCTGTAGATTAAACATGACTGAGCCTAAAATAACTTGGCAGCAAGTCAAAATCAAATACAAAAACATCCTGGCGAACAAATACTATGACAAATACTATGCAGAAGTGTAAATTGTACCCAGAAGGTGCCTGCTCACACATTGTCTGTACTTTAAACAGTTAAAAAAAAAACACAGGAAAGGCACAGGTGGTGGGTCACCACCAGCTGACCTCACCCCATCTGAGGACAAAGTCTTGGCATTAAATAGAGACAGGCCTGTGATGGAGGGGATCCCTGGGGGAACAGAGTCAAATACAAATTCCTCCCAAGATGTCACCCTCCTTATACAAGGTACATTCTTCCATATTTACATGGGACCTACCCAACCATTCACATTGAATTCATTTGGACTATCAGACTTTGGTTTAACTCGCAGTGTCTGGCAACACCATCAATTTGTTAGAGCCACCAACGCCAGATGATGATCCAGTGAGTACTCCATTAAAGGCATACTGCAGGCCTGGCATGTCTAGTCTACTAGCTTTAATATGAATCCCATTACATGTGATAGGATGAAGGCACCAGTGGAGCCGGAGGAACAACAGCAGCGGCAGCAGGAAGAGGAGCAGCAGCAGCAGAAGATGATGACGATGATGATAACTTTGATGAGGAGACTGTCTCTATTGATTCAAAAAGGCTTGAGGAATCATGTAAAACTTGTGGAAGTACTCATTCAGTCTATAATGATGAAAAGTCATCATGTGGTGCCCAGTGTCATTTCTGTAACAGGACCAAGATGCTGTACGGGGTGAAAGCCAGCCTGGCAAAATAGTAAGTATTAATGGAAGGATATTCTCATTATGCAAAATTCCCGCTGTGCTAAGTGTCATGTGTTCACAGAGCTCACAGGCCATCAGACAGCTCTATGCAACACATCTAAAGAGGCAAATTCAACTATCAGAGGTAAACATTAAATATACAGATAGACAGATGGCAGACCTCTCAGTGGAGTCTGAGAGTCTTGAAATAAAAAAAAACATGAGCATGAGGTGAGTTATGCCTTCAATGCACACTGTATGCTGACTGTAACACAAACAATGTATTTATCATTATTCTCCTTTCCTCCCCAGCTACAAGAAGATGAACAATAAATAAAAGGTGACATGAGATTTTGGTGTCTGCTTGTTTAATGTATGCACAGTTAGGGCTACCATAGATATGAGACTTGCCATTAAATCAGACTGTGGAATTGCCATCTGCCATCCTACCTAAGGCTGTGTCTCATTTCAGAGACCGCATCATGATAAGCGCGCTTAGCTGAGCGCACTGCCGTTTTGTGCCGTTATGTGCCGTTATGTACCCTTCCTGTGGCCCATTTTAGAGACCGCAACCGTCGAACGGCGCATTTGAAGCGTGCGTGAGGTCATCACGCGGCACGAACGGTGTCCCGTTTGGCACAAAATGCTAAGCGCGCTTCAAATTCGGTCTCAAAACCACACTGCCCCCGCCCCTTTTTCAAGCGTGCATTTATGCACGCATTCATGCCGTTGGTATCCCAGAATTCTTTGCGTGCCGCTGCACAGCTGCACATTTCAGGTGAGAGGCTGGACTCGCTTGGAGACACAGTACGTCTTTAAAAAAATTGCAAGAAAACCAAAAACAGCAGACAGTCAGCTCAGGCTGTATGAGCGCATGATCTCTGAACTCACTAAAATCTGTAAACCAAACACTATAGATTTACAGACAACTGATCTGCTCTGCTACAACAATCAAAAACATTAAAAATAAGAAAGCTGACAAAACTACAGCAGAGGATCAGGACAACATTGAGTTTTTTTTTCTTTTAAGATTTAGAGATTAAAGTTGTAAATTTAGGAGAATAAAGTCATAAAGTAAATAAAGTCATAAAGCTGCTTTTGTGGAGGGGGAAATGACTGAAGCTGGTCATCTGCAGGGTTATCGGTGGATGTATCAGTGGGTCATTCAGAGAGATTTTGTGGTTTCTGAAGAAACAATCAAACTGATGATGATCAACATTTGTGATCCAGAGGGAGTCGAGCTCTGACGAGCACCACGTCTCTGACACCGGCGGTAACCTACACCTGCAGAGACACCAACACCTTATTATGGCATATGGATTCATATCATAAATTAAAGCTCAGTGTCATTCACGGATATTTACGGTTGCATTGACAGATATATCCTCAGCATATCCATTTCTGCCTCCACAAAAGCAGCGATTTCCTTCAAGTACACCAGTTTTTTTTCCCGTGGAAAAGACGTATTTCTCATATATTATTTTTTTAAGTCTTTATACTTATGACAATGTGATGCTGATGTGCCAGAGGATGAAGTATCTCATTGTTTGTGAAACCTATACTGAATCACAGTTCCTTCAAATGCTTCATGGCCCTAATTTTATGCAGAAAATTTGAACAAGGCCACAATTTGCCACACCGTGTGCAGTGTGTATGTGGCCATTAAGTCGTTGCTAGGTGTCTTCATTTCCTTCCCTGGCCACAGAAGACTCCGACATATCAAGGAGGATTTTTATAGGATTGCAGGTAAAAGAAATTTCAAATTACATGACGTGTTAACTGTCATAGTAGGATACGCATTGCTTTGTGTTACAGGTTTTCCCAATGCCATTGGCACAATTGACTGCACCCACATAAAAATAAAATCCCCCTCAGGTGCCCATGAGGGAGATTTTATTAACAGGAAATCCTTTCACAGCATTAATGTTCAGGTAAACGTGACTTTTTGATATTTTTTCAATTAATGAACACTGCTTGTGATGTACATTGATTGGTTTAACGTTCAACATCTTATACTTTCAGATGGTCTGCAATGCTGACTGCCTGATAAGTAATGTTGTGGCAAAGTGGCTTGGATCAGTCCATGACTCCAGAATTTTTAGGTCCTCTGCCATCTATCAGCGCCTGTCACAAGGTAAGCCACATCCTCAATAAATAACCACTTTTAACATCATGGCTGTGTCAAGCATGTCACTCTATAAGATTGTGATTATGACATTTTGAATTCAAAGGGGAATTTTCCGGTGTACTGCTGGGGGACAGAGGTTATGCCTGCGAGCCGTTCTGCCTAACACCATTTGCAGACCCACAGGAAGGACAGCAGGCCTACAACAATGCCCATCCCAGAACAAGGGCACGGATTGAAATGACCTTTGGCCTCCTGAAGGAACGTTTCCAGTGTCTGCACCACCTGAGAGTCAGCCCAGACAGGGCGTGTGACATTATTGTTGCCTGCGCTATCCTCCACAATGTGGACTGCCTAAGGAAGGAGAGAGGTCCCAGAGTACCAACACACATTTACTGGGACAATCCAGCTATCTTTCAGATGATGACAGCAGTCGGCTGGTCAGAGACCAATATGTATTGAATTATTTCAGATAAAACCTATTTTGTACATTTAAGTTACATGTTGCCTGCAATTGCAGAGGAATTTATGTTGTGTTTTATTGATTTGGCTTACTGTGTTGTATACTGGCCTGCCATTTCTGTTCATTGAATATGGATTTGTCATGTGGCTATTTCAGTGTGCAGACATGCAGGGTGTATTATATAGACCTCTGTGAATGTGTATTTATTGTTGTTATATTATATGTTTTGACTATGTGCTCTCTATCTTGTAGAGCATGTTTTGAAAGGTGCTGATGGTTTACGGGCTTTAATTCATCCTTATTCAATAAAGTACCATCATGTTACTCTTTGTGTATTTTATATAATAATAATAGCAAAATCCTTTATCTAAAATGATTGCAATTAATGATCACAAATGTTTAAATAATGACAGCGGGTGGAGTCAAATGTGATAAAGTGTAGTGGGCAGTGGCATGGTGTCCATTTGTGGTGACTGCTGACTGAGATAAGGGATAAGATTAAACGGATCCTGGAACTTAGCCTGGTCTGGAGCAGGCTAGCTCCACAGAATAAGTCTCCATGGTAACTTATGTCATAACATATCCTATTTTCCCCTATCCTACTTTTATGCAACCTGATCACGGATAAGTTGATCCAGGATAACCAACATATCCCGGCTTAATCCCTTATCCTACTTTTATGCAACAGGCCCCAGGTGTGATGATGTGTCAGCTGTGGGTGAACGTTCAGACATTTTGAAGCTCCATGTGCAACTTTTCCATGAACACTGTTTGTGTGTAACAGGTGAAGAGGAGGGACGCAGGCTGTCTCTTATTCAAAATAACTTTATTTATAAAACTGCTCCTTATTCATGTTAGAGAAGAAAACTGAGACTGGATAACTGTGTGACTTTAGGAACTACAATCACTGAGGCGGAACAGAGGAGTTTAACACATACGTCTAGGAAATCGACTAAATTAAATCACACCCTTTCACAATAAAATACTCCATTACCCAACAACCACAGCAGCAGCAGCATGTCCGCCAACATTAATCCCCAGGCACCGTGGAGTCATGGTGAAACACCAGGGGCCTGTTCTACGAAGCAGGATTACTGCTTAGCGAGGTAACTTCGAGGGTAAGTTCGGGGTTTCCTGTTCTAGCCTGGCTGGGCCATCCTGTTGCGTGAATCACTTGATGTTCCTTCCCACAACAGTCTGGACTTTGGCCCATTGGGAGCGTGTATTCCCGATCAGAAAATTACCGGGCCAATCAGAGACCGTGTTTCCACTGTTACCCGGACAACAGGGAAATGCAGCCCCTGATTGGTCCATGTGTAGTGGTGACGTCTAACACATGCTGCGGGACTTTTCAAAGCCCCGTTCATTCAGAACGCCATTAATTCTGCCGTTGACTCTGCAAAGTCGGCAGAAACAATTTCTGCCGACTTTGCAGAGTCAACGGCTCCAAGGCTACCTCGCTAGGTTGAACCTGCTTCGTAGAACAGGCCCCTGCTCCGGGGCAGGTTAGGTTCCAGATTGAACTCACCGAGTATAAAAACCCGCCCACTGACCAATTAGCTCTCTCGAAAAATGGCTTGTCCGTTCTTGGAGGATCCTATAGACCACGGTGCTCACATTGTCAGAGGAGCACTCCGGCGTGCGAGAGTTTTCAGGGACCGCACGGAGCTACTTACTTCTCCGGATGACCACCTTTATGAAAGGCTCATATGGCCCACATATCACACAAAAAATGTAAACACGAAAGGAATTAACAAATGAATGAATTCATCTTGGAAATGAATGGGCATGGGCTGCCTGATCACAGACAACATCTCGGTACTATTTAGTAGCAGCGCACGCCCCTTGTAATAACCCCCGTACATACTGTTGTTCAGGACTGCTTACTTGTGCTTCCTACCCACTGTAATAACCGTTCTAGCCTACATGAAACATTTTTGTTCTCATTTTTGAACCGCTTAAATCGGGGACATTTTCGGGGACAGCTTTAGCCGGGGACAGATCATCCAATTCGGGGACTCTCCCCAGAAATTGGGGACGTCTGGTCACCTTAGTTAAAAGCGCATGTTGAACAGTGCTATTTCAGGGGGATAATGGCATCAAAGATTAATTTTCTGCCAGCATTCCTTCCTTGCTTTTGCAGCGGCGACGGTGTTGCTTTTGAGGTTTATGATAGATTTGAATTCTTCATACTTTCTCATGATCGCCTAGGTCGAACTTGCTTCGTAGAATAGGCCCCAGGGGCCCGCAGCATCTGACCAATCGCGAACATGGACCAATCTGGAGTGTCAGAGCAGGCCGGAGAGCGAAGGACTGTGTACTTTACAAACGAGGAGCAGGAGACGAACATTAGAAAGTATGAAGAATTCAAGTCTATCATAAACCTCAAAAGCAACACCGTCGCCGCTGCAAAAGCACGGAAGGAATGCTGGCAGAAAATTGCAGACAGTCTCAATGATGCCATTATCACCCTGATATAGCACTGTTCAACATGCGCTTTTAACATGCACCAGACATGTCTAATGCATTTCCAAGATGAATTTATTCATTTGTTCATTCCCATCGTGTTTACATTTTTTGTGTGATATGTAGGCCATATGAGCCTTTCATAAAAGTGGTCATCCGCAAAAGTAAGTGGGTCCGTGCGGTCCCTGAAAACTCTTGCGCGCTGGAGTGCTCCTCTGACAATGCGAGCACTGAGGTCTACAGGATTCTCCAAGAACCAACAAGCCATTTTTCGAGAGAGCTCATTGGTCAGTGGGCAGGGTTTTTATGCTGGGTGAGTTCAATCTGGAACCTAACCTGCCCCGGAGCAGGTTAGCCGTTCAGCGTACGTTCCCATGGAGACTCGCCTTGTTAAGAAGTGAACCCGCGTCGTAGAACAGGAAACCCCGAATTTATCCTCGAAGTTACTAAGCAGTAATCTGCTTCGTAGAATAGGCCTGTAGACTTCAGTGTCGGCTGTCAGCTGTGGTTAGTTTGACTCTGGTATTATAGGTCAGTGAGAGCGTTTCTCCAGAAGGTGGTGCTGTTGTTATCTGTTCCTGGACTGTTCCTCATGTTGAGTTTACACTGGTCTCTGTCTCTCTGTCTAACAGGGTAAAAACACATGTTTCAACTCAGTCTGTGAAGAAAGTCTCATCAGAATCTGGACCAGAATCCGGATCCTCTACAGACCCTGCCTCTCTGTGTTTCACTTCTTTAAAATTAGAGTCAGCATTAGTTTAAATCTGTCTGTCGGAGGTTCAAGACCACAGAGATGGATGATGTTTTTAAGAAGAGGCTCAAGACTTAACTTTTTAACCAGGCTTTTCACTGATTGCCTTTTTATGTTTCTTTTATTGCAAATGTTCATTTTAATCAAAGTTCTTCATGTTTATTTTATGTCATTTTATTAATTTTCTCTGTTCTTTGCCTTTTTCTTAACTCCCACCTTTTATTTTTCTTAACTCCCACCTTTTTAGATTTTATTTTCTTGTTTTAGTCCATCAGATTTGCTCTTTTTTTTCCCATTTAAAAAAAAATATTTATTTAATTTAATTTAATTTTTTAAATCTTTTGTCTCTTTAACAATATATCTTAAATTTTCACTCTGTGTGTGATTTTGTGTGTGTGGTTCCATGGGTGGGTGGGAGGGTGGGGTTTTATTATTAATTGTTGGTTTTAGCCTCTGTGAGGCACTTTGATATACATTTTTTTGTCTTAAAAGTGTCATAAAAATAAAGTTGAATTTGAAAATCTGTTTTTTTAAGGTCCAGTCATACATCAATACTGTCTACTGTAAAAATCTACTTCAGCCACACTGATGTGTTGTGTGTTCAAATGCTGCCACTAGGAGGCGCCACACACGTCAACAGTTTGTATCCTACGCTGAGAAAGTTCCAGAAATGTGTTTTTTTGTTTTAGGTTTGAGTTCATTGATAAAAATTAACAGGCGTGGCTTATTTCAGCATCTTTTACTGTCCAATCAGATCTGGTCTAAATGTACAGAAACGTGAGTTTTTCAGAGACAACCTCTTTCCTAGCTCCTGACTGTGGTTCTACAGCATGGCCCCCCCTGACGAAGGGTTCAAGGGTGCTGGGTTCCACAAGTTTAGGGTCTGGAGTACGAGAGTCCAAGACAGACTAAACAGGGTCAGAAGGGGTCAAAGTTCAACAAAGTTGCTGAGTGTGACGGCTGTGAGACCATCTGACTGGCACTCTGACCCGCTCTTCTGTTCTATGTCTGTGGATCTATGTTTGTGGCTCTATGGCTGTGGATCTATGTCTGTAGATCGATGTCTGTGGATCTATGTCTATGTCTGTAGATCTATGTCTGTGGATCTATGTCTGTAGATCTATGTTCGTGGATCTATGTTTGAGAGTGAAAAAACAAAGATGGCATCCAGACTGTTAGGAACCAGAAGGGCTTTTAGAAGGGCTTTTATTTTGAAAGAACTCCAGAGGACCTCCGAGCTTTGAGATGGGGTCTTTCTGCAGGTGAACTCTGTGGGTGGTCTTAGGAGGCAGACCTGCAGCCCTGCGCTCGTCTGAAGGGATGGGTGGTAGTGGTCCGGGACAGGGGTCTGGACAGGATCTGGTCTCTCCTCTGGTTGTAGACTTCCTGTTGGATCAGACCCTGCTGGTGTTCCCTCTCAGCCTGAACCCTCTGCTCAGACCTGACCTGCTGCTGGTGCTTCATCTGGGCCCCCAGGTCCTCCATGTAGGCCTCATGGGTCTGCTTCTGCCTGCAGGGACACACAGAGGCCAAGATCAGGTCAAGAAGGAAGACAGGAATCAGGTGAGGCCAGAGATCAGAGACCAGGAACCAGATTAGACCAGAGATCAGAGACCAGGAACCAGGAGGGTCTGGTCTTGTAGTCGTACCGTCTCTTCTCCTCCTCCTCTGTCAGCTTCATCTCCTCCAACACTCTGCTCAGTTCATCTCTTTCTGCAGATAACTCCACCTGTTTCTGCAGGTTCAGATCCACTGCAACACACACACCCACACCCACACACACACACACACACACACACACACACACAGAGTTAACCTTTGAACCTTTGGTGGTGGCTGGTATAAGAGGGCGCTGTGGGCAGAGTCCCACCTGAGTTGTGTGAGCAAAAAGAGATGTCAGCTGTCTCCTTGAAAATTTTAGGGCGCCAGGGATGCAATTTTTTGGGATGGTAGGGGAAGGTTCCGCCCTCCTTTACCTCTGATTGGCTATAAGTGCTAAGCTCCGATTAGTTATTCCTTGTGGCTGTGAAATGTCATCGTCTGTTGGGCTCGGAGATAATGTTCTGTAATGTTCTGTTCGATGTACAGAGCCGACAGCCTGCGTTTGGCTTGAGCATGTGATGACGTTTCCAGCTTTTCTAGCCAATCAGAGGCAAAGGAGGTGGGACTTTCCCCTACCGTCCTACAAAAAAATATATCGTGCCAGGGACAAGCGCCCAAGCGTCCCTAATTTGAATGACGTAAGCACATTCGTAACCAGATTGGTCACAAACGGACGCATGGCTACAATATGTGCATCTGACGTAGCTAGCTGCTCTCCTGGGAGCCGGTCCGCCCCTCACTCTGCATTTGGCGGCCAGTGACAGAAGACGTGGGAATGGCGACCGCAAACCCCCTAACGAGTGATTTACCAGAGAACACCATGCTGTCCATCAAGCAGGTCCCGTTTAAGAGGAGAACTCTGCAGGACAATCTAAGGCTATGTTCACACTGCAGGTCAATTCTGATTTTTTAACCATATGTGACACATATCAGATTTTTTTGTAAGTGTGAACAGTGCAATTCGGATTTTTTCAAATCTGACCCAGGCCTCTTTTGTAGGTGGATATAAATCGGATATGTATTCGATGTGACTGCAGTGTGGATGCTCAGCTTGCGTTCATCCGACCTATACGTCATCAATATGCGACAAACGTCACCATTGTTCGACAACACAAACAGGCGCAGAAAGCAATGGCAGACGAGGGAACGGAGAACAGCGTCACATCCTCTTTGTACGCATGCGGGTCACTTCACAGACGCATTCCATTCAGATTAGATGCCCCATTCATTGTTGTAATGTGAATGACTGCACAAAAAGATCGGATTTTAAAAGAAATCCGAACTGTGTATCATAAGCTGCAGTCTGAATGTAGCCTAAAGCTGAAAGAGCTTGGTCTGGATCGACTAGACATCGCCGCTCAGCAGGTGACCACAGAGAAGGACAAACAATATACGCGAACATTTTTAAGAGCATGGTGTGAGCGCAAAGCATGGCTGACTAGGTGTCCAAAGAGAAAGGTCCTTTTTTGTTTCCCGTGTAAATTAATGGTGACAAAAAGAAATTATAAAGCTAGCAAAATAAAATTCCGGCTACTGAAACAGTTAATCAGCAAAATCTGTTTGTAGAACGGCAGAGTATATAAAGATTAAAACCTAATATAAACCATAGTCTCACTGTCTCACTGACTATAATTACATAAAACTGGGTCTTGGTAATTCATCAAACAATAAGCTTGGTCTAGACCTGCTCTTTTTCTTTGAAAAGCGGGACGACGACTGAATTGACGCTATATAAATAAAATTTGATTTGATTTGATAAATTTATTATAGTTAGACATAAAAGCAAGACTTAAAAGAAAGCTAACAGACAATATTCATGTCATAATGTTAGAAATCAAGAACTTTGAAGGCAGGGTGAAAGCATCCTAGAAAAGTGGGAACCCTGTATTTGTTCACCCAGTTTCAATTCAGTCTAACTGAAATTTCAAATATCGTAAAACTGTTCTGTCTTTAAAGTAAATGTTTGTGTTGTTTTCCTTTGGTAATACTGATATGCAGCCTGATTTATTATAAATGAGTGTCTGCTCTTTATTATTGTTCTGCCGTTGTCTTTGTGTGCTCTTTAGCCTAACCTGTTGAAATGCAGCTGAATGAACACGAGTACACTACTGTCAGTTTCTATATCACAGGGTTACATTGACTGTAGGTCAGCTAATGTCGGCTATAATGTTAATAAGTTAAAATACAGTTTCTTTGTCTTTGTTGGTCAACATTATATGTTTCCTTCATTATTTTCTCAGAAAGTTTCATTAAAATTTTAAACCAACAAAAAAAATCTTCTGGGGGAGGATACCCCCAGACCCCCCTACAGGTCTCTGGTCTCCAAACCTTCAGCCCTGCCTACTATTTTGGGTCCTCTTTGGACCTCTTGTGGGTCCCTGCCCCGCAGATTGAAAACCAGCAGGTTGTCTTACATTTGTGCTGAATCTGCAGTCTGCAGGTCTCCATCACCTCCTTCATCAGACGGTCTCGGGCTTCCCTCTGCTGCTGGCTCTGCTCCTCCTGTTTCCTCCACACCTCCTTCAGTTTCTCCTCCAGCAGCTGCTCCGCCTCCTGCTCCTCCTCCTCCCGCCTCCTCAGCTCCTCGGACAGATACTGACGATACCTCCGCCACTCCTCACGCAGCTCCACCTGACCACGAGCGTGACACGAGAAAACGAGTTTAACACGATTCAGTCATCAAACCAGAATCAGTCTGAGGGGTTAGATCGGACTCAGTGATCTAGGTCTCAGAACCGTCTCACTGCACCTGCACCGACTTTTGGATCAATGACAGTCAGTAAATGATCATGTGACAGTCCCTCTGATCACATGATCACATTAACCTTCTTCTGGGTGGCCTCCTGTCTCTGGTCCATCTCCTGCTCCAGCAGCTTCTGCAGGATCTTCATGTCCAGCTGAAGCTCCTCCTGTTGCTCTCGGGCCAAACGTTTCATCTTCAGACGGAAACCCTGATCCAGATGACGGCGCCGAACCTTCTGCTGAACCAGAACCTGCTGCTGAAGACGCTGCTGCTGAAGACGCTCCATCTGCTGCTGCTGCCGCTGCAGCGAGGAGACAAGGAGATAAGGAGACAGGGAGAGGGGGAGATAAGGAGACAGGAAGACAGAGAGACAAGGAGATAAGATAAGGATGCCTGGTTGAAGAGCGTCAGTGTAAACCTGACCAGCTGATCAGTATAAACCTGATCAGCTGATCTGTGACATGTTGCAGAGGTCATCACTGACCACGAGCTCGGCCTCCTCCTGTCTCAGCTCTCGGTGTCTCTGTCTCTGTTGTTCTGAGGCGTCCATCTGTCTCCTGAGGACATCCAGCTGCTGTTTGTTCCTCTGCTGCTGTCTCTGAGCTTTCTGCGCCTCCTGCTGCTCTTTGGCGTGTCGATCGGCCTCCCACAGCTCCTCGAAGATCCTCTCCTCCTGCTGCTCCCGCTGGAGCCGCTCCTGTCTGCTCCTCACCTGAGCGGCTCGCTCCTCACACACCTGCTGCTCTCTGCGACGGGTCAGGGTGGTGCGCAGCTCCTCGCACTGCTCGCTGTAAACAGGTCAAAACAGGAAACATGCTCAGGTGGAGGACAGTCAGTGAAGAGCTTTTTAACACGGTTACCTCTGGTTCAAGACTCCACCTACAGGTGAGAGTCCAGGGGATGTGGTCTCTACCTGAACAGCTGCTCCATCTTCTCTGAGACCAGCTGCTGTCTCTCTCTCTCTCTCCGCTCTCTCAGGACTTTAGCTTGCTCTCTCATCTTCACCTGTCTCTCCACTGACGTCTCCACCTTCTCCTCCATCTCCTGCAGGAGCTGCTGGTCTTCCGCCTCCAGGAGGGCCCGCAGTCTGTGGACACACACACACACACACACACACACACATCTGATTGAAGCAGGTGGATTCATCACTGTGTGGTTCTGGAGCTGCGAAGAACAGAACCGGAAAATATTGAAGCTCAGAGTAAACAGAAACGCCAACCGCCCACTAATAGGACAACCACACACACACGTGTGTGTACAGGTGTGTATGTTTATGTATATGTACAGGTGTGTATGTGTATTGGAACATTAAAAAAGGTACCAGCATGTTGGACTCAGGTGAGCCCACAGTGAACTGACGTCTCTTCACTAAAGTACAGGTGGACAGTTGGACAGGTCTGATATCAGAGTAACAGCAGCTGCAGGAGAGTACTGGTTCTTAAGTCAAAGTTCTAGTCCTGTTGGACTAACCTGTCTCTCCGGTGGTGGACTTGGACCTCCTGCTGGTCCAGAGTGTCTCGGACTCTCCTCTGAATGGTTCCTCTCAGGAAGCGACCCTCTGAACTCTTCAGCCATGAGTTCTTGATGTCACAGGTCTGCAGGTCTTTGGAGAACTCCAGGACTCGGTCTCGAGCCTCATCCTGTTTCTGTGTTTCCAGGACAAGGTGACCTGCCGGCCTCCATGGCGGAAACTTCGCTCTCTGAAGAAACCACAAATAAAGTCACCTGAGGGTCTCTGGGAGCGCCTCAGGAACATCACTCCGGGGTTTGATTGGCAGAGTTTTGGTAATAGTGACCCAGTTGACCTTTGGGGTGGGTTTTTTGGTCCATCCAATTGGCCACGCCCCAAATTCTCAACAGAACCTCAATATCTTTAAAACAAACGATTTGAAACATGAATCCCATCCTTCTGTGGTTACAGACAGAAATATAATCGATTCGGAGCAACAGCGTGTTTATTGATGAGCCTTTCAGAATGGGTGTGTATGTGGTTTGGGAGCCAGCCTCTAGAGGACACTCAGGGAACTGCAGTTTCTAAAACTCCTTCATCAGCTTCATTATCTTATGCTGTGCTCCAGTTTCCTTGGAAGTCGGATGTCGGAGCTGGTAATGACGCCAAACCCGAGTTGACAGAGTTACAGTTAACAAGTGCGAAAATCAAGATGAATGCCTACAGTTACCCGTTGTTAGCTGTTGTTTACAATTGTCAGCTGTCGTTGGCCGTTGTCAGTTGTTAGTGGTTGTCAGCTGTTGTTAGTTGTTGTTAGCTATACCAGTTTTAAACAACGCACAACACAAAATGTTACTCTTACAAACACTGTAGCACCATGTTCACAGTTAGACGTTGAGCAGTACAACATAAACCACTTATTTAATTTCACAAAAACAAAACAGGAGTGCTAATGAATAAAACATTACGAGAGCTTTCATTGTTACGCTTTACTGTTGATGCACTGTGCTGCCATCTTGGATTATGACGTTGTCGTCAAGTCGAGGTCAGCGAGGATCGTCCGACTTTCCAGCATTCCAGATAAATTTTTGACTCAGAGCTAGGAAATCCCAACTTCCAAGTACAACTGGAACACAGCATAAGACCTGGGGCCTTATTTATCAAACGTGCGTAGAAAAGGTTCTAAATTCTGGCGTAGGAATGAAATTTAGAATGTGCGCAAGTACAAAAAAATCCATATTTATCAAACATGCAGACACTGGTTGTACGCACACACCTAAGTAATCGGTGATGATAAATCCCACCTGTTCTTTACTACCGTGCTCGTGCATGGTTAGAGTCATTTGCATTCAGGAACGCCTCCAATTGACCATATATGGCATCAACAATTCCTTTAAAAATGCGTAAATGAATGTTTTTCCTCCTGGAGGTGCACAGCGCTGTTCTGCAGAATGAATGAGTCGTGCGTTCCTCCAGGCCACCGGGCAACAACGTTTAACAGAATCAAATGTGCATCGCAGATTATTTGTGCATTGATTGAATGAAATCTTTTCCTGTTGACGAATCTGAATTTATTGTGTGAAGGTGCTTTTATTGCGATGTGGGTGCAATCTATGGCTCCAATTATGTTTGGGAATCCGGCGATGGTGTGAAATCCTCGTTTTATTTCGGCTTGTTGCTGATGTGTGTTTGGGAACTGGATGTAAATTGAGGCCGGAGAAATTATTACATCCAACTCTGCCGGCATGTCTCAAATCTCACGCTGAAATGTTCGGGTTAGGGTGGACAGGAGCTGGATGTGCGCTGGGATGGCTTTGGTGCGTTTTGTTTCTCGCTCCGACGCGGGTAGTAAATCACGGCGTAAATCCATTAAAATGTTTTGGGGAAGCGGTACCTGCTGAGAATCCACTTGGAGTTCTCACTGAACAGATCAGCACGGTCTTTGAAAACACGCTCCCTGCGGAGGAGCAGACGCTTCTCCAAGTCCTCCAATAGCGCAAAATAAACCGTGATACTTGTATTTGCACTTGTAAGACTTCTTTTGAGGTTGTCCTGTCACAGCAGATTTTTATAGCTTGTCTTATCAATCATTCAAAATGTCTGCTAAATTACTAATTGATAAATTTTGTATTGAGGCAACGGGAACATGTGTGAAGTTTGAGATTGCGGAACGCTGTGACTCCTTTCATGGGTTCTATTTGTAGTTTTACTGTCCTACCACTAGGTTTTGTGTGTACGCATGGTCAGAGTTGTGCTTAAATTTACGCACGTTCCTAAGCACAAGTACAGGTTGATAAATTCCAGACTTTGCATGGGAATGTTCGTACGCACTCTTTACGCACACATCTGTGCGTACGCACGGTTGATAAATGAGGCCCCTGGGGCTGCTGCTTGTTTTAAACTAACAGAGTCTCCTTCTGCTGGACATCCGAGGGACTACAGCTCAGGACAGTCTCACAGATAACTCAGGCTGTGTCTCATTTCAGAGACCGCATCGGGATAAGCGCGCTTAACGGCGCTTAGCTGAGTGCACTGCCGTTTTGCGCCGTTATGTACCCTTCCTGTGTCCCATTTCAGAAACCGCAACCGTTGAATGGCGCATCTGAAGCGTGCGTGAGGTCATCACGCGGCACGAATGGTGTCCCGTTTGGCACAAAATACTAAGCGCGCTTCAAATTCGGTCTCAAAACCACACTACCCCCCGCCCCTTTTTCAAGCGTGCATGTATGCACGCTTTCGTGCCGTCGGTATCCCAGAATTCTTTGTGTGCCGCTGCACAGCTTCGCATTTCAGGTGAGAGGCTGGACTCGCTTGGAGACAGCGCGTCTTTAAAGAAAATACAAGAAATCCAAAAACAGCAGACAGTCAGCTCAGGCTGTATGAGAGCATGATCTCTTAACTCACTAAAATCTGTTAACCAAACATTATAGTATTGCGAGAGAACTGATCCGCTCTGCTACAACTATCAAAAACATTACAAATAAGAAAGCTTACAAAACTACAGCAGAGTATCAGGACAACATTGAGTTTTTTTTTCTTTTAAGATTTAGAGATTAAAGTTGTCAATTTAGGAGAGTAAAGTCATAAAGTAAATAAAGTCATAAAGCTGCTTTTGTGGAGGGGGAAATGACTGAAGCTGATCATCTGCAGGGTTATCTGTGGATGTATCAGCGGGTCATTCAGAGAGATTTTGTGGTTTCTGAAGAAACAATCAAACTGATGATGATCAACATTTGTGATCCAGAGGGAGTCGAGCTCCGATGAGCACCACGTCTCTGACACCGGCGGTAGCCTACACCTGCAGAGACACCAACACCTTATTATGGCATATGGATTCATATCATAAACTAAAGCTCAATGTCATTCACGGATATTTACGGCTGCATTGACAGAATATCCTCAGCATATTCATTTCTGCCTCCACAAAAGCAGCGATTTCCTTCAAGTACACCAGTTTTTTCCCTGTGGAAAAGACGTATTTCTCATATATTCTTTTTTAAGTCTTTATACTTATGACAATGTGATGCTGATGTACCAAAGGATGAAGTATCTCCTTGTTTGTGAAACATATACTGAAGCACAGTTCCTTCAAATGCTTCATGGCCCTAATTTTAACAAGTCTCTCTGAAATAACAGGAAACTTAAAAACTTTATTCTCATAAATTAATGACTTTATTCTCGTAAATTAACGACTTAAACTTGAAGTCTTTAAAGTCTTAAATCTCAATATGGCCCTCATACTCCTTCATACAAAACAATCATTGGATGAATTGTGCTTGTATGTATCTACTATTTTGTGTCTGTGTGAGGTCACACAATTAAAAAACAAATGCTGCGCTCCGCGTGTTTTCTTTAAGTCAGTCTTGACGCGAGCCTGAGGGCGGGGACGTTTGTCAACTCCACCAGGAAGTCCTTTCAAAGGTCTCCTAATGTCCCCGCCCTCAGGCTCACGTCACGACTGACTAGAAAAAAAGCTGCGGAGTGCAGCATTTATTCTTTTATTTGCGCGACCTTGCACAGACACAAAATAGAAGATATATACAAGCACAGATCATTCCCACAAAATTAATCCAATGATTGTTTTGTATGAAGGATTATGAGGGCCATATTGACAATTTTTTTTAAAGACTTCGAGATTTAAGTCGTGAATTTACGAGAATAAAGTCATTAATTTATGAGAATGAAGTCGTAACCTGTTATTTCAGAGGAGACTTGTTAAAATTTGGGCCATGAAGCATTTAAAGGAACTTTGCTTCAGTACAGGTTTCACAAACAAGGAGATACTTCATCCTTTGGTACATCAGCATCACATTGTCATAAGTATAAAGACTTAAAAGAAGAATATATGAGAAATACGTCTTTTCAACGGGGAAAAAAACTGGTGTACTTGTAGGAAATCGCTGCTTTTGTGGAGGCAGAAATGAATATGCTGAGGATATATCTGTCAATGCAGCCGTAAATATCCGTGAATAACATTGAGCTTTAGTTTATATGAATCCATATGTCATAATAAGGTGTTGGTGTCTCTGCAGGTGTAGGTTACCATCGGTGTCAGAGACGTGGTGCTCGTCGGAGCTCGACTCCCTCTGGATCATAAATGCTGATCATCATCAGTTTGATTGTTTCTTCAGAAACCACAAAATCTCTCTGAATGACCCGCTGATACATCCACAGATAACCCTGCAGATGACCAGCTTCAGTCATTTCCCCCTCCACAAAAGCAGCTTTATGACTTTATATACTTTAAGACTTTATTCTCCTAAATTTACAACTTTAATCTCTAAATCTTAAAAGAAAAAAAAAAAAAATCAATGTTGTCCTGATACTCTGCTGTAGTTGTGTCAGCTTTCTTATTTCTAATGTTTTTGATAGTTGAAGCAGAGCGGATCAGTTGTCTCTAAATCTATAATGTTTGGATTACAGATTTTAGTGACTTCAGAGATCATGCTCTCATAAAGCCTGAGCTGACCTGTCTGCTGTTTTTGGATTTCTTGTATTTTCTTTGAAGACGCGCTGCATCTCCAAGCGAGTCCAGCCTCTCACCTGAAATGCGAAGCTGTGCAGCGGCACGCAAAGCATTCTGGGATACCGACGGCACGAAAGCGTGCATAAATGCACGCTTGAAAACATGCTAAGCGCGCTTAGCATTTCTTAGCATCTCGTGCCAAATGGGACACCGTTCGCGCCGTCATGACGTCATGCACGCTTCAAACGCATGTTCGACGGTGCAGAAGTGCACTTACCCCGATGCGGTCTCTGAAATGAGACACAAGCTGCGTCCGAATTGCCAGGTAGTAGTCGAAGTAGTATCTAGCATGTCCGAATTGGCCACCGGAGCGAGTAGCATGCTACTTCAGATACTACTTCAGATACTAGACACGCCCACATTGTAGGTTGGTCTCGGTGCATCCTACGGGCATGCTACTGACCCAAAATGCACCGCGGGCTTCTTCTTCGTCCTCTTAAAAGTTGTAGAAGCGCATGTGATGCGAGCGCCACCAGCTGCTCTGCCTATTTAAATGTGTCGCGAACGCCGGCTGGCCACAGCAGCGCGCACCATGTCGGAGCAGCAGCAGCAGCAGGCGGGACCGCAGCAGTACAGATGTAAGTTTCATGTAACTTCACACACTGTCCTAAAAAATGTGCGGTTGTATCTCTTTGTCATGTCATGGTGTCATATTTGCCCAAGTAATCATTTTATGAGCAAATATGTGGCGACATCATGGAGGTAAAGCTCACTTATTGCTGCAGTAATCAGGCAGATCTCATTGAACAAACGATCACCACGGGAGTGAATGAAGGCTAAAAGTAATGGAAAAGCTACTTTGTGAATTTCTAAAGCAGTGCAGGAATATAATACAGCAGCATCCATCACTTGCACAATTACCTTTCAGAGTCTAAAACGGGCGCAGTACCTACTCTCTGCCTGCGGGGGTCGTCTTTCCCCACCGCTCGTCTAGTGTGTCCGAATTGGGCCAACGTGTTTAGTATGTAGGAGTAGGATCTAGCAGTAGTATGTAGCAGTAGCATGTAGTATCCGAGCGGGCAATTCGGACACAGCAACAGCCACAGCCTAAGCATCAGCTCTGAAGTCACAGTCATGTCATTTGCTGTGTCCGAATTGCCCGCTCGCATACTACATGCTACTGCTACATACAACTGCTAGATCCTACTCCTACATACTAAACACGTTGGCCCAATTCGGACACACTAGACGAGCGGTGGGGAAAGACGACCCCCGCAGGCAGAGAGTAGGTACTGCGCCTGCTTTAGACTCTTTGAATGGTAATTGTGCAAGTGATGGATGCTGCTGTATTATATTCCTGCACTGCTTTAGAAATTCACAAAGTAGCTTTTCCATTACTTTTAAGGGGCGTTCAGACCAAACGCGACGCGACCTGGTCGCGTCGCTTTGGTCGGTCACGGCGCGTCGCGGGGTGCTCTGGTGTGTTCACACCGGGTCCAAAGCTGCAGTCGCAGGTCGCGGCTGGTCGCCGGTGACGTCATCCATGTCACTAGCTCAATTTTCAGTTCATCAGTGCTGCCGCATATCTGTACATCCGCAGTAGACGCTGCCGGCGTTTATGGGTGCATGAAACCATCCGGAGGAGGACGGAGCTGGGTGAATTTCACCGCTTGCTCCAGGAACTCCGCCTGGATGACGGCCGCTTCCAGTGGTATTTCCGTGTGTCGACGGCGCAGTTTGAGGACCTCCTCGCCCGGGTGGGAAGCAGCATCTCCCGCCTGGACACGAAATACAGGCGCTCCATCTCAGCTTCGGAGCGCCTGTCTATCTGTCTGTCCCTCATATAAACGTCCCCTTCCACCGCTTGCGGCACACATCCACTGCAAAGACACACACACATACGTTGAAACATGTAGCCTAGCAAGCAGGGGCAGTTAGCTATGTTTTCATAAAACAGTCCGCTCACTGAAATAAATAACTAAACAAACAAGCTTACCAGAAAGCCCGACATCACGGGACACCTTCCCCTATGCTTCTTCTTTGGCGTTGCGGTCCCATTACAGCCCGCAACCCACGTCGTATAGCACCGGGTGGTAGCTAACGGATGTGATTAACTGCTCCTCCATTGTGATTCTTCTTCTCCTCTTCCTTGTTTCGCCGGTTTGTTGACGTCAGCAGAGCCCTGATTGGCTGTCGCGGCACGGAGTCGCTACCAAAGTTCAAATATTTGAATATTTGAATTGAAATATTTATCCTATTTGAGCGACGCAACTTGGCGTCCTGCGACCTCGACGACGCGACCTTGGGGACGCGCCTTGGCGACCGGTCGCGTCAGGTCGCGTCACAGGCAGCCGGCAGTCGCCAAGTCGCGTCAGGTCGCGGCTGGCCATAGACTTTGCATTGGGAGCTGTCGCCAAGTCGCGTCAGGTCGCGTTTGGTCTGAACGCCCCTTTAGACTTCATTCACTCACGTGGTGATCATTTGTTCAATGAGATCTGCCTGATTACTGCAGCTGTGCAGTTTAATGATGGAATAAGTGAGCTTTACCTCCATGATGTCGCCACATATTTGCTCATAAAATGATTACTTGGGGAAATATGACACCATGACATGACAAAGAGATACAATCGCACATTTTTTAGGACAGTGTGCGAAGTTACATGAAACTTAAATCTGTACTGCTGCGGTCCTGCCTGCTGCTGCGCCATGGTGCGCGCTGCTGTGGCCAGCCGGCGTTCGCGACGCATCTAAATAGGCAGCAGCTGGTGGCGCTAGCATCACATGCGCTTCTACAACTTTTAAGAGGACGAAGAAGAAGCGTGGGCGTGTCTAGTATCTGAAGTAGCATGCTACTCGCTCCGGTGGGAAATTCGGACATGCTACATACTACTTCTACTACTACTTGGCAATTCGGACAAGAGTACCCAACTGCAGCCAAGATGGCGGACCCAGAAGATGAACTTCCGCAATACTCACTCAGATTTACCTCCGATGGACAGGCTTTGCGATGCCAGAACAGTAGGTGGCGGTATGCACCTAAACTTTCTTGCAGCAAAATTTACAGAAGAAGAAGAACTTTCAGGAAGTTTGAAAATAGCAAGCCGTCCGCATTCATTCAATCTCACCTCCGACCCACTCAAACTAACCCTAACCCTGCATTCCATTGTTTCCATTATGGGAAATCTAAGTGACACTCTCAAATTAACAGGAACATTGCGCAGAAGATATGTCCTGGGCAATGGACTGAGAAAACGGGCAGAGATTTAGAGGTATTTGTGCATGCTCTATATTACAGTTGAAAAGTGTATGTGACAAGATGATTAACGTTTGCTTTTGTTAAATCAGGGCTTCCCCAGTCAGGACTTCGGCTCAGACTGTGGCATATTCATGTTGATGGTAGATCATAGCGAGCTGTAATGCACAAATATTGTAGTATCTAGAATAACTTTCCAACATGGACTTTTTTAAAGTTATCTCACATGTTATCTCATAATTTTTTTTAAGTCTGCCATGTACATTGTTCCGGAGTCACAGTTGGACTACTCAGTTGTAAGTACTTTTCAACACGCAGTGTCATCCTCAAGGTTGTATTTTGTGTTGTGCACTAAAATGAAATACAAACAACAATTTCAGCATGACATGCCTGTTTTGCGGAGATGGTGGTGCCTGTTGCTCTTGGAAAACAGTTCTTTGAACAGGTAGACAGTTTAAGTAAACTAGATGCCCTAATTAACTGGAAGACAATCAATATATTGTACTTAAAGATATATTGTCATTACAGTTATGGGAAAATCTTTGCCCAATGGACCAAAGAATGTCAGGAGCTTATTGCTGGAAAGCATACTCCGGTCTTCAGGCCTAAGAGGAAGGCCGAGCAGCAGGACACAGAGGTTAGAAAATTGCCTTCGAAAAACAGTATTATCTCAGTGGGAGTCCTTCAAAATGCACATTATGGATAAACATTGTCTTGATGTATTTGGTAATTGATGTTACTTTTCAAATTGACTTGTCCAGGAAACCATGACGCAGACGACATCTGATGTCCAAAGAGTGTGCATGGCAGATTCAATGAAATTCTGTGTCTACCAGACCTTCGACAACACAGGAGAGAGGTTTGTTGCAGACTCAATTTAATAAATGCAATTATCGGGGCCTATTCAGTGATTTTCCATGAAGTGACCACTTTTACATATAGTTTCAATGCACGAATCATGTGGGAAAATTATTTATACATTCAAATGTGCTGCAGAGGTATAATCAATTGGACAGCGTGTGTGTTTAATATTAAGTTTGTCTCTCATTTGATCAGATTGCTTTACCCTGAGGTAAAATTTGTAAAATGGGTCCAGTGCAAGACATGCAGGGGCTGGCTGCATCAAGATTGTGCCGGGATTGACACGGAGCCCTTTGACTGTGGCTGCGAGGACTCCATTGAGCATCCTCGGTATAACATAATTTATCAAGGAAACATAGTATCAGTCAAAAATACGAGGCGCAAAGGATGAAAAATGAGGGCTTGCTCTTTTTCTTATTTCTCTGCAGGATCAAGGATGCCGTTGACAGTGGAAGAATTGGTGCTGTCTTTTCTAAGACACAGATCAAGGTTGCTTTTGAATGCACTATCAGTTGTTAAAGCCACCGTTTCTGTTACAGATTATTACATTTTTGTCTCTTGCTCTTTGGTTTCAGACATTACACGATGATCTGCTCTCTGGAAACATCCGCTCCAACAGGATGTTTCTTTGGAGGAAACCCGCCACCTCACTCCGGCTCAAGCAGCATCTAAAGATTAGGTCACTATGTTGGAGTGAGCAGCGCCTAAGTAAAAATGCCATCCATCATGAGTATTTTTACTCTCAGAGGTGTTACATTTGAAAGCTGTTTACTTTCTGTGTTTTTCTTCAATAGATCTTCGAGCTCCTGCGGTTTATTGAGGAGGCAACAACCATATCCGACAACATCAAGAGAGTTGAGATTCACTTGCTTGATTTTGTCCTTGATGTCATGCTCCCAGAGGTGAGTAGATCAAACTATATAGCTTGCTTTGAAAATTGATGATATTGTTAAGAGGTTGTTTTTATTCATTTGGAAAGCTCAAGAACAACAATTAACCCATACTGCATAACTTCAATTGTTCACATTATTTGACTGTTTTTCAGCTTTTGATCAAAGCACTTCAAGAGCATGGCATCACCCGACTCAGAGTGGAGCAGATGATGGCCTGTGGCAGTATATTTTAAGCCCCCCACCACACCGACGGCAACGCTCTCAATTATGGGACGTGGAAGCCTGTATATGTATATATGATTATATTTTTTTTTACTGTGTTTACAATTTATTGTTTGGAAAATATTAAAGAAATCTTTGAAGCAGTTGTATGACAATTTCCCATTTCTTTACACAGTCTGTAATGATATCGCAATTCAATTGTTTTTGCTAAATGGCTCCTCTGAACCTTAAACAGATCATGTGACTTGTGTCTCTACAATTATTGTATACTTGGATTTTGCACAGTCAAGCAATCCTGAAGAGGCTCACCAGGAAGCATACCATGTCATAAATTGTCCCTGGTTACACAATGTTACTAAAGGATGGGGGAAAAATATGTGCAGCAACGTAAGCACTCTCATAGAACATAATTATGAACAACAGAAAATATGTGAGGGTCAAGGCAACATTGTTGACATTAAACGAGGTCCTAATAGGAGCGGATCCTCCTCATTACTTCCCACGATTCACAGTGGAGGATACATCACACACACACAACTGCTTATAAGAGAAACAAGTCACAGAGAAGTTAAGAAACATTCATGTGCTGTGTAATGAAGCTATTGGAGAGAGGAGTTAGAAAACACTCTTATATGATGTGTAACAAGAGGTTAAAACAGTCCATACTTGTAGCAAACTCTTACATAAGAATTTGAGTAAGATGATAACTTCTATATACATTTATACACATTATTCTGACAAATTATCAGAATATGAGGACATCAGTCTATATATATAAATAAATATATATATATATATATATATACACACACACACATTTATATATATACACTACCGTTCAAAAGTTTGGGGTCACCCAAATAATTTTGTGTTTTCCATGAAAAGTCACACTTATTCACCACCATATGTTGTGAAATGAATAGAAAATAGAGTCATGACATTGACAAGGTTAGAAATAATGATTTGGATTTGAAATAAGATTTTTTTTACATCAAACTTTGCTTTCGTCAAAGAATCCTCCATTTGCAGCATTGCAGACCTTTGGCATTCTAGCTGTTTATTTGTTGAGGCAATCTGGAGAAATTGCACCCCACGCTTCCAGAAGCAGCTCCCACAAGTTGGATTGGTTGGATGGGCACTTCTTGGGTACCATACGGTCAAGCTGCTCCCACAACAGCTCAATGGGGTTCAGATCTGGTGACTGCGCTGGCCACTCCATTACCGATAGAATACCAGCTGCCTGCTTCTGCTCTAAATAGTTCTTGCACAATTTGGAGGTGTGTTTAGGGTCATTGTCCTGTTGTAGGATGAAATTGGCTCCAATCAAGCGCTGTCCACTGGGTATGGCATGGCGTTGCAAAATGGAGTGATAGCCTTCCTTATTCAGAATCCCTTTTACCCTGTACAAATCTCCCACCTTACCAGCACCAAAGCAACCCCAGACCATCACATTACCTCCACCATGCTTAACAGATGGCGTCAGGCATTCTTCCAGCATCTTTTCATTTGTTCTGCGTCTCACAAACGTTCTTCTTTGTGATCCAAACACCTCAAACTTGGATTCATCCGTCCACAACACTTTTTTCCAGTCTTCATCTGTCCAATGTCTGTGTTCTTTTGCCCATCTTAATCTTTTTCTTTCGTTGGCCAGTCTCAGATATGGCTTTTTCTTTGCCACTCTGCCCTGAAGCCCAGAATCCCGCAGCCGCCTCTTCACTGTAGATGTTGACACTGGTGTTTTGCGGGTACTATTTAATGAAGATGCCAGTTGGGGACCTGTGAGGCTTCTGTTTCTCAAACTAGAGACTCTAATGTACTTATCTTCTTGCTCAGTTGTGCAACGCGGCCTCCCACTTCTTTTTCTACTCTGGTTAGAGCCTGTTTGTGCTGTCCTCTGAAGGGAGTAGTACACACCGTTGTAGGAAATCTTCAATTTCTTAGCAATTTCTCGCATGGAATAGCCTTCGTTTCTAAGAACAAGAATAGACTGTCGAGTTTCAGATGAAAGTTCTCTTTTTCTGGCCATTTTGAGCGTTTAATTGACCCCACCAATGTGATGCTCCAGAAACTCAATCTGCTCAAAGGAAGGTCAGTTTAGTAGCTTCTGTAACGAGCTAAACTGTTTTCAGATGTGCGAACATGATTGCACAAGGGTTTTCTAATCATCAATTAGCCTTCTGAGCCAATGAGCAAACACATTGTACCATTAGAACACTGGAGTGATAGTTGCTTGAAATGGGCCTCTATACACCCATGTAGATATTGCACCAAAAACCAGACATTTGCAGCTAGAATAGTCATTTACCACATTAGCAATGTATAGAGTGTATTTCTTTAAAGTTAAGACTAGTTTAAAGTTATCTTCATTGAAAAGTACAGTGCTTTTCCTTCAAAAATAAGGACATTTCAATGTGACCCCACACACATTTATATATATATATATTACTGAATAAAATATTACAGAATTAAATCAGAACAAAACAGTAGTCATAAATAATACATAAAGGTTTTATTTTGGTTTTTAGCTCAATAATAAATTCAATTCGATTCTTACGGAATGAACGGAGCGAAAAAAAACGCTTCCGGCGACTAAATCCGACTACCGGAAGTCCCTACCGGAAGTCCCTTCTAACAAAAAAAAAATCGATCATTGGAATAACCCTCCCACATGTTGTTTGGTTTTTTTAGCTGGACGAATTAATTCCGTTAGAAACGTACAGCATGGATGTGACCAAAAAACAAACTTTTGGCGAAATATTTCGGCGCCGGAAGTCCGCCAACGAGAAAGCCCGAATTATTTCGCCTTAAGTAATTCTGAGTGAGTATTGCGGAAGTTCATCTTCTGGGTCCGCCATCTTGGGCTGCAGTTGGGTCACTCTTAATTCGGACGCAGCAACTGACTCTCACTATAGTACTTTTTCTATATTACTCTGAAACGCCAGCAGGATAAATCCAGGAGAAAGAACAGTTTGAAGTTTTAATCATGTTTTACTACAAAAGTCATTATCTTAAAGTCATTTTGACCATTTTTAAAGAAAAGTGCGAAAATGTTTGACTTTTACTTTTAAGACCGTTTAGTGAGAAGATAAGAGAGCCGGTGGATCTGAGAGACCGTTTATACTGTCAGTTCAGTTAGTTAACAGTCTGCGTGTGTGTGTGTGTGCGTGTGTGTGTGTGTGTGTGTCTCACCACAGCCACGGAGTGTGGGCTCGGTCCGGTAAACTCTCGGTTTCTGGTTCTTCTTTGACTCAGCAGCATCTTCTCTCGGTCTGATGGTGTTTTTATTTCTGCCGTCTCTGAGTAAACACTGACAACAAACCGTTACCATGGTTACCGCAGACATGGAGACGACGCCTAAACCAACTTCCGTGTACAACATCGTCCTTTCACTGATTTCCTGTTTTAATAGCCTGAATGAAAATCTGTAAAAATCTCTGAAAATCCCTCTGAGACACTGACCAAGTTTAAACTTTGCAAGTGAAGTACTGCGGCCACGACTGTGACGGTAAACTACAGTACCCATGATCCTCTTCGCTGGTGCAAGGCTGGATAGTCTGTTTCAGAGCAGTGGATTAAACTGCTCTGGTCTGTTTCTGTTGAAAATCTGTGGCTGTGTCCCATTTAGAGACTGCACCGTCAAACGGCACAAAACGGCGCATTTGAAGCGTGCATGGAATCATCACGCGGCGCGAACGGTTTCCCATTTGGCACGAAATGCTAAGCGCGCTCAGCATTTTTCGAGCGTGCATTTATGCACACTTTCGTGCCGTTCGTATCCCAGAATTCTTTGCGTGCCGCTGCACAGCTGCGCTTTCCGGTAAGAGGCTGGATTCGCTTGGAGACACAGCGCGTCTTCAAAGAAAATACAAGAAATCCAAAAACAGCAGACAGTCAGCTCAGGCTGTATGAGCGCATGATCTCTGAACTCACTAAAATATGCAAACCAAACATTATCGCAGGGGTGGGGAACCATGTGCCACAGAGAGCCGAGAGGCTGCAGGTTTTCTTTCCAAGCCAAAACTCCACCAGGTGATTTCACTGATTAGTCCCTGCTCTCTGCTCGAGGTAAGGTATGCTGCGTCCGAATTGCCCGCTCGGGTACTACATGCTACTGCTACGTGCTACTGCTAGATCCTACTCCTACATACTAAACACGTTGGCCCAATTCGGACACACTAGACGAGCGGTGGGGAAAGACGACCCCGCAGGCAAAGAGTAGGTACTGCGCCCGTTTTAGACTGAATGGTAATTGTGCAAGTGATGGATGCTTCTTTATTATATTCCTGCACTGCTTTAGAAATTCACAAAGTAGCTTTTCCATGACTTTAAGCCTTCATTCACTCACGCGGTGATCATTTGTTCAATGAGATCTGCCTGATTACTGCAGCTGTGCAGTTTAATGATGGAATAAGTGAGCTTTACCGCCATGATGTCGCCACATATTTGCTCATAAAATGATTACATGGGCAAATATGACACCATGACATGACAAAGAGATACAACCGCACATTTTTTAGGACAGTGTGTGAAGTTACATGAAACTTACATCTGTACTGCTGCGGTCCCGCCTGCTGCTGCTGCTGCTGCTCCGCCATGGTGCGCGCTGCTGTGGCCAGCCGACGTTCGCGACACATTTAAATAGGCAGAGCAGCTGGTGGCGCTAGCATCACATGCGCTTCTACAACTTTTAAGAGGACGAAGAAGAAGCCCGCGGTGCATTTTGGGTCAGTAGCATGCCCGTAGGATGCAGAGCTGCGTCCGAATTGCCAAGTAGTAGTCGAAGTAGTAGTCGAAGTAGTATCTAGCATGTCCGAATTGGCCACCGGAGCGAGTAGCATGCTACTTCAGATACTACTTCAGATGCTAGACACGCCCACATTGTAGGTTGGTCTCGGTGCATCCTACGGGCATGCTACTGACCCAAAATGCACCGCGGGCTTCTTCTTCGTCCTCTTAAAAGTTGTAGAAGCGCATGTGATGCTAGCGCCACCAGCTGCTATGCCTATTTAAAAGTGTCGCGAACGCCGGCTGGCCACAGCAGCGCGCACCATGTCGGAGCAGCAGCAGCAGCAGCAGCAGGCGGGACCGCAGCAGCACAGATGTAAGTTTCATGTAACTTCACACACTGTCCTAAAAAATGTGCGGTTGTATCTCTTTGTCATGTCATGGTGTCATATTTGCCCAAGTAATCATTTTATGAGCAAGTGGCGACATCATGGAGGTAAAGTTCACTTATTCCATCATTAAACTGCACAGCTGCAGTACTACAGCCAGGCCCGCAGATGAGGGGCTTCAGTTACCACTGTCTGCACGGGCGCAGTACCTACTCTCTGCCTGCGGGGTCGTCTTTCCCCACCGCTCGTCTAGTGTGTCCGAATTGGGCCAACGTTTTTAGTATGTAGGAGTAGGATCTAGCAGTAGCACGTAGCAGTAGCATGTAGTATCCGAGCGGGCAGTTCGGACGCAGCACAAGAGTACCCAACTGCAGCGCATGATGGCGGACCCAAAAGATGAACAAACGCCATAGACATAATAAAAGGATAGACCCCGCTGGGGGTGCTGCGCAGCGAGAAATGCGGCCGCCATCTTGGTCAGGTCAAGCTTCCCATACGCTCCGGTCAATCATATTCATTAATTCATTCATTCATTCATTCAGCGATGCCGGAGCACTGTGCGGCGTATTCCTGTGCCAACAGGCGGACAGCAGAGAACAGGGCTCAAGGAATAACTTTTCGCAGTTATGATTAAACGTTTTTTCAACATTACACTTGACTGTAGAGTCATTTGTAGGCCAAAGAGGAAGACTATCGGTCAACTCCAAAAAGGAAACAGCATTTGCGAACAGCTAGCTTATTCACAATAATAGCAACTTTGCTCTATTATCAACAGATTTGCATTAGATTGAAAAACTTTTGTTTGAGAGAGGTTCTAAGAAACGTTAAGAAATAAAATAGAAAGAAGAAGGAAGAAAGTGAGCTCTGTTTTATTATCTGTTTTATTAAAGATTTCTTTGTGATGATCTCCTGTTTCATTTTGAAGATTTCCTAAGGACAAAAACTTGAGGAAGAAGTGGGAGATTGCTGTTAGAGGGAGAAATTCGCAGCAAGTGATTCCTCTGTGCTGTGTAGCCAACAAGCAAACTGATATGTAGTTTAGATGCTGTCCTGTCATGCTGTTCTTGTGTTTAAATTCTTTTGATATGTAGGCTATATATTTGTGTGTATTTTCCAGTTATTAAAATAGTGCTTCTATATGACATTATTTGTGTGTGTCTACAAATGGATAAATAAAATTAAACTAAATAAATTATAATCAAATCAATATATATTGAATTGGCCTATTAAAACCGCCAGTTATTAATAATTATTGAGACATAGCAGGAACCTAGCTCTAAACCTAGATATATCCTTGATTAATTGTTATACTATAATACAGCCACTGCTGCCATGTTCTAAAATATCATTTTATTCATTCTGAGTATTTGAAAACGCCAAAAAAAATATGGCCTCTATCATGCCTCTTTGAATGGCGTTTGCAGAGAAGAAAATTACGTAGTATTGAGCGAACTATGATTCATTTAATGCGCTCGGACTTCATTCCGCCGGTTAAACAGCGGTGCAGAGTGAGGCGGATGACCGGACCAAGATGGCGGCCGCATTTCTCGACAGCGCCCATTCGTGGTAGCGGCCGACGCGGGGTCTATCTTTTATTATGTCTATGAACAAACGCAATGAACTTTCGCAATGAATTCCCGCATTACCTCCAATTGGCGGACCCAAAACATGAACTTCCGCTTTGCGATGCCAGAACAGTAGGTGGCGGTATGCACCTAAACTTTCTGACGGCAAAATTTACAGAAGAAGAAGAACTCTCAGGAAGTTTGAAAAGAAGCAAGCCGTCCGCATTCATTCAATCTCACCTCCGACCCACTCAAACTAACCCTAACCCTGCATTCCATTGTTTCCATCATGGGAAATCTAAGTGACACTCTCAAATTAACAGGAACATTGCGCAGAAGATATGTCCTGGGCAATGGACTGAGAAAACGGGCAGAGATTTAGAGGTATTTGTGCATGCTCTATATTACAGTTGAAAAGTGTATAACAGCTTTCCAATGCTGTTACTTGTGGCGAACACCTTTTTGCTTGAGTTGATGCGTGCCCGCAGGTGGAATAATGTCACATGTCACACCGTCCATATTTTCTGTTGTTTTGATTTATTTACTCATTCATCATTTTATGTAAGACAAAGACACAAGACCACTTCACACGGTCAAAAAACTGTTCGGCTTCCCAGGTGTGCGCACCTGTCCAAATCAAACCACCCATTAAATAGACAGGCACAATTGCACCATCTGCTGGCACAAAAAAATACATAATAAACTGCAAAACCCCAATCTGGCTCCTACAAAGTGTATGTGACAAGATGATTAACGTTTGCTTTTGTTAAATCAAGGCTTCCCCAGCCAGGACTTAGGCTCAGACTGTGGCATATTCATGTTGATGGTAGGTCATAACGAGCTGTAATGCACAAATATTGTATCTAGAATAACTTTCCAACATGGACTTTTTTAAAGTTATCTCACATGTTGTCTCATAATTTTTTTTTTTTTAAGTCTGCCATGTACATCGTTCCGGAGTCACAGTTTGACTACTCAGTTGTAAGTACTTTTCAACACGCAGTGTCATCCTCAAGGTTGTATTTTGTATTGTGCACTAAAATGAAATACAAACAACAATTTCAGCATGACATGCCTGTTTTGCGGCGATGGTGGTGCCTGTTGCTCCTGGAGAACAATTCTTTGAACAGGTAGACAGTTTAAGTAAACTAGATGCCCTAATTAACTGGAAGACAATCAATATATTGTACTTAAAGATATATTGTCATTACAGTTGTGGGAAAATCTTCGCCCACTGGACCAAAGAATGTAAAGAGCTCATTGCTGGAAAGCATACTCCGGTCTTCAGACTAAAGAGGAAGGCAGAGCAGCAGGACATAGAGGTTAGAAAATTGCCTTCGAAAAACAGTATTATCTCAGTGGGAGTCCTTCAAAATGCACACAGTTGTATGGATCAACATTGTCTCGATGTATTTGGTAATTGATGTTACTTTTCAAATTGACTTGTCAAGGAAACCATGACGCAGACGGCATCGGATGTCCGAAGAATGTGCATGGCAGAGTCGATGCAATTCTGTGTCTACCAGACATCAAACAACACAGGAGAGAGGTGTGTTGCAGACTCAATTTAATAAATGCAATTATCGGGGCTTATTCAGTGATTTTCCATGAAGTGACCACTTTTACATATAGTTTAAATGCACGAATCATGCGGGAAAATTATTTATACATTCAAATGTGCTGTAGAGGTATAATCAATTGGACAGCGTGTTTGTTTAATATTATGTTTGTCTCTCATTTGATCAGATTGCTTTACCCTGAGGTAAACTTCATAAAATGGGTCCAGTGCAAGACGTGCAGGGGCTGGCTGCATCAGGATTGTGCCGGGATTGAAATGGAGCCGTTTGACTGCGGCTGCAAGGACTCCATTGAGCATCCTCGGTATAATAATTACCGGAAACATAGTATCAGTCAAAAATACGAGGCTCAAAGGATGAAAAAATGAGGGCTTGCTCTTTTTCTTATTTCTCTGCAGGATCAAGGATGCCGTTGACAGTGGAAGAATTGGTGCTGTCTTTTCTAAGACACAGATCAAGGTTGCTTTTGAATGCACTATCAGTTGTTAAAGCCACCGTTTCTTTTTCAGATGATTACATTTTTGTCTCTTGCTCTTTGGTTTCAGACATTACACGATGATCTACTGTCTGGAAAGATCCGCTCCAACAGAATGTTTCTTTGGAGGAATCCCGCCACCTCACTCCGGCTAAAGCAGCATCTTAAGATAAGGACACTAAGTTGGAGTGAGCAGCGCGTAAGTAAAAATGCCATCCATCATGAGTATTTTTACTCTCAGAGGTGTTACATTTGAAAGCTGTTTACTTTCTGTGTTTTTCTTCAATAGATGTTCGAGCTCCTGCGGTTCATTGAGGAGGCAACAACCATTTCAGAAAAAATCAAGAGAGGCGAGATTCACCTGCTTGATTTTGTTTTTGATGTCATGCTCCCAGAGGTGAGTAGATCAAACTATATAGCTTGCTTTGAAAATTTATGATATTGTTAAGAGGTTGTTCTTATTCATTTGGAAAGCTCAAGAACAACAATTAACCCATACTGCATAACTTCAATTGTTCACATTATTTGACTGTTTTTCAGCTTTTGATCAAAGCACTTCAGGAGCATGGCATCACCCGGTTAAGAGCAGAGCAGATGATGGCCTGTGGCAACATATTTTAAGCCCCCCACCACACCGACGGCAATGCTCTGAATTATGTATATATTATATTTTTTTTTACTGTTCACAATTTTTTTTGGAAAACATTAAAGAAATCTTTGAAGCAGTTGTATGACAATTTCCCATTTCTTTACACAGTCTGTAATGATATCGCAATTCAATTGTTTTTGCTATATGGCTCTTCTGAACCTTAAAGAGATCATGTGACTTGTGTCTTTACAATTATTGTATACTTGGATTTTGCACAGTCAAGCAATCCTGAAGAGGCTCACCAGGAAGCACACCATGTCATAAATTATGTCCCTGGTTACACAATGTTACTAAAGGATGGGGGGGAAAATATGTGCAGCAACATAAGCACTCTCATAAAACCTAATTATGAACAACAGAAAATATGTGAGGGTCAGGGCAACATTGTTGACATTAAACGAGGTCCTAATAGGAGTGGAGAAACAAGGTCACAGAGAAGTTAAGAAACATTCATGTGCTGTGTAATGAAGCTATTGGAGAGAGAAGTTAGAAAACACTCTTATATGATGTGTAACAAGAGGTTAAAACAGTCCATACTTACAGCAAACTCTTACATAAGAATTTGAGTAAGATGATAACTTCTACATACATTTATACCTATTCTGACAAATTATCAGAATATGAGGACATCAGTCTATATATACATATTACTGTAAACTTCAGAATTAAATCAGAACAAAACAGTAGTCATAATTAATAACAAAACAGTAGTCATAATTAATACATAAAGGTTTTATTTTGGTTTTTAGCTCAATAATAAATTTAATTCGATTCTTATGGAATGAACGGAGCGAAAAAAAAAAAAAAAAAAAAGCTTCCGGCGATTAAATCCGACTACCGGAAGTCCCTTCTGACAAAAAAAAATCGATCATTGGAATAACCTTCCCACATGTTGTTTCTTTATTTAGCTGGACGAATTAATTCCGTTAGAAACGTACCGCATGGATGTGACCAAAAAACAAACTTTTGGCGAAATATTTCGGCGCCAGAAGTCCGCCAACGAGAAAGCCTATCCACCGGAAGTAATTCTTTTGGGTCCGCCAATCGGAGGTAATGCAGAAGTTCATTGCGGAAATTCATTGCGTTTGTTCATCTTTTGGGTCCGCCATCTTGCGCTGCAATTGGGTCCCTCTCGTAGGATGCACCGAGACCAACCTACAATGTGGGCGTGTCTAGTATCTGAAGTAGCATGCTACTTGCTCCGATGGCCAATTCGGACATGCTAGATACTACTTCGACTACTACTTCGACTACTACTTGGCAATTCGGACGCAGCTGTAATCAGTGAAATCTCCTGGTGGAGTTTTGGGTTGGAAAGAAAACCTGCAGCCTCTTGGCTCTCCATGGCACATGGTTCCCCACCCCTGCATTATAGATTTAGAGACAACTGATCCGCTCTGCTACAACAATCAAAAACATTAGAAATAAGAAAGCTGACAAAACTACAGCAGAGGATCAGGACAACATTGTTTTTTTGTTTTTTTTTAAGATTTAGAGATTAAAGTTGTAAATTTAGGAGAATAAAGTCATAAAGCTGCTTTTGTGGAGGGGGAAATGACTGAAGCTGGTCATCTGCAGGGTTATCTGTGGATGTATCAGCGGGTCATTCAGAGAGATTTTGTGGTTTCTGAAGAAACAATCAAACTGATGATGATCAACATTTGTGATCCAGAGGGAGTCGAGTTTCGACGAGCACCACGTCTCTGACACCGATGGTAACCTACACCTGCAGAGACACCAACACTTTATTATGGCATATGGATTCATATCATAAACTAAAGCCCAATGTCATCCACGGATATTTACGGCTGCATTAACGGATATATCCTCAGCATATTCATTTCTGCCTCCACAAAAGCAGCGATTTCCTTCTAGTACACCAGTTTTTTTTTCCCCGTGGAAAACACGTATTTCTCATATAGTCTTTATACTTATGACAATGTTATGCTGATGTGCCAGAGGATGAAGTATCTCCTTGTTTGTGAAACCTTTACTGAAGCACAGTTACTTTAAATGCTTCATGGCCCTAATTTTAACAAGTCTCCTCTGAAATAACAGGGAACCTTTTGACTTTATTCTCATAAATTAATGACTTTATTCGCGTAAATTCACTACTTAAATCTCGAAGTCTTTAAAGTCTTAAATCTCAATATGGCCCTTGTACACCTTCATACAAAACACAGACACAAAATAGTAGATACATACAAGCACAATTCATCCAATGATTGTTTTGTATGAAGGAGTATGAGGGCCCTATTGAGAAGGAGGATAGGAGATACTTCATCTTCTGGCACATCAGCATCACATTGTCATAAGTATAAAGACTTTAAAAAAAGAATATATGAGAAATACGTCTTTTCCACGGGGAAAAAAACTGGTGTACTTGAAGGAAATTGCTGCTTTTGTGGAGGCAGAAATGAATATGCTGAGGATATATCTGTCAATGCAGCCGTAAATATCCGTGAATGACATTGAGCTTTAATTTATGATATGAATCCATATGCCATAATAAGGTGTTGGTGTCTCTGCAGGTGTAGGCTACGGCCGGTGTCAGAGACGTGGTGCTCGTCGGAGCTCGACTCCCTCTGGATCACAAATGTTGATCATCATCAGTTTGATTGTTTCTTCAGAAACCACAAAATCTCTCTGAATGACCCGCTGATACATCCACAGATAACCCTGCAGATGACCAACTTCAGTCATTTCCCCCTCCACAAAAGCAGCTTTATGACTTTATTTACTTTATGACTTTATTCTCCTAAATTTACAACTTTAATCTCTAAATCTTAAAAGAAAAAAAACTCAATGTTGTCCTGATACTCTGCTGTAGTTTTGTCAGCTTTCTTATTTCTAATGTTTTTTATTGTTGAAGCAGAGCGGATCAGTTCGTCTCTAAATCTATAATGTTTGGTTTACAGATTTTAGTGAGTTCAGAGATCATGCTCTCATACAGCCTGAGCTGACTGTCTGCTGTTTTTGGATTGCTTGTAATTTCTTTGAAGACGCGCTGCGTCTCCAAGCGAGTCCAGCCTCTCACCTGAAATGCGCAGCTGTGCAGCGGCACGCAAAGCATTCTGGGATACCGACGGCACGAAAGCGTGCATAGATGGACGCTTGAAAACATGCTAAGCGCACTTAGCATTTTTTAGCATCTCGTGCCAAATGGGACACCGTTCGCACCGTCGTGACGTCATGCACGCTTCAAATGCACCGTTCGACGGTGCAGAAGGGCACTTAGGTCGATGCGGTCTCTGAAATGAGACACAGCCTAAGTCAGCCTTTTTCCACCTTAAGGCCATCTCCAGACTCCGCTCGTCACTCTCAGACTCTGTCGCAGAAACCCTCATCCATGCCTTTGTATCCTCCCGCTTAGACTACTGCAACGGTGTCCTGTTCGGACTTTCTAAAAAAGACCTAGATCGTCTACAGTATGTCCAAAACTCAGCTGCCAGAGTTCTCACCCGGACCACACCTTGGCAGCACATCACCCCCACCCTCAAATGCCTCCACTGGCTTCCCATCAAATATCGCATCATCTACAAACTCCTCCTGCTCACCTACAAAGCTCTCCATGCCCTAGCCCCACACTATCTGTCTGACCTCCTCAAGGACTACATCCCGGCGCGTACTCTGCGGTCTGCGGACCTTGGGCTCCTCACTGTCTGTTATGGGAAAAGGCGATCCCTCAGTGACAGAGCCTTCAGTGTGGCCGCCCCTCCTCTCTGGAACTCTCTACCCTCTGAGATTCGCCAAGCACAGACTCTTGACTCTTTCAAGTCTGCTCTGAAGCGACACTTGTTTATTCAGGCTTTTGGTATTTAGTTAGGTTTTTTGTAGTGTGTTGTTAAGCGCTTTGTGTATCTTGAAAGGCGCTATACAAATGTAAGATATTATTATTATTATTATTATTATTATCTGAGAAAAACTCAAATTCCTATTCAAAGTCCTATTCTTTCCATAAGGAACAGTGACAGCAAATATGACTGTCAAGTTTTGACTTAGTACATAATACTGTCACTGAGTCACAGTGGGTCTGTTAACATAGCTCCTTTTGGTCATCACTTATTAATCAACATCAGTAATCGACATCAGTATCTGTATCTTCTTCTACATCTGAGTCTGCCGGTTGTGCAAGGGGCTCTTCCTCACTGTATTAGTTGGCACAAGTTTGTGCACTTCAGCCCATTGCTGAGACAGGTGCAGTCTGGTGGTTTGCATGTCCTCACACACTTGCAGGATAGCAACTGCAAGACCCCATCTGGTGCTGGGGAACCACGCATCCACTGTATTTCCAGCTGCCCTTCATCATTTATGGTCCACCCATGGTCCTTGGGGCTTGGTACAGATGGCTTGGTATGAAGAGACCGTCTCCAGATAGCAGCCTGGTAGTTGGCATGAATCGAATGCATTAATAGGCAATCCTGACATGGTGTAAGCTGGCTGGACTCAACTTTAGCCAAGGTCCTGCATGAAGGTGGTGATAGTGAAAGGATTGACGTTGTCTTTGACGTTTACAAGGACATGTCAATCAAAAATTCAGAAAGACTAAACAGAGGTGCAGACATGGGGATCCAGTTCAGAAACATTGTTTCTGGCCACAATATTCAGCAGTGGAGGAAACTTCTCTGCAGCCCTGCCAACAAAGCCAGTCTCATCAAGTTCTTGATGGAGGAATGGAGTTTTTCTCAGATGATTGTATAGAGTGTATACATCAGTAGATCTTATTTTGTTGCTAATGTCTTCTTGCCCTGCACCAGCCAGGATGATTGTATAATGAGTGCCTGCATTTAAAATATGTCAGTGTCATATTAAGGTTGTGTTATGATAATGCTATTAGTCTGCATTTACTTTACTTCTACTTCTAAGTCAAAAAATATCCTTAATTTAGGCCTTGATTTAGACCTGACAATTGGCTAATTGAAGCTTATATATACACACCTGTATTAGATAAATTACTTGAAATACTACTTAGGGGGTTATTACAAGTCTCTATGGCTAGCCAATAGTTCAAACACACCTAAATGCGAGGTTAAAATGAAAGAAAGCTAATTTTGAAGGAAGGCGATTTTTCGTTTTTGAACAGCTGCACTCTATTACTTTAATGAGTGATAACTACAATAAAGCTACCAGTTACCAAGGTCTATCATATAAAAACTTAAAAAAAAAAAAACTAAACTTAAAAAGTACTATGATACCTGAAAGAACTGCTCCACCATCAAATTGGGCCACACCCACTTCATCAACTCATTTAATTAGACACAGGTTTGATTCATTTATAGAAAAGAGCAGTGTTACCCAAAAAGAGAATGACTTTTAATGTGCTTTTGACTTTCTATGTTGCATTTGGAGTTAACAAAAATTCCCCTTTTGAGGAAAATAACAAAATGAGAAAAAAATATAAAAAGCTACCCCTATGAAAAGTCTATCATATTTTAATTTACTTATATTGACCCTAAAAACAATTTAGTATATGTAAGGTTTTGCCCACCCAAGTGGTACCGACATCTGGTCCGGCTCAAGGACTAAATCTATAATGTTTGGTTTGCAGATTTTAGTGAGTTCAGAGATCAGGCTCTCATACACCCTGGGCTGACTGTCTGCTGTTTTTGGATTTCTTGCATTTTCTTTGAAGACGCGCTGCGTCTTAAAGCGAGTCCAGCCTCTCACCTGAAATGCGCAGCTGTGCAGCGGCACGCAAAGCATTCTGGGATACCGATGGCACGAAAGCGTGCATAAATAAATCTCTGAAATGAGACACTGGCTGTGTCTCATTTCAGAGACCGCATCGAGATAAGCACGCTTAAGCGCGCTTAGCTGAGTGCACTGCCGTTATGCACCGTTATGTACCCTTCCTGTGTCCCATTTCAGATACCGCAACCGTCGAACGGTGCATTTGAAGCGTGCGTGAGGTCATCACGCGGCACGAACGGTGTCCCGTTGTGCACAAAATGCTAAGCGCGCTTCAAATTCGGTCTCAAAACCACACTGCCCCCGCCTCTTTTTCAAGCGTGCATTTATGCGCGTTTTCCTGCCGTTGGTATCCCAGAATGCTTTGCGTGCCGCTGCACAGCTCAGGTGAGAGGCTGGACTCGCTTGGAGACACAGCGCGTCTTCAAAGAAAATGCAAGAAATCCAAAAACAGCAGATAGTCATCTCAGGCTGCATGAGCGCATGATCTCTGAACCCACTAAAATCTGCAAACCAAACATTATAGATTTAGAGACGAACTGATCCGCTCTGCTACAACAATCAAAAACATTAGAAATAAGAAAGCTGACAAAACTACAAAACTAAAGTCATAAGATTTGACATGAACCACATATAGATACAGTTAGAGTGACCCCTTTGAATCTATATAGATATAGATACAGTTAGAGTGACCCCTCTGAATCTATATAGATATGATACAATTAGAGTGACCCCTTCGAATCTATATAGATATAGATACAGTAAGAGAGACCCCTTTGAACCTTTACAGATATAGATACAGTTAGAGTGAACCCTTTGAATCTTGATCAGGAGAAGTTTGTAGAAGATTAGAATTTCACAGGGTCCATGAGGGTCTGTGAGTGTTTCATGGAGGGATTAAAGAAAGGGGGGCTGTTCCGGGCCTGAACCGCACTCTGCTCCAGATGGATCCCTGAAGAAAGAGGAAGTTCTGCAACAAAGTCCAGAATATCAGCAGTCAGGACCATCTTCCTGTCCAGTCTGAAGTTTCCGGGTCATTTCATCATCAGAACCAGACTCTCTGTAACACTTTGATTTTTTATTGACACGACACCGACAACAGAACCAAACAGAACCAAACACTGAATCATCATCTGTCTTTAGACTTCACTAGGGTCCATGACTCGGGTCTACTCTCAGTGGCAGAGCCACAGATCAATAAATACGATCAATCAGAGATGACATCATCAACACAATCAGCAGGAAGAGGGCGGAGTTACCAGGAAACAATAAATATCCTTCACTAAGCCTTATAATACAAAAGATATCATACAGTATATACACAGATATGGGGGGGGGGGGGGGGGGGGACTCAGGTCAGCACCACTTATTAAAGGGATATTCTAATGTAAAATTAATTTATGGTCAAACACACCGTAACACTGAGTTAGACCCCCCCTCAACCGATGAATGTTGCCGACAGCCTGCTTCTCTAGTTATACCAGCTTAAAGGGGACCTGCCATAAAAATTTAATTTTTTGTGTTTTTTTGTGTCAGATAAGGTCCATATTATGTTCGTCTTATGTTGTAAATGTGAAAACAAACCGTTACGTCATATGCGTTCTGTAAAGGTTTAAAATAAAGGAACGGGTAAACCAGGCCAATTGAAAAAGCAGGTCCATCTGACGTCGCGCTGACCTTGCTCATTATTATTCACGAGCGCGTCCTCGGTGAGCCGCGCCCACTCTCTCGTTCTCATACCCAGTCACAGTGAACGTCACTCTCCAGAGCGAGACCCAGCTACTACTGTATCCGCCATGGGGCTCTTCCAAACGACCGGTGTTTCCTTGGGTTTACTGCCGGGAAAATGAACTTAAAGCTGGGCAGAATGAATGAGAAAACACCGCTGGAGCTCTCCGGCTTCTTCTTCAACTTCCACCTCCTCTTCGGACTCAGGGTCTAAAATATATGGTTTAATACCTGCCATTTTTAGCCTTTAGCATAAGGTGACCAGATGTCCCCGATTTCCGGGGACAGTTCCCGTATTGGATGACCTGTCCCCGGCAAAAGCTGTCCCTGAAAATGTCCCCGATTTAAGCGTTTCAGGAATGAGAGCAAAAATCTTGCGTGTGGACTCGAACAACGGTTATTACTTTAGCCGAATAGGTAGGAAGCACAAGTTAGCAGTCCTGAACAACAGTTCTTACGGGGGTTATTACAAGGGGCATGCGCTGCTACTAAATAGTACCGAGACTTTGTCTGTGATCACACAGCCCCTGCAGCCCCTGCACCCGCCACCACCGCTGCACCGAATATCCCCGGATATCATTACAGACATCTGGGCACCTTACTTTAGCACACATTAGCATAATGGATAAACCGAAATCCGAACCCGCACTGCTGAGCCAATCAGAGCACAGCAGGCTTCACAGCAGCGATCCAATCAGAGCAAAGCTCATTACCATAAATGTTAATGAGCCAAAACCAGTTGGTTTTCATGTAAGGTTTTTTAGGCATGCTAAAACAAACCATCAAATAACTTTTCAGCTAAAATTATGTTGCAAACATGATCAGAGGACATCAAGGATTATGAAAAAATGATAAAAATGGGTACGAAATTTTGGTGGCAGGTCCCCTTTAAGTAATGACCGCAGGATAGCAATACACAGTGGTCTGAGGAGCCTTAAATAAACCTCAACCAAAATGCCACTCTATAGCCACAAATAATGCTCAGAACAGCACCTAAATTCATCAACAGTACATATAGGGTCCCAGCCATAGTACTAGCCACCAAACATCTTTTTAACTTTGACTAATTTCCATTGCAAAGAGACTAAACACAACTCACCTACTCTCTTCCAGCAACCGCTTATTTGTAGCGAGACCTCAGGCCAGTTTATTACGGACTACAGCGGGGTGACGCAGCTCAAGGAAGAACATTAATGATCATTTCTTTATCATTTCCTTGAAGTAATCAACATGTTGATCATTTTTCACTGCAGAAGCGGTAGTTCTTCTGCCTTAGTGTCTCAGTTTGATTGTATTTCCATGAAGAAATGATCATAAATGTTCTTCCTTGAGCTGCATCACCCCGCTGTAGTCCATAATGGACTGGCCTGAGGTCTCGCTACAAACAAGCGGCTGCTGGAAGAGAGTAGGTGAGTTGTGTTTAGTCTCTTTGCCATGGAAATTAGTCAAAGTTAAAAAGATGTTTGGTGGCTAGTACCATGGCTGGGACCCTATATGTACTGTTGATGAATTTAGGTGCTGTTCTAAGCATTATTTGTGGCTATAGAGTGGCATTTTGGTTGAGGTTTGTTTATGGCTCCTTAGACCGCTGTGTATTGCTATCCTGCGGTCGTTACTAAAGTTGGTACAACTAAAAAGCAAGCAGTCGGCAACAATCATCTCTGGATGTGTCTAACTCGGTGTTACGGTGTGTTTGACCCTAATTTAACTTTACGCCAGAGTATCCCTTTAAGATAAGACCTGTAGGGGGGGGGCTTACTGTGAATAAGAGGGACTCTGGAGGGTCCAGAAGAAAGTGTGGTCCTCCAGATTCTCATCAGTCATCAGGTTTGAGTCCGAACCTCTCAGAACCAGATCAGGACTATTTTTAGATCTCTTTAGATTCCCTGAAGCCGGTTCTAATCGTTGAATGGAGCAGGTCAAGCTTTTATTAAAGTTCTGTTTGATTAAACACATACTGTAAATGAATAAGGAGGGTCTGTATGGCCAGTAGGGGGTGCTGTGGGGGTGAATCTGTCCTCTCCACAGCGGCCTTCACACTCAGCAGTTTAGTGGTCAGCCGACAGACTATGGAGGGTTCAGCGTGATGAGATCAGGAGGATGAACACATGAGGATCCTGCTAAATAAATCCAGGATGTTTAACTAAAAGGATAAAAAAAACCCACATAAATTAAATTAACGTCCTACATGTCACCTCTCCTTACAGTCCAGTCCTCATGCTGTGCCTCTCCTTTAGCGCATGCTCAGACCGTTAGAGTGCCCCCTGCCTTCAGGACATGCAGGGATCATTACATCAGTGTCAGTCAGAGGGTTTGTGTAACATTCAGGTGTTCCTCCGTTCACCTGACAGTAACGTGATGGTGGAGAAATGTCCGTTTGTTTGTGGATTACCATGTATTCTGGGAGACGCATGAACAGAGGTCAGTCAGGTGGTACATTCACTTCCTGTGTGTTCCAGTTTTCGATTCCCTTTCATCGTTCTGCTCCCCATCAGACGTCGTCAAAGATCCGACTCCGTGAAGAGGACATGGACAGATATCGTCCTCCTGCGTGTCTGAAAGAAAAAAAAGAAAACAACCATACAGGGGCGGGGTTTTAGAGTCTGCAGACCACACAGCGTCCCACCGTAATAACAGCTGAGCTCGCCGCGTTTACCTCCCGGACTCTGAGTCCAGAGCGTCATCCGTCAGAGAATCGGCATTGAAGTCCAGAGGTTCGGCGTCCTGCAGCAGCTCGATGCAGTCCCTCTCTGCTCGAGTCCCAGAGCGAGAGTATTTGGCTTCTGTCAGACACACACACACATACGCACACGCACACACGCACACACACACACACACACACACACACACACACACACACACACACTTCCTGTTAGCATGAGTTAGCAGGTTAGCGCTTCACTAAACTGCTGACTCAGCAGGACTTACGGCGGCCGTCTCTGGGTGCCACGGTGTCAGAGTAATTGGTCTCCTTCATCTCATGGCTGCTCCTGTTCCTCGCAGTGTAGTCTTCCCTCGGGTTTCCATAGCGCTCCTTCCACTCCTGCAGGACACACACACACACACACACACACACACACACACACACACACACACACACACACACACACACACACACGCGCGTGCGCGCACACGCGTGCACACAACCACACACACACACACGCACACATACACATAAAACACACACCATTTAGGTAAATGAAATCCAGAACCATCAGGAGGAGGATTTGGCGATGGTACGGGTCACTCACCCTCCGTCTGTTCTCGCCGTCTTCAATCCTCTGGCGCTTCCTCTTCTCTGTAAACAGAAACTGGCGTTACTGCTTGCTCGCTCACGCTCTCACTCTGTTCGCTCTGATTTTAGTTACACCATCATTACCTCGCCGGATCAGCTCTTTTCCTTCGTCGATTAGGTCAGAGGTCATTTCGTTGTCACCCATAAACTGTTGGAACCCAAGCAGGTTCAGGCAGCGCGTTCCCAGACTAAGAGAAGAGATGAGGAGATAAGGAGAGAAGGAGAGAGGAGATGAGAAGATGTTATTCAGGATCACTCAGAGGTTCTTCCAGAACTTTCCTCCTCTATCCCATCAGAACAACAAACAGCTGCTACAGGAAGTGGAACATAATCACCAAAAAACACCGTCACAGCCATTCAACAGTGACCACCTGAGGGAGACCAGAGGAGGTCAAAAACACGTAAGGACACACACATGAATACACACACATAAGGACACACACACATGTAGACACACACATGAATACACACACATGAGGACACACATATGAGGAAACACATGAGGACACACGAAGACACACACATGAAGATACATATGAGGACACTCAAATGAGGACACATACATATGACGACACACAAACACGAGGACCCACATGACGACACACAAAGAAACACACATATGGACACACATGAAGACACATGAGGACACATGAGGACAAACACGAGGACACACAAATGAGTGAAGACACATGAGGACACACATGAAGACACACACGAGGACACACATGTAGACACACATGAGGACACACAAATAAGGACACATACATATGAGGACACACACACAAGGACACACATGAAGACACACATATACTGACACACACATGTGGACACATATGAGGACACACAAATGATGACACACAAATAAGCAGACACACAAAGACACACACACAAAGAAACACATGAAGACACACACTTGAGGACACACATGTATATCCATATGAGGACACACGAAGACACACGCGAGGACACACATGAGGACACACACGAGGACACACATGTCAGGACTGGGGGGCTCTCTGTCTCCATGACAACAGCAGCAGCAGTATTATCAGGCATGAAAATGGGTCAGGGGTTGAAAAGGTGAGAAGCGGGGGGGGGGGGTGAAGAGTGATTGAAGATAATTATTAGTATAATAGTATAATAATCTCTTAAATACAACGGAGTATGAGGGCCACATTAAGACAAAAAACGTTTTTAAATCTTAGACAATAAAGTTATTATTTAGGAGAATAAAGTCAATAATATATAAGAATAAAGTCGTAAAGTTACCTGTTGTGGAGGAGAGTTGCTAAAATCAGCACTGAGGAGCATTTAGATGAATTGTACTTTAGGTTTCACAAACATGGAGATACTTAATCCTTTGGTACATGAGCATTACACTGTCAGTACTTTAAAAAGAATATATGAGAAATGCTGCTTTTGTGGAGGGGAGAATGGCTGGAAATGGCTGTACAGAGGCTAAATTCATCAATACAGCTGTTAATAGCAATAGCATAGGGCTTTAGTTTATCATATGAGTCTATATGCTTTGAGGTGTTGAGGTCTCTGCATGTGTAGGTTACTGACTTACTGTAATCATCGGGTCTTTCTCGTCCTTATAAAAACCTGCTCTATTTCGGCGAGTGTCTGTCTTCTTCTGTAGTCTAACCGCAATATATCAAAATCTACCCGGATACAGCAATGCTGCTTTTTGATTGGCTGTTCAGTATATATACTTTATTTGATTGGTTTGCGCGTGGCACGCAGCTTCTGAACTCTCTGAGGAACTCAGTTGATTTCTACCTGTTCCATTGTTACAGAGGTGCAACTTTGTGGACATCACCATGTTCATATAAATGCGTGAGAAATACAATGTGTGGCGTGTGAGCGTGTGAACGGGTGGGAATGTGTGTGTCACACGCTGAATGCGTGAGACTTGAGAGCCCTGCAGAGCAGTAAACGCGAGACGCCCGCTTTCGCTATTTTAGATGGCTCAAAACTTGGATTATTTCGCCTTGTTGTGTACTTTCAACCGCGCTCCTGTCTGGGGGGCATTCTACGGCGGGGTGCATTCTACGGCACAACACCGGCGTGGATAAGTCCTGCTTCTCGTTCTCGCAGCTTTGCAATGCTACCACAGGCTCTCCAAGCACTCCAAGTACACGTGAAGAGTGTGCGCATGATCGGAACAATGGAACGCAGTTTGGCCTATGATTGGTTCTCGTCAGCGAAGGAGCCAGGAGGATTTGCTGACCGTCCAAGTGTCATTTAAAGGGCCGATTTCTGAAGCGCTCAGTTTACGTATTGAGTCAATCACATGATAATAAAAGAACAAAAAAAATCTCCTGACCCCGACCCCCCCCCCCCAAAAAAAAATTTCTCCTCGGATCTACACGATTCACGTAGGTCACCCTTTTTGACTTCAAAACGGCGAATTTCGCCGAAAGGTGAGAGATTTTCATGCCTGATTATCTGTGGTTTGTGTGTCTCTGGATTTTGACGGTCCGTCAGGAGGACATGTCCCCGTCACTAAAACCACGTTGATGCTGTTTCTTTGGAGTCTGAGGTCCTCCTCAGTCCGTGTCCTCCTGGACTCAGCAGACTTCAGTCCTGATGATTGGACCAAAGATCTCCTCCTACCTGAGCTTCACCTCCCTGTTCGGGTCACTCAGACTCACTCAGGCTCGCTCTGATTGGCTGCTCTGCTGTCTGTAAAACATCTACACCTGAAGTTGGCCAATCACTGCAGAGCTTCTTCACTCACACCTGAACACAGACAGGTAAGGTCGCCACACACCAAACATCCGGACGGCTTTTTTCACTGGTTGCCATGCCAACCTTGGTGGAGATAACAGTGAACTCACCTGAAGTAGGTGGCGATACAGAGGAGGACGATCAGCATGGGGTAGTAGATGTAGAAGCCGTTAGCGATGAAGGAGAGGACGCGCATGGAGCCCATGATCTGAAAGATACGTGACACACTCAAATAAACACACTCTGTCTGTGAGCGCGGGCTCCACCTGTCCATCATGATGCTGCAAGTGACTTACAGAGGTGTACGCCGTCTGCTGTTTGTCCTGGTGGGAGATAGCCGAGTCCATGTGGATCAAACCCAGAAAGTTCAGACACAGAGGAGGCGTCAGGCGACAGAACAACCTGCAGGTTAGACAGTCAGAGTCGGCGTCAGGTACGCATCATCACCTGTCCTGGACAAACCCGCGATTTAACCTTTGGTTCCTATTAATTTTAAGCTCCATCCAGCCTACTTTGTCCCAAAGACAGACATGCAGATAAGTGTTAAAAAAATAATCATTTTTTAACACTGTTTTAAAAAAAAATTTCGACTCAAATCTCTTAAACAACTTCAACCCTGACCATTAAAAAAATAAATTAATTAAAAAATTTGATGGATTACCCTTTTCATGCCAGTTTTTGTGCACCATGTCACTGTTAATTTTAATGATAGAAAACACAAAATCAATCAGACTCAAAACTTTGCAGCTATCCAAGCCCAATGGTGGTCTTAATCTACCAAATTTAAAATTATATTTTTGGGCTGCACAAATGAAACCCCTGGTTGAATGGATTCAGGATAACACAAACACACAATGGGTTACTATTGAAAAACAACAATGCCATGATCCTTTACAAAACATACCATTCTTGGATGCTCCCTCCGGAGAGATGTCAGACTGGACAAAGGTCACTCTTAAAATATGGAGTAAAATAAAGTGTGCTTTTAAGCTACCAAAGTTGATTTCACCTCTGACCAATATTGGCTCTATGAAGACTTTTACACCTAACAATTTAGATATCAGCTTTAAAAAATGGTCAGAAAAGGGACTGACTTACCTGCATCAACTGTTTGATTGTGGCCTCCTCAAAACATTTGAAGAGCTAAAAAACAGTTTTGCCCTCCCTAGAACAAATTTCTTCAAATACTTGCAACTTAGAACCTTTTTGACAACTCGTAAGGAATGGGACAAATTCACAAAGCCTACACTCCTCGAAAAATATCTGACAGAGTTACAGACTGGAAATGGAGAGAGAAAGAAAATAATTTCCAAACTACACTCACCGGCCACTTTATTAGGTACACCATGCTAGTAACGGGTTGGACCCCCTTTTGCCTTCAGAACTGCCTCAATTCTTCGTGGCATAGATGGTGGCAACAAGGTGCTGGAAGCATTCCTCAGAGAGCTTGGTCCATATTGACATGATGGCATCACACAGTTGCCGCAGATTTGTCGGCTGCACATCCATGATGCGAATCTCCCGTTCCACCACATCCCAAAGATGCTCTATTGGATTGAGATCTGGTGACTGTGGAGGCCATTTGAGTACAGTGAACTCATTGTCATGTTCAAGAAACCAGTCTGAGATGATTCCAGCTTTATGACATGGCGCATTATCCTGCTGAAAGTAGCCATCAGAAGTTGGGTACATTGTGGTCATAAAGGGATGGACATGGTCAGCAACAATACTCAGGTAGGCTGTGGCGTTGCAACGATGCTCAATTGGTACCAAGGGGCCCAAAGAGTGCCAAGAAAATATTCCCCACACCATGACACCACCACCACCAGCCTGAACCGTTGATACAAGGCAGGATGGATCCATGCTTTCATGTTGTTGACGCCAAATTCTGACCCTACCATCCGAATGTCGCAGCAGAAATCGAGACTCATCAGACCAGGCAACGTTTTTCCAATCTTCTATTGTCCAATTTCGATGAGCTTGTGCAAATTGTAGCCTCAGTTTCCTGTTCTTAGCTGAAAGGAGTGGCACCCGGCGTGGTCTTCTGCTGTTGTAGCCCATCTGCCTCAAAGTTCGACGTACTGTGCGTTCAGAGATGCTCTTCTGCCTACCTTGGTTGTAACGGGTGGTTATTTGAGTCACTGTTGCCTTTCTATCAGCTCGAACCAGTCTGGCCATTCTCCTCTGACCTCTGGCATCAACAAGGCATTTCTGCCCACAGAACTGCCGCTCACTGGATATTTTTTCTTTTTCGGACCATTCTCTGTAAACCCTAGAGATGGTTGTGCGTGAAAATCCCAGTAGATCAGCAGTTTCTGAAATAATCAGACCAGCCCTTCTGGCACCAACAACCATGCCACGTTCAAAGTCACTCAAATCACCTTTCCTCCCCATACTGATGCTCGGTTTGAACTGCAGGAGATTGTCTTGACCATGTCTACATGCCTAAATGCACTAAGTTGCCGCCATGTGATTGGCTGATTAGAAATTAAGTGTTAACGAGCAGTTGGACAGGTGTACCTAATAAAGTGGCCGGTGAGTGTATATGATATATTCTTATCTATGAATCAAAACAACTCTTCACAAATAAGGAGGAGATGGGAGGCAGAGGCCAACATAGACATATCTCAGGATGATTGGCATGATATATGTACCGAGGCACATCTGGTTACAAACTCTAAAAAAGCTCCGCTCATGGCATGCCCGGTTATAAACATGGACGCAGATTCTCACCCATGCACACACGCAACTTTTCCTTACACACATATCCCACTCTTAGACATCCATATCTAGTGGCATGTACAGTTTCATTCATTTCTGATGATGTTTAGTGGATGAATCAGCGCTTCAAACACTCTCAGTCCATGAATGAAGACTTGCATGCGCGGCACTGAAGGGGTTAAAATTATGTGCTGGCTCAATCTGTTGTATCACTTTGGGAAAGTCAAATTTAGAGCCCTGGTGATCGACTAACTGCAAAAAAAAAGGTTGTAATATGTTGTTATGGTGCCATAAACACACAGTCAAACCTGTTTTTAATAGAAGTCTATTGGCCAATTTGTGGACAAAGGAGGGTGGGTGGAGCTAAAATGTGGTGACAGAGAACTACAGGTTACGAAATTTTTTTTTTATATGAGGAAAAATAAGAACTCTCACTAAATTTGATTTTCCAATCTTTGAAAATGTGACTGTCAGCTCAAAATAAAGAGGAAAAAAATGACAAATGTCCTCAAAACAGACAGAGAAGGAGCCAAGGGTTAAAGCCTGAGTTCACTAATCCCACAAAGTCCTGCTGGTCTGTGGTGTTGGCCTGAAACAGTTTTATCATAGACCTTCATCGTTGGACGGACTCATCTTCATGAGCGCAGGTTTTTGTTCATCATTACAATAATAATAATAATGCATCAGATTTCATATAGCGCTTTATCAAAGACCCTCAAAACGCTTTACATTGGATACATCATTAATTCGCTCACACAGTCACACTTTGGTGGTGGTAAACTACCTTAGTAGTCACAGCTGCCCTGGGGCAGACTGACGGAAACGTGGCTGCCATTTTGCACCTACGGCCTCTCCGACCACCACCACACAACACTCACAATCATACACCAGTGGAGGACACACACTGGGAGCAAGGTGGGTTAAGTGTCTTGCCCAAGGACACAATGAACAGACTTGGGATAGGGGGGAATCGAACCGCCAACCTTCCGGTTATTGGACGACCGCTCTACCTCTACCTCCTGAGCTACTAACTCATGTTGGCCACGGCGTCCCTCAGGGTTTAATACTCTGACCTTTGCCTCTCTCCTGCGACACACACTCATTAACATCTGTTTCTACGCTGACAACACAGACCTCCATCCCCCAGGTCAACAAAACTAAACTAGAAAAATTGCATTTCCTTGCAGAAAAATGCGTGGAAATGCTGAGTGCTGGAAGCTGAAAAAGCAATGCAAAACTGCTAATAAAACATAGAGAAAGGTATAAATGTTAAAGCTGTTGAAGTGGTGAAAAAGAAATATAAGTTGGATAATCGTTTAATTGGTTGAAGGACAAATAGTATGAATATGCTCTATAAAAGGAAATTTTATTCATGCTGAAAAAGGCTAGAAAAATGTCTAAGTTTGAATGAAGAAGGAAATTGCCTTAAAAGGCAGGAAGGTGAGAAGTGGCATAAGTTTAAGTTGTAGTACTAGAAGTAGTATGATAAGTAGTCAAGTAGTGATATTAGTAGTCATGTAAGCAGTAGAAGTAGTTTGAGAATAAAAGTAAAAGTCAAAGTAGTAGAGAAAGTAGAAATAGTAGCAATAGCAGTTGAAGTAGAGGGGAAAGTATTAATTTAATTGACATTAGCATTAGTTGTAGTTCCAGATGTGGGATTTTGTTTGAAGGATGAAATAATGCATAAATATTAAAACTAATTTAAACAGGGAAAATTTAAATCATTAAAAATCTTCAAGTATCAGAAAGATTTTAAGTATCAGAAAGGTTTGAATGAGTTTGAATGAGTTTAAATTAGTTTAAAAAAATAAATAATAAATCATCACTGAGTGACTTTAAAATTTGAAAAATTTAAATGAATAAAAATCCTGAATACACCCCATAATGCCCTCAATGAGCTTAAATTTTGAGGCCCTAAATGGTTTCTGTAGGTCAAAGTTCATGGGGGGAGATAGGGGCCTAAGTTCGTCAAGCGCTCTAGTGAAGGGTTTTAAATGTCACCCCCAGTGCTATGTGTACTGAGCCTGGCTTCATGTGTCTCATATGGCCATTAGAAGCAGCTCTCCAGTCAGCTGTGTGTCTCCAGGTGCACTAATTGGTTGCAATGGGAACGGTAGATGCATAACTACAGCAGGAGAAAGAAGGCTTGAAGCTGAGAAACAAAATCCAAAACTATGCCCTGAAGCTCATTCTCTGTAATGGCTACATTCATGATAAGAAACTTGTGAGAACCCCACGACTCTGCTGAACATATTGATACAATTAATTAACAAAATCCTAAATACACCCAATAATGTCCTCAATGAGCTGAATTTTTGGAGCCCTGATGGTTTCTGTAGGTCAAAGTTTGTGGTAGGAGACAGGGGCCTAAGTTTGTCAAGTGCTTGGCTTGGCCTGGCTTCATGTATCTCATATGGCCATTAGAAGCAGCTTTTCAGTCAGCTGTGTGTCTCCAGGTGCGCTAATTGGTTGCCATAGGCAGTGACACACACATTGTCAGACTGTGTGTATGTGTCTTGTTAATGGTTTTATCCTAAACAGCTGTGAGATCAAAGGCATTAACTGACCTACTGTTTGACTGAAGTTGCCTAACTGCAGTGAATTTAGGGTCTCTGAACTTCTTCACATAGCACGATTTCCCAGAATGAAAATAAGAACATCGTACGAATCCTCCGCCCTTCATGAAAACAATGATGTGTTTTTCATGTCTGTACTCCAAAAAATGTGGCCACAACAGCGAGTTAAAAAAGTCTGAGCCTGAGTGGTGATCAGGATTTTCTGGGAGAAAAAGTACATTAGGGTTAATGGGAGAGATTTCCGCCTATTTGGACAGTTGGTCACCTGCTGGCCAAGGGGTAGGATTTAATGATTTGAAACCTCTTTTGTAAGAAGCATGACACATATACCTCCATTTTGAAGTATTTTTTATGGCTGTGGAGTGAAATTTATGGGCGTGGTAGCGATATATTCGAGCGATGTTCTGTCAATCCAAGAGGACCTCTGCACTCTAACAAGGTAATTACACACTCTATCCTCTCCAATACACACCCATTATAAAGCCTGAAATTTGCTGAAAACCACGAGTTGCTTAAAGCTAAATTGTGGAAAAACTGTAAAAGATATAAAAAAATACAAGTTTAATAGTTGACAGGATAATGAACATTTTAAAGCAAAAATGAGGTCTCTAGGTGAAAGTATGCTGAAGTTATAAGGCTCAGAAGGTTGAAGAATAAAAGGAAGAATTGGAAGATTTCCCCATTGACTTCAATGTTAAAATTTTGGCACAAAAAGTTAAAAAAAAAAAAAAAAAAGTATAAAGGGTAGAAAAGCAAAAATTACAAGCGACCATGTCCTGAAGAAGAGGAACAGTTTAAAGTTTGAACGGTTGAAATCGCACAAAGTGGGAAGGAGTTGAAAGCGGACAAAAATAGGTACGGAAGAATAATAAGTTTAACTAGAAAAATTGTATTTCCTTGCAGAATATGCGTGGAAATGCTGAATGCTGAAAGCTGAAAAAGCAATGCAAAACTGCTAAAAAAAAAAAAAAAACATAGGAAGGTTTAAATGTAAAATTGGTTAAAGAGCTGGAGAAAGAGAAGTAGAAGTTGGATGAAAGTGAAAATTGCTGAAGTACAAATAGTATGAATGCGCTTCATAAATTAAAATTGCATTCATGCTGAATAAGGCTAGAAAAACTGTCTGAAATTGCAAAAAAATGGATAAGGAAGAAAATTACCTTAAAACACAGAAAAGTGAGAAGTGGCATAAGTTTAAGTTGAAGTACTAGAAGTAGTATGATAATAGGTAGTTGTAGTAGTGATATTAGTGGTCATGTAAGCAGTAGAAGTAGTTTCAGAATAGAAGAAGTAGAAGTCAACGCAGTAGAGCTTGTGGTAAAAGTAAGAGTAGAAGTAAAAAAAATATTAAGAGAAGCAAGAGCAGTGGAGGTAGAAGTGAAGATACAAGTTAAAGTGACGTAAGTAGTAATTGTAGTGGTAGAACTGGGATTTTGTTTGAAGAATTAAGACATACATAAATAATGAGAATAATTTTGAAGTGGGAAAATTTTTAAATAATTAGAAGTCCTAAAGTGTTAAACAGGTTTGAAGTATCAGAAAGGTTTGAATCAGTTTGAATGAGTTTGGATTTGTCTGAAGAATTTAATAATGCATGAATAATGAGAATAATTTTAAAGTGGGGAAAAGTGAAATGAATAAAAATCCTGAGTACACCCCATAATGTCCTCAATGAGCAGAATTTTTGGAGCCCTGAATGGTTTCTGTAGGTCAAAGTTTGTAGTCCTCGCTTTGTGGGTCTTTTCTCATAGACCTCACAAAGCAGCAAGTACAAGATTGTGTGTGTGTGTGTGTGTGTGTGTGTGTGTGTGTGTGTGTGTGTGTGTGTGTGTGTGTGTGTTAATTAATGCATCTTAACAGGTGTTAGACATCAAAGGGATTAACTGACCCACTATTTGAATGTGAAGCTGATGAACTGCAGTGAATTTAGGGCCTCTGAACTTCTTCACATAGCGTGATTTCCTTAAATCCCAGAATGAAAATAAGAACATCGTTCGAATCCTCCGCCCTTCACAAACACAATGATGTGTTTTTCATGTCTGTACTCCTAAAAATGTGGCTACAACAGCGAGTTAAAAAAGTCTGAGCCTGAGTGACGATCAGGATTTTCTTGGAGAAAAAATACATTAGGGTTAATGGGAGAGCTCTCCGCCTATTTGGACAGTTGGTCACCTGCTGGCCAAGGGGTAGGATTTAATGATTGGAAACCTCTTTTGTGAGAAGCAGGACACATATACATCCATTTTGATGCCTTTTTTATGGCTGTGGAGTGAAATTTGTGGGTGTGGGAGCGATATATTCGAGCAAGGTTCTGTCGATCAGAGAGGAGCAATAAGTGGAAATGCTTAATCAGCATTTCCACTTAATAATTATAATAATAAAGAAATAGGAGAATAACAATAAGTTGAAATGCTTAATCAGCATTTCCACTTAATAATAATAAAGAAATAGGAGAATAACAATAAGTGGAAATGCTTAATCAGCATTTCCACTTAATAATAATAAAGAAAAATGGCAGACAGGAATAACAATCAGTGGAAATGCTTAATCAGCATTTCCACTTAATTAGCTCAATGAATTGAAACAGGAACGCCTCAAAAAAGAGAGAGAAATACATAGAACCAGCTTGTTAGAATAATGTGCATAAATGTATATAGAAGTTATCATTATTCCTCATATTCTTATGTAAGAGTTTACTACAAGTATAAACTGTTTTGACCTCTTGTCACACATCATATAAGAGTGTTTTTTATCATATAAGAGTGTTTTCTAACTTCTCTCTCCAATTAGGATTATTACACAGCACATGAATGTTTCTTCATGTTTCTGTGACCTTGTTTCTCCTATCAGCAGGTGTGTGTGTGATGTATCCTCCACTGTGAATCGTGGGAAGTAATGAGGAGGATCCGCTCTTATCAGAAGGAGCTCGTTTGATGCAACAATAGCCACGTTTACATGCAGACTTTTTTCTCATTCGGATTATAATCATTCCGATTGAAGCTCCCAGGCGAACTGTTTACATGGAAGCGATCTATTCTGATCTGGTGTTTACATGTGCCACGGCATTCAATCGGAACAGCTATTCCACTCCGTTGCCAGCGATGTTTGCCAATGGTCTTCCCCCCAGTATCTCGTCCATCGGTTCGAAAAACGGGAAGTTGTTGGGGTCATACCCACTTTTGCTGTTGTGCTGTTTAGCCCTATAGTAGCCAGCCTTCAGTGTTTTCCAGCGGTTCCTAATCTGTTCGACGTTACGGTCCACCCCTGCCTCGCAGAGTTTTTCGTGAACTTTTTTAAATAGTTCAGCATTTCGTGTTTTCCTACCGTCTAAGCGTGCGACAATGTCTAGTTCTTTGAGAGTTTGTATCAAAAACAAACTCTCCGACGCAGACCAGTGCATCGTGCTCTGCTTGGAAGCCGCCATCATGTTTCCATGTGAGTCATACGTCACTGCTTGTTTACATCAGGACAGAGCATGCGCAGACAGAACCCAGCCTGACAACTTTCTGATTCACCGTTTACATGACAGGATTTTGCTTTTAATCGGAATGGGAAAAGGAAAATTCTACCCCTGTGAATCGGAATGAAATTCCATTCGGAATGGGCCTGTTTATTCCGAATGAGGTGTTTATATGGAGCATTTTCATTCCGATTGGGCTTCTAATCCGATTATATTCGGAATATTTGGCTCCATGTAAACGTAGCTATTGTCGCCTTGACCTTCATATATTCACAGTTGTTCATTATTATGTTTTATGAGAATGCTTACGTTGCTGCACATATTTTTCCCCCACCCTTTAGAAACATTGTGTAACCAGGGGCAACCCTAAATAAAAGAGCGGAGACAGAAAACCACCTTCAGAGTGGTTTCGAGATTGTACCTGATGCTATCTCTGTCCATTCTCCTCGAGTATATACCATTGTCTTTCTCTTCTTTATATGTTATCAGGTAAATGTTGCAGGTTTAGACCCAACACAGCTCCAAGAATGACAAACAAAAAAGAGCCAAAACACAGAGAAGAGTTTACAACGTACAGAAAAGAAAATTTAGCGTTTATCAGGAAACGCCTTAAAGGAAACTCACATGCCACTGAACTGCAGGCTGTAGGCGTCGGTCTGGTGATGGGAGGCTAGGTAGTAGTAGTTAAAAACCCGAATCCGGAAGACAGTGGAGTAAACACAGGTGCACAGGAAGAAGATGGTGATGAAGCACGCCATCTGGTGGAAAAAAAAACAGAGCGTTTACCTCTGCAGGGTTTCGATGCGTGTGTGTTCATGAGTGTGTGTTCATGTCTTTGAGTGTGTGTATGAGTGTGTGTGCATTTTCATTAGTGTTTGTGTGTGTTCACGAGTGTTGTGTGTGTGTTCACGTCTGAGAGTGTATGCTTGAGAGTGTGTTCACGTGTGTGTGTGTTCATGATTGTGTGTGTGTTCATGATTGTGTGTGTGTTCATGAATGAGTGTGTGTCAATGAGTGTGTTTGTGTGTTTCTGAGTGTGTTCACGAGTGTGTGTGTGTGTTTATGAGTGTGTGTTCATGTCTGAGAGTGTGTTAATGTTTGAGAGTGTGTGTTCATGTTTGAATGTGTGTGTTCATGTCTGAGAGTGTGTTTATGTCTGAGGGTGTGTGTTCATGTTTGAGAGTGTGTTCATGTGTGTTTGTGTGTGTGTTCGTGATTGTGTAAGTGTGTGTGTGGGTGTGTGTTCATGAATGTGTGTCTGACCTCAATGTACAGGTAGTTGTAGTCTCGCTCGGCCAGCTGGATGAAGACGGCGAAGAGAGAGAGGACGGGTCTGGTACTAAAGAAGGTACACTCGGACCAGACCACAGCCACACTGAACAGGGTCAGAACCACAGAGAGGAGCCGGTAGAACCAGCGCTTCAGGAGACACTCCCAGTACCACTCTGTGCGCACACACACGCACGCACACACGCACACACACACAGGGTCAGTTGGTACCGCCCTCGGTCTGCTGGTCTTGATTTTTCAAACCCAGGTTCTGATATCTCTGCAGCTCTCTCACATACTGGTTCTGGCACTGTTCTGGTCTCTGATTGGCTCACCTACAGTCGGCGTGTAAACGTATCTGCTGAACCAACCAGCCGGCTCGGAGGACGGGAAGCTGTGGACGAACTGGTGGGTGGAGCTTGTTTCGTTCTTGGCCACATCCTCCAGATGGATGGCCTGCTGCAGGAGGATCTGCCACTGGACCCGGGTCCGGTTGTGTCTCTGAACCGCATAGATCACCTGGACAGAAACACAGACATGTTACCTTAAACCAATCGGCTTTGGGGTGATGGCGGACTCTTCAGGCGCTCTGGTGTAGGTTAGAGTCCAGCCGTGGACCCGTCTATTATCCCTTCGAACTCCCAGCTATATTTTTCTATTTTTGGTCTGCCTGTTTGTCTTTTTTTGTAAAAATCTATGTAACAACTCTATCCTTTCAAGCACAGCAAATATAAACACATCTTTATTTTCAGGACAACCTCAGCTGTCAGTTTATGGAGCAAAAATGATGTAAAATTAACGTGACAGTAGATTCAGAACCATCAAAGTCGACCAAAAAAACTAAAATGGAAATTGATCCCAACAGTACTTTGTTAAAAAAACACATAAATCTACAGTGACCAAGCCTTTTCTCACCTGCACATCATTCTCTCAAGTCTTGGCTATCAGGAGAAGAAATATTGGGATTGGAACAAACACACAACAGAAACTATTGACATATTTACACTAATTCTTCCAGGCGTTTTTACTATTTACAGTTGTTTATGCCACTCCTTGAAGCAGTTCCTGTCTGGGATGAGACAGAAGACCACATTATACTGCTCAGAATCTCTTCTTTGCTTGTTTCCAAACATTGAGGACCATTATTTCTTATTTTGCAGACAATAGGGAACTTTCTTGCCTCTTATTGGACACTACCATCAAGGGAACAATAGAAGAAGAATATGAGACCATGTAATTAGTCGAAAAGTTTGATGTCATCAAAACAGGTTGTCAAACCCGGAAGACATTAGCGGCATTTAACCATAGTGATCTTTTTTTATCACAACAATCTGATAAATAATCATGTTTTCACCGTTATATCACTACAGATTTACCATCAAACGTATCTAATCAAACACCTATTTTTGTGGCTGGATTGTAAACCATGTGGCAAGTGTAGAAATGTCTGGAAACCCTCGATAGATTGCCAAAAGGGTAAGCTTTTCAAAACTTTCTAATCCATAGAGATACACAGTATAGTTCCTTAGAAACTGTAAACAATATTAATGGTGTCACGCTGGATCACCGGTGATCCAGCGGAGTTCAAAGTGTTAAGAATATTTGATTTTCAGCCCCCTGGTTAGTCATCCTGTGAGATATCACTACTCAGATCATTCATACAGTGCCCTCTGTTGGTCAGTCTGTCCAGACTCCTCCCAGCTCTCCTGTGGCGTCCCACAAAGCCCGGTTTGATACACTCTGCTGTTTCCCTCAGAGGTCACATTATCCCTCCTCACAGCTGATTCTTATGAACTTGGAAAACCCAGATCCAGGTCTGGAGGTCTGACTTGACTCCCCTGTAATCCCTCTGATCCTGATTCAGCTGAGGGTTTAAACACTTTAAAGTTCTGTAATCGGCTCTGGACTCACAGGAACCTGCTCCAGCTAAGCGCCCAATAAAAGTGCAGTAAAAACATTATACATTCGTATTTTTTTTTACTTTTAAAGCATCACATCTTGTCAACAACTTCAGACCTATCTGTAGATACAAAGTTCGTTATAATTTTTTCTTATATTCTTTTAGGTTTATTTTTTTCTTTTAGGTATTTTTGTCATGAGAACCCCTGATTTTTTCAATGGGGAAAACACAAAATACGCTTTATTTCCAAAAGTGAGGTGCAAAGTGAAATCCATACATCAATTTTCTACCGCTTATTCCCGTTCCCAGGGTCGCCAGGGGGCTGGAGTCTATTAGGCTGTATTGGGACAGAGGAAAAAGTGCTTAGAAAGTGAATCTCGTTCCACTTCAGTGGGGCAACATAAACTGTGATTCATAAAATAGCTCTATTGATAGTAAGTACTAAAAAAAAAATCTACTCATGCCATCCTGCCGATTTTTAGTAATCAGTGTTTCGGTGTCTAACTATTTCCTTTCTGCGGCGTAGTGATACTTGCACACGCGCAAATCGAATATGCAGAGGGGTGAAGCGATTTTTGTCACGTGGACCAATAGGAGCCGAGTCTCGTTGCCATAGTATCAGAAATACACAAATATGGCGACGAGCGCATCTAGCAGCGAGACAAGCGAAGAGGAAGGAAAAAAAAAAAAAAGAAATCAGCCTTCAAAAGTGCATAATAAAGGAACGAAATGATGCTATACATCTATCATCTGTCCAGAGTGAAGACGTTCTCGACTTTACAAGGACACATTGGGAAACTTACAGAACTAGTATTAAAAAGTGGCTTTCTGTACAGGGTGAGACAAAGGACCTTGCAGAAACTTATAAACATTGCGTTGATATCGACTTTGACAATGTTCCTGATGACACTGGGTTTCACATGACATGCTACCAGCGATTTATTTGCAAAAGGCATTTGAGAAACAAGAACGTGATGCAGCCGCGGGTCAGTCAAACCCTTCAGGCAGCATCGCCAATGCATCCACGTCCACAGCATCTGAAACTCCACGAAAGAAACTTCGCTCAAGGTCATAGGCTGTATTGGGACAAAGGAAAAAGTAGCTAGAAAGTGAATTTCGTTCAACTACGCTGGTGCTACTTGTTCAATGCATTTTTGCATAGACAATACCATTCTGGACTTTGGGTTAAAATGTCTGCTCAGACTATCTGTCTGACTTTTGTCACCAGACAGAAATGTACATATATGTGAGTAACCCCCCCCCCCCCCCCCCCACACACACACACACACACACACACACACACACAAAAAGAGATAGAATTTTGAACAGATAGTGTTGTATTACTACGTAGTATTTTTATTATTATAACAACAAAAATAATATATTTCTCAATTGCAGAAATCCTTCAATAGAAAAAAACACAATTCTGAGGGCCATTTTGAGAAGGGCCCCCAGATCCTGAGGTTTTCTGACGTGTTAAGGTTTACAAAAAAGCTGCTATCTCGGCCTCTGTAGTAGATAGAAACAAAATTCAAAAAGTATTTGAGAGCTTATACATGTGGTTTTCAAGAAAGCTCTCTTTTAGTTTTGCGAACCTTCATCACATTTTTGAAAACCTTAAACAAACAAACTCAAATGAAATAAAGCGGCTGTATAAATAAAAGTAAAGGCTCTGCACTGGAGAATGACAAATAATTTGCTTTCTGTAAAACAAGTGGCAGTCATGATAAAGTGTCCATTCAATACAAATGTAAATATAGAAAATAAGGTGTTGAAAGGGTAAACAGCTGCCCCAGTATAGTGCCAGTACAAAAGCAGAACTAAAAACTAAAAAATGAATAAATAAATACGTGGCTGACAGTGTGTTCATCTCTGTTCTCACCCAAAGTCATGCCACACTCAGAGAAAACGCTGATAGTGTGAGCCAAAGCACTCCATATGAAGAGGTTGTTCACACTGCTGGATGTTTCTCCTCTGAAGCTGCTCTCTGCCTCAGTCATTGTTTACTTCACTCATGAAGCTCATCAAGCACATAGCAAGATCCGAGCATGAACCCGAGCGCTTTATTCGCCTATCAAAGGCAGACGGGTACGGTGATTTCATTCACCGCGACTCCAGAAATGATTAAAAAACTACAAAATGACGTATCCGCGCTCCCGCTGATATGCTGACATGCGTACACAGAGCAGAGCTGTCCCCCCGCGACTCTCTCCCCGCCTCGTCTCACACAGTCTGTCAGCCTCTGTGCAGCACCTTCGGAGCAAGTAGGGGCGCCTACAGCAGCGGGGGGACGCCAATTTGACAACAACAGTTAATACAAAACCGCTTTGCGGTTAAGATTTATTATTATCTTTTATTTTATTTTTTGGAAGTGCTCGTGCCGCCCCCCATGAGTCATGACACAAATGCCGCCCCGGGCGGCTGCCCTGTTCGCCCGTGCCTAGAACCGCTACTGTGAGTAACCCAAAAAAAACCAATCAGATGGTGCTGCTGTTTTTGCTTGTAGAAACTGCTATGTTGATTCTGGCAAGACAAAATCTTTCTCAAATCTCATAAATCCATCTACCTAACATCTGAAACAGTAATTGGTGCCTTAGTATATGCATAAGTGAATTCAGATTATGAAATGTAGTCAATTTCTTGAAGAAAACTCAAGTGATTTGTACCCAGCACAATGAAATATATACAGTCAATTTAGCTAAAAGCTTATGTTTCATACATAAAAATGACACAACCTACTGTGTAATAAAAGCAATAAAATATAAACAGCACATCATGGCCATAAATGGCTGAAAGTCAATCAAATTGCTACCACGCCCCCCAAAATTGGAATAATGGAAAAAATGTAACAAGACAAAAATAAATGCACAAAAGGTCTGAACTAAATCAAAACAAAATATGTGTTTTGATCTTTATTTTCATATTCTGGAGGGATTGATAAATGTCAGATGTTTTGACACTGTGATACTTGAATAAATGTTTTATACCATATTTTGAATTAATTCAGACCTTTTGTGCATTTATTTTTGTCTTGTTACATTTTTTCCATTATTCCAATTTTGGGGGGCGTGGTAGCAATTTGACTGACTTTCAGCCATTTATGGCCATGATGTGCTGTTTATATTTTATTGCTTTTATTACACAGTAGATTGTGTCATTTTTATGTATGAAACACAAGCTTTTAGCTACATTTACTGTATATTTCATTGTGCTGGGTGCAAATCACTTGAGTTGAGACGTTTTCTTCAAGAAATTTGCTACATTTCATAATCTGAATTCACTTATGCGTATACTAAGGCACCAATAACTGTTTCTGATGTTAAGTAGATGGATTTATGAGATTTGAGAAAGATTTTGTCGAATGGTATTGTCTATGCAAAAATGCATTGAACAAGTAGCACTAGCATAGTTGAACGAAATTCACTTTCTAGGCACTTTTTCCTTTGTCCCAATACAGCCTATGACCTTGAGCGAAGTTTCTTTCGCAGAGTTTCAGATGCCGTGGACGTGGATGCATCGGCGATGCTGCCTGAAGGGTCTGACTGACCCGCGGCTGCATCACGTTCTTGTTTCTCAAACGCCTTTTGCAAATAAATCACTGGTAGCATGTCATGTGAAACCCAGCGTCATCAGGAACATTGTCAAAGTCGATATCAACGCAATGTTTATAAGTTTCTGCAAGGTCCTTGGTCTCACCCTGTAGAGAAAGCCACTTTTTAAAACTAGTTCTGTAAGTTTCCCAATGTGTCCTTGTAAAGTCGAGAACGTCTTCACTCTGGACAGATGATAGATGCATATAGCATCATTTCGTTCCTTTTTTATGCACTGCTGAAGGCTGATTTCTTTTTTTTTCCTTCCTCTTCGCTTGTCTCGCTGCTAGATGCGCTCGTCGCTATATTTGTGTATTTCTGATACTATGGCAACGAGACTCGGCTCCTATTGGTCCACATGACAAAAATCGCTTCATGCCTCTGCATATTCGATTGCGCGTGTGCAAGTATCACTACGCCGCAGAAAGGAAATAGTTAGACACCAAAACACTGATTACTAAAAATCGACAGGATGGTATGAGTAGATATTTTTTTTAGTACTTACTATCAATAGAGCTATTTTATGAATCACAGTTTATGTTGCCACACTGAAGTGGAACGAACCAACACGATCTCGCTCAGCCAATACAGCCTATATCCCAGCATCTTCCGGTGAAGGCAGGGGACACCCTGGACATCTCGCCAGTTCATCGCAGGGCTGACATATAGAGACGAACAACCATCCATGCTCACATTCACACCTACAGGCAATTTGAAAGTGGCCAGTTAACCTAACCCCGCTTCTGCATGTTTTTGGGATGTGGGAGGAAACTGAAGTACCCGAAGTAAACCCACACAGACACAGGGAGAACATGCAATTTCCACACAAAAATGCCCTGACCCGGATTCGAACCCAGGACCTTCTTGCTGTGAGGGGACAGTGCTAACCACTGCACCACTGTACCGCCGTGAAGTGAAATATTTATGATAAAGAAGACAGATATAAAGCCTTGACCATATAACTGTATAACAGCCTTGACCATGTCAATAATTGATAAAATATTGATTTTAATGCATTATTATTTTTGGCACAATGAGAGATTTAAACTCCTCCTTCTCCTCTTTGTTTCCCCTTTTACAAACTGCATTGTCCCTCTCTGTCTGGCAGATATTCCTCGCCTGAATACTCCTGGCTCATGCACGTGCACACAAAGGGTCCTAGGGGTGCTTGAGCCCCTGTCCCATTTGCCTTGTGTTAAAAAGTGCCCTCCTTTTTTTTGTTTTGTTTAAACAACATTAAAAAATTCCTGTTAGGGATGTAAAAAAAAAGAACAGTGGTACAAAAACTCTACAGTAATATGTAATATGTGCTCCAGCTCTGACTTCTCGCTGTGGTGTCCTCCCCCCTCACCTGTTTGTGGAGCTTGACCAGGTTCCTCTCGCTGGGATACGTGTTCTGTTTGTCGTCGAAGTCCTCGTAGTCGTCCATGTTGCGGCCCATCTTCTCCTGGTAGTCCACGGGGCACTGAGGAAGAGAAAGGTCAAAGGCCCCTTAGTTAGTCAGCCTGACCATTAGCACACACACAACCCCCCCCCGCCCCCCATCTACTTACCTTCCTGAGGATAGTGTCGATGTACTTCCTCAGCGGGTGGTTGTACTTGATGGATTCGCTGACTTTTCTCACTTCCTGTAGAGAACCAAAACCTCGCCGTCAATCACAGCGTTAACATCTGACTCTAACATCAACCCCGCGGCCTGACTCTCACCTCCATCACGTCCTCCAGGTTCTCCTCAGCGTCGGCCTTCTCTGTCATCAGCTTGGCCGCCTTGAAGTACGTCTTGATGAGTAAGTGTCCGTGGCGTGAGGAATTCCAGTACGAGCGAGGGATTTCCACCAAACCGTAGCCGAGCAGCAGCACCAACAGGAAGAGACCCCACGTGTTCGCCGCCGTGATCCCAATGGTCTGGAGCTCGTACCTGAAAGCACCGTGAAGTCCAGCCATGAGGGCGCAGCATTTCCTCTCTCTGATAATCAGCTGACTGTCGGGGTCACTCACCAGGAGAGGTGCCACTCAGGATGGACCGCCACGTAGATGAGCAGCGAGCCGAAGATCAGCAGGTAGGTCCCGTAATAGATGGCGTTTTCGATCAGAGCGGTCTTTATCTTCCCAGTGATAGAGAAGCCTCCGGAGCGAGCGTACGACTGCATGAAGGGCAGCAGCAGCCTGGAAACCAAAGAGCAGAACTTTAAAGAGCCGGTTCTGGGTTTCAAAACAACAAACCAGACCTAAGAGCAGCTTTAGGGGGTATACAGACCATGTGAGGCACTGGGAAGTCCAGTAGACCACCCTCCAGAACACAGGCATGATGCCGTCAGGGATGTAGCTCCACGGCTTGTAGCACTGCATCGTTAGGCTGCTGCAGGACAGAATCACAGAGTATTAAGATGGGACCAGAACCGCACTCTTCACTGACACACCGACCCGGTGAACCCGGTTCATCTTGGGTCTTGGATGGTTTTAGGTCTTCTGTGTGGGTTTACACCTCGCACAATGACCTCCTGACCCAGTCTGATGGTGAAGGCTGAACTGGACTGAGACGGTCTATCATGATGTGGTCCCAGCCCTGTCGTTTAGACATGAGTGGAAACAGAACCAGAACCACTGAGTCCAAACTCAACTCTCTCACTGACGGTGTAGGATATGGCCATCTGAGGTGACACACAAAGGATCATGGGAAATGTTGGTCTGCACCAGGAAAAGTCACAAAAAATCAGCAGCACCTGGAATAACCCCCAATTTTCACCGTATCCAGAACGACGGCAATTTTTGCCGTCCACCAATTTGTTGTCTCTATAGAGACAGCCACATAGACATATAAGCACTAGATTGTGTTCTTCCAGAGGAGTAAATTTATTTCTAGACTTCTAGAATCAGCAACTCCTCATCCATGGTGTCATCGGGGTGAAATGACGTCTAAAAACCTTTCACTTGTTCATCTCTGCCCGTTTGCATGGTGTGTAATACGATCCTCCTGAAACATGGAGTGTTTTATTTTGAAAAGAAGGTGGATGTTTTATTTTGTGCCTGTGCCCGACTTCCTTTCCAGGTTAATCTGTGCTGAATTTATCCGGCATGCTCTGGCGCCCGGAAAAAATAGAACTCTTGGGATCAGCTGTGGAGTCTGGCGATCCACAGAGGAACGGAAAGAAGCCGGAGGAAATTGACACGTTAACTCGAATGGTCATGATCAGCTACGATCGAAGAATACAACGTTTTGGTAGCCGTGGAAATTGCTGGTAAGACTGTGATTGGACGGGTCAGAACAAATCTGAGACTCAGTTCTGAGAAAATTCCAGAATCAGAGACACAGACTTAAAAAAAAAAGTTTTTTAAATTAAATTAAATCCACATACCAGGGTCAAAGGGTTCAAATGTTTGGAAAATAAACAGATTTTTACGGTTTTTAGATGATTTCAAACCAATTATATCCAACAGGTTAGTCACATGACTCTGGAGTGGAAATCTCCGCATGGAAAGGACAACTGGACTTCGCCTTAGGCTAAACGTCTCAACTAAGTCCAGTTGTCCTTTCAACAAAGAATTAGAAATCATTCAGTCTGTTTCCATGACACTCGAGAAAACCAAATTAGCGCCTCATTCCGATTAAGACTGGACAACTGAAGTGCATGTAAACACCTTAGCCGGACTATAATCAGAGTTTGAGAAAGAAGTCAGTGGAAATTGACACGTTAACTTGAATGGTTACGATCAGCTACGATCGAAAGATACGACCTTCTAGTAGACGTTCAGGGTGAGGTGGGAATTGGGGGTTAGAGTCCAGACCCATGGTTCTGTCTCAGAGTGGATCCATGTGTAAACCCGTCCAGACAGCCTGCTTAGAGAAGGTCCAAACGAACTACCTCAGCCTCTTTGATAGAGAGGAATAAATTTGATTGATCTGTTTTGTTCTGAAAATTCTGATCTGGTGAAGTTCTAAATCCATGAGTGCAGCCTCCCTTTAACATGCAGAAAACTCACCTTTTAGTGGGCGTGGCAGTTGTGTTTGTAGCCGTGTGATTGGACAGTACAGGGTTGAAGGTGGGGACTGAGGTGTGCTCCTCATGGTCGATCTTGCACTGCTTGTAGATGGTCTGCAGGAACAAAGCACACACAGATCAGGTTTTGGTCCCGTCTCATGAATGTGAGGGTCTCCCTGTGGTTCAGTACTGACCGTGCTGACGTCCAGAGGTAAGATGAAGACGATGAGGAAGCACAGGTACCAGGCCAGCAGCGTGCCGAACAACACCATGCGCTGCTGCCTCCTGAAGTCTCCATACCGGTGCAGCAGGAACAGAGCCAGGAAGAAGACCACCACGATCTCGATCCCCAGAGCCGCCCCACTCATCCCGCACCTCTCAACAGCCGACACCGAATCTGCAACAGAGTCTACCTGTCAAGAGTCTAAACCAGATCTGAGATTTACAGTCCTTCCACATTTCACTAAGGTTGCATGATATTCAAAAAACTAACATTGCAATTTTTTTAACTCTGCGATATAAATTAGGATATTAAAAAATAGAGGAATTTTCCTCAGATGAGCTGAATCTGACTTTCTGCTGAAATCTTGGACAGTTAACCTGAACTGATCTTACCTCTTTTAGTGAATGTTAGTAGAATGGCTTCTATCTGTCTTAGAGATATTTTTAATTTTTATTGTTCTGAGACGTTATTGTGGAAACAGATGAACACAGAACACGTGTTTTACTCGACATCATCCTTCTTGTAACTGAAATAATTCCAGATAACTGACGTTGCTTTTCTTTTTACCAACAAGTATTCACCTTCGGTGGTTTTCTTTTGTTCGTTTCTCATTTTGCAATCGTTGATGTTGTGCCGAGAAACACGTTCCCACTGAAGATCGCATCCACCTTGCAGAAATGCGCACCGCTTATAGTAGAGTGGTCCATGTAAATATACAATTTCAAACCCATACAGTTCTTATTTGTGGGGATATTTATTTATTTGGATCCCCATCAGCTGTCACCCTAGGCAACCGCTACTCTTCCTGGGGTCCACACAAAATAAAAATACATCCAACAATGGACTTCAATATAAACACTTATACAAACAAACAAAATAGTTGTAAACAAGTATCTAAACAAAAGGACACTTAAACAAAGGCTAATCCGTCACCATCGAGAAACACAAAATTTGCAGAACGATCCAAGCAAAAAGCATCTCGGAATCAATCGATATATAACATGAGATATCCCCAAATACACCTCCTAATTATCCTATATTACCATACATTCACATCTGGAATCTATTTATCATTGAATAATCACGATGTGCTAAATTATGTGTAATACCATAAGTATACTTCTTGTAATACAATCAAAGGTATATAAACGTCAATATTATTATTATTACTATTACTATTAATATCCACATCATTATCACAGCCATCACCATACTTATCAAAACAAATAAACACATACTCCCATGGAATACCACAAGTATTTTTTATACAATCAGAGATATATAAATATTATTATTGTTATTATCACTACCATTACGACTACCACTAACATCCTCATCATCATCACCATTATCACCATTCTTATTAAAACAAATATATACCCTACATACTCCTTTGTCTTGTTCTCAGTGCACACAAACACTTCCTTGTACTCAAATTAAAGTTTTCCCTTCTGGAGTAAATGCTGTTTTACTAATACTTTGAATTTATTAATGTTTGTGGTAAGCTTGATCTGTTTTGGCAGTGAGTTCCATACTTTCATACCTCTATAGATAACAGGTTTTTATGGCATTTGTTTGCACTCTAGGTAAGGTAAAATGTCCCATCGCTGCGTGCCTGGTGATGTGTCCATGATTTTCAGTACTGAAATTTAGGTTCTTCAATAAAATAAAAGGTAACTCTGAAACAGAAATGTTTTTGATGAAAGTGATCAGTGAGTATAGGGGTCTGTCTTTAACCATTAGCCAGTTTAATTGCTTGCGCATAGAACTGATGTTTGTCCTGTAGTTGCACTGGAGTACTGTGCGGGCAGCTCTATTTTGTATTCGTTGAAGTTTGTCTAATATATATCCTGTGGCACTTGACCAAACTGCTGGACAATAGTCTATATTAATATTAGTGCTTGAATAGCTCTGTTCATAATGTTTGGAGCTAGAAAGTAAGCATGTCTTCTCATAATGGATATACCTCTTCCTATCTTTGCAGTCATCTTGCTGATGTGTTTCTTCCATGATAATTTATTGTCTACTGTCACACCCAGAAGTTTGGTCTCATGTACTTAATTTATAATGACATCATTAATTTTAATATTTAACACAGGATTGTTATCAATAATATAATTTGACCCAAGAATCGTGCAGTTAGTTTTTGATATGTTGAGTACTAACTTATTTGTCTCCACCTGTTAAGTTACAGCTTTATTTAAAATACTTTCCAATTCCTTGCACGTTGTTGCTGATGTGTATATAGTGGAATCATCCGCATACATTGCAATATTAGCTTTGTCTAAGACGTACGGTAGATCATTTGTAAAGATAGTGAACAATAAAGGACCTAGACAACTGCCTCGGGGCACTCCACTAAGTCAGAGAAAAGCTGCCATAAAGCTGGGATAAACAGTGATGAGCAATGTTCCCAAAGTAATTCTCAGCGAGTATGAGTTTCTCTGGACAACACCGGCAGCGCCAGCAACTCACTCCATGTGCAGGGGCGTGGTTTCCTCCTCTCTGATATTGATTGACAGCAGGGTAGTCTGATTAGCAACTGAGTAAAGAACGAATGTGATTGGTGGATCGCTGCACAGCACATGCAGGGTCACATACAGTGTATCTAAGAAGAACCGTTCTTTTGACTGAATCTTTAGAATCCATTCATTAAGATGATTCGTTCAAAAGATTCGTTCACTGAATCAGTCAGTGTTTTGGAGCCCTGTCCTGCCGGTGCAGTACACCAGTGAGTGACACAGCAGCGAGTTTGCTCATTAAACGAGCCCCTCCCCCTCCTGCTGAAGAGGGGAGGAGCTCTCAGCTCTCCAAATAGATAACCTCACTCTACATCTATCTACTCTACATCTATGAGCACGTGACGGGATAAACCCCCAGAGTTCACCCCGACTGCAGGGATGAAGAGGAGTTCAGCTGATGAACAGAGCGCGCTCCTCTTCCTCCAATCACAGCAGCTCTGCAGGATAACGAGGACTCATTAAAGACAGGAGGACACTAACCTGTAAACTATGAAAGACTCTCTGTGTTACTACTGGGGGGGGGGGGGGGGGGCTCTGCAGACAGCAGTTATTAATGTCATGATTCTGAGAGAACAGGACTTTGATTGTTTGATTTTGATTGTGTAGAGACTCTGGACCACATGAATCCGGGTCTCTGATCCAGAACAGAACCAACAGTTTTCACGCTGTCAGTTGGACCACTTCAGCCGGACGAATGTGGATTTTGAAAGTCCAGTTTCAGTCTGACCTCCGCAGTAATTTAGTGGTGATGAGATCTACACTTCAGACTAGGGCTGGGCGATAAAATGATAACCATATTTAAAATTAATTTCCCTCAATATCAATATAAAACATGATCAATAGTCGTCATTCTGACATGCTTTGGTCGACTGTACCAATAGCCAATAAAAAGAGGAGTTGCTTCGGGTCCGCTTCACTTTAAACCAATCATGTGCTGAATTAGAACCAAGTATCAAACAACTGCGTAGTAGCAGACAGTAGCTACACCCACCATAGAGCTTTAACAGGTGAAGCCGACAGCACTGTTGGTGAGAAAAAAAGAAAATGAGTGCTACCCCCGACAGAAATGACGATGAAGGCTCAACAAATGATGACATCATCGATAACACTGGCACAAAAACGTTGGTGGTGTGGAGGTATTTTGGTTTTTTTGAGGTCGGACATGAAGCAGAGTAATATGTACTGCAAATTATGTTGAGTACGTGTTCTCACAAAGTCGGGGAATACCTCAACCCCTTTTCACCACCTGAAGCAGCGCCACGTCGCAGACCACGCACAACGCAAAAGGTTACAAACCCCGAGAGGAGCAAGGAGCCCATGGTACCTGTGCAGCCGAAACAGACGACCATTCAGTCTGCTTTCTCTAGCAACGCCTTATGACAAAACGTCATAGAAACACAAAGACCTTACAGATGCAGTAGATTATTGTATTGGAAAAGACATGCTACCAATAAACATTGTTAAATTTCATTTTTTATATCCTGATACATACATCGATATCAACTGATATGAAAAAATATATCTCCTGATACACTTTTTATCATATCGCCCAGCCCTATTTCAGAGAGGAAGTGAACCTCTTCCTTCATCTCAGTGCGGTCTCTGCGGTCTTGTCAGAACTTCCTGTTTCGATGACTGAGGCCATAGCTGCGTCCGAATTGCCAAGTAGTAGTCGAAGTAGTAGTCGAAGTAGTATCTAGCATGTCCGAATTGGCCACCGGAGCGAGTAGCATGCTACTTCAGATACTACTTCAGATACTAGACACGCCCACATTGTAGGTTGGTCTCGGTGCATCCTACGGGCATGCTACTGACCCAAAATGCACCGCAGGCTTCTTCTTCGTCCTCTTAAAAGTTGTAGAAGCGCATGTGATGCTAGCGCCACCAGCTGCTCTGCCTATTTAAATGTGTCGCGAACGCCGGCTGGCCACAGCAGCGCACACCATGGCGGAGCAGCAGCAGCAGCAGCAGGCAGGACCGCAGCAGTACAGATGTAAGTTTCATGTAACTTCACACCCTGTCCTAAAAAATGTGCGGTTGTATCTCTTTGTCATGTCATGGTGTCGTATTTGCCCAAGTAATCATTTTATGAGCAAACATGTGGCGACATCATGGAGGTAAAGCTCACTTATTCCATCATTAAACTGCACAGCTGCAGTAATCAGGCAGCTCTCATTGAACAAATGATCACCACGTAAGTGAATGAAGGCTAAAAGTCATGGAAAAGCTACTTTGTGAATTTCTAAAGCAGTGCAGGAATATAATACAGCAGCATCCATCACTTGCACAATTACCATTCAGTCTAAAACGGGCGCAGTACCTACTCTCTGCCTGCGGGGGTCGTCTTTCCCCACCGCTCGTCTAGTGTGTCCGAATTGGGCCAACGTGTTTAGTATGTAGGAGTAGGATCTAGCAGTAGTATGTAGCAGTAGCATGTAGTATCCGAGCGGGCAATTCGGACGCAGCACATGTCTCATTTCAGAGACACATTTGAAGTGTGCGTGAGGTCAGCACGCGGCACGAACGGTGTCCCATTTGGCTCGAAATGGCTCGATAAGCGTGCTTCAAATACAGTCTCAAAACCACAATGCTCCCGCCCCTTTTAAAGCGTGCATTTATGCAAGCTTTCGTGCTGTTGGTATCCAAGAATTCTTTGCGTGCCGCTGCACAGCTGCGCATTTCGGGTGAGAGGCTGGACTCGCTTGGAGACGCAGTGCCTCTTCGAAGAAAATACTAGAAATCCAAAAACAGCAGACAGTCATCTCAGGCTGCATGAGCGCATGATCTCTGAACTCACTAAAATCTGCAAACCAAACATTCTAGTCTTTACAGACGAACTGATCCGCTCTGCTTCAACTATCAAAAACATTAAAAATAAGAAAGCTGACAAAACTACAGCAGAGGATCAGGACAACATTGAGTTGTTGGGGTTTTTTTTGTTTGTTTGTTTTGTTTTTTTCAGATTTAGAGATTAAAGTTGTAAACTTGGGAGAATAAAGTCATAAAGTAAATAAAGTCATAAAGCTGCTTTTGTGGAGGGGTGAAGCTGGTCATCAGCAGGAATATCGGTGGATGCATCAGCGGGTCATTCAGAGAGTTTTTGTGGTTTCTGAAGAAACAATCCAACTTATGATCAACATTTGAGATCCAGAGGGAGTCGAGCTCCGACGAGCACCACGTCTCTGACACCGGCGGTAACCTACACCTGCAGAGACACCAGCGCCTTATTATTGCATATGGATTCATATCATAAACTAAAGCACAATGCCATTTACGGATATTTACGGCTGCATTGACGGATTTATCCTCAGCATATTCATTTCTGCCTCCATAAAAGCAGCGATTTCCTCCAAGTACACCTGTTTTTTCCCCGTGGAAAGACGCATTTCTCATATTCTTTTAAAGTCCTTATACTTATATCTCGTATCTCCTTGTTTGTGAAACGTAGCCTATACTGAAGCACAGTTCCTTTAAATGCTTCATGGCCCTAATTTTAACAACTCTCCTTTGAAATAACAGGTAACCTTATGAATTTATTCTAATAAATTAATGACTTTATTCTCGTAAATTCACGACTCAAATCTCTAGTCTTTAAAAATATTCTCAATATTGGCCCTCATACTCCTTCATACAAAACAATCATTGGATGAATTTTGTGGGAATGATCTGTGCTTGTATGTATCTATTGTTTTGTGTCTGTGCAAGGTCGCAGAATTACAAAATAAATGCTGCGCTCCGCAGCTTTTCTTAAAGTCAGTCGTGACGCAAGCCTGAGGGATGGGACATTTGGCGACTCAATCAGGAGGTCCTCCGAAGGGTAGTGTGTCCCATTTCACAAAAACCGGATCATCTCACTCAGGGTACTCCAGTCCACATAACGGCAGTGCGCTTAGCGAAGCGCGCTTAGCCTGATGCGGTCTCTGAAATGAGACACAGCCAAAGAGACCTTTCTTCTTCTTCTTCTTCTTCTGTTTACTCCTGTCAGGTGAGCAGCTGAACATTCACCTGAGCTAACGATGACGTCAGCCTGGCCCCTCCCCCCGGAGTCACCGTACTGACCAGCTGTCAGTCAGCTGGTGACGTATTACAAAACCGTGGAAATGCTCCTTTTAACTCCAGGTGTCGGGGTTCTATAGGTCTAATCGGAGCGGTATCAGGTCCAGAACTATAAACAGGCTCTTTGAACCGGTTCTACCGGTTCTACACCCCCCCCCCCCATCCTTCACTCCAACAGCTAACAGCTAACCATGCTAACAAGCATCAGGACCGTTACAGTTACAGTGGTGTCGGCTCTTACCGGACTGTCTTCGTGTTTTTCCGTCTCTCTGCGGACTCAAACCTTCTCAATAATCTCTCCGGACTGTAGTCAGATTATATTCTGATGTACTGATCATAAAAACTGTTTCCTGATGCTCAGACAGCACCAGCATCATCACTTACATCCGGGTTTTTTCTGACGGAGGGAGGGAGGGGGCCGTGACCATAGATATATAAAAAGACTAGATAGCTTACCTACGCTGTGAGCCAATGGGGACTGACGTCGTCACACGGCGGCCATTTTCCCCAGGGGCTGTTGGCCCACTGATAACATTAACGTCCAATGGTGCATGTACTGTTTCAATGACCAAATCCTGTTTAAACTTCAACTGATTTTCAAACGGATTGGTTTGTTATAAACGCCAGAGATGTAGTTATGTTTCTGCATATTTACGGATTATTATAACCATGGACTTTCATATTAAATTAAAAAAGGAGATAGTGGAGCAATACCTGCCATAGCTGCACACATACACACACAGTGAAATTAAATTGTCAGTGTATTTTATATTAAACATTTAATAGTTAGATATTTTAGAGTTCTATTTCATACATATATTGAATATAAAGGGGTAAGTTGACCCACATGATAATTTAAACTTTATCTTCAAACTTTAACAAATAATGTATTTACTCATGAAAAATAATTTTATAAGATACCTCCCTTTTTCAAATAGTCTTAATTATTTTCTTTGGGTTAATAAACAATATAAAACCAAATAAAGTTTGTTTTTCAGAACCTTTTAATATTCACAATTATTAATATAATATTGAAAACTTTTCTTGAATGAGTGTATTTATCAAAAATAAAAGATCATTCTGCTAATTTGAGTAGCAAAGACCTAATAAAAATTCTATAAATTGTGATTCATATTGGTTCAATTAACCCCAAGGCTTTTGGTTCATCTTGCACCATGGCCATCGTTTTTAAAAAACCTAATTAATTTAATGCTTCAGAATGATATTCTGCTGAATGATTCACATAGTTCTATATTTTGAATATCACTAAAATGCATGATGTATAAGTTTAGACCTGGGTCCATTTGCTTTAACATAAAAATAATTATACCGCAAATGTAAAAAATTCCACGGCCTGTTGGAAATGTTTGTGTTCTTATTTTAGGGTCATATAACAACTCATGTGCATAGTTTTAAAGATCAAGGAGATGGTTCGTTCATCTTACCCTTTCTGCTACATATATTTTAATATAAAAATTAAAATAAACACATTCAGTAACATGACATAAAGGTTCTTTTATTAAACAGATGTAAACAATTACAAAACAATTCAACAATCACTCCAAACCAACAGTCACACTACACCATGCAACATTCACTCCAAATCAACAGTCACTCACACGGTCGCAACAAAACCAACATATATACAAGTGCACAGATAGTTTGAGCTACTGCCCCTTGAAAAGTACTGTTTTGGTGAGCTTCTGTCTCACATTGTCTTTCTGTACGCTAAGCGTAGTAATTTTAGCAATGTGGTGCAGCCTGTGGTGCAGTAACATGTTAAAAAAATGTGAAAAAGAAATATTCAATGATTATTATGTAAACAAATGGTAGAAACATTTCTAAAACGTCAGGGTGAAAATAACTTGTATTGTACAAGTACAAATTTAACTAAGTTAGTAACTATTATCCTAAATATGTCCCTCAAGTCATTTCTTACGAGTGAAAGGTGATTCCACGGGCTCTTGTTTGGACAGAACGTTCATTTGAGCATCCATGTGCTGCACAAAAGTCTGGCATCTTGGACTGTAGGGGGTATTTCTGTAAACACAAAGCCAGGCATTTACTGTATCACAATGAATCTAAATTAAGGATATATTTTACTAATGAAACAGCTTGGAAATCAAATTATGTATGTTAAAACAGAGGAGTAATTCTGACTTTCTTACCTGTAAAGAATTATGTCTAGGCTACTTTGTAATAGTCCCAGCTGTGTGACAACTATGTCACATTCACAACCTCTTGTTTCTTTGCTAGCTAATAAACACAACTACATCCACACAAATCGTCATTTGGACAAAATATGTGGTAGTCACAATGTCTTATTGGTCTCACGGAAACGTATATAATAACTGAAACTCCCAGATTGCAGCCTTGCTAATGGCTGTGAAAGTCACAACAACTATGCAACAAAATGAAATCGATTTTCGAAAAGAAAATCTGCACTTTCAACATGTCCACGCGGCCTGAATAATAGCCACGTTAATAAGGTTTTTAATAAACCAAAACGTTTTTAAATCCGTCTAGATTTCAGCGAGTTAGGTGTATTTTCGTTTGTGTAGGTCGCTCACCTTCAATCCACTACTGTCGAGTGCGCGGAGGCGCCCCCCCCCAGGTAAGATGGCCGCTCGGTGACGACGCGGGCAAAAGTCCAATTATCCATCTAGTCTTTCTATATATCTATGGCCGTGACGGCACAACTTCACAGACGGTGGCTCTGCGCATGCGCTGTAGTTTTTCCGCTCCAGTCCTGCTCCCTCTGAATGTGGGAGTGATGTCGCCTCCTGCTGGATAAACGCCGAACTAAAACATCACAGAGCGAATAGAAGAACGTCAAGCAAGCAGAAAAATTAAGTATAAAATAAAAACAAGAAAGCAGAAACAGGATAGATATAACAGGATAAATATAAAACACAATATCAACAATGATAATAATGATAATAAAATAATAAGTAATACTGATAATAATAGTTATAATAAAAAAGAGCAACAGAAATGAGCAAGAAATAAAACAATAAAATAAAATGTAAGATGCTGGCAGGAAAAGCATACATGGAATGCCATAACCAAGTAGCCGGTATAGTGTACAGGAACATCTGTGCAGAATATGGACTGGAAACCCCAAGATCAAAATGGGAAGCACCTCTCAAGGTGATGGAGAAACAACCGAGCTAAGATCCTGTGGGACTTCCAGATACAGACCGACAAAATGGTAATGGCCAATCAACCAGACTTTGTTATCGTAGACAAACAGTAGAGGAAAGCCGTTGTGGTAGATGTCGCCATCCCAAGCGATACCAACATCAGGAAGAAGGAACACAAGAAACTAGAGAAGTACCAAGGGCTCAAAGAGAAGATAGAGAAAGCCTGGAATGTGAAGGCAACAGTGGTGCCTGTGGTCATTAGGGCACTCGGGGCAGTAACCCCCACACTAGAGAAGTGGCTTCAACAGATCCCTGGGGAAACATCAGAAACATCTCACTCCAGAAGAGTGTAGTCCTAGGAACAGCAAGAATACTGCGCAGGACCCTTAAGCTCCCAGGCCTCTGGTAGAGGACCCGAGTTTGAAGAGACACAATACCGCCAAGAGAAGAAAATTTCATATGTATATACACTGTGTGCACAATTATTAGGCAAGTGAGTATTTTGATCATATCATCATTTTTATGCATATTTTCCAACTCCGAGCTGTATAAACTTGAATGCTTATTGGATATAAGCAAATCAGGTAATGTGTATTAGTGTAATGAGGGAGGCTGGGGCCTAAGGAGATCAACACCCTATATCAAGGTGTGCATAATTATTAGGCCGCTTCTTTTCCTCAGGTCAAATGGGCCAAAAAAGAGATTTAATTGACTCTGAAATGTCAAAAATTGTAAAAAGTCTTTCAGAGGGATGCAGTACTCTTGAAATTGCTTAGATATTGGGGCGTGATCACAGAACCATCAAACATTTTGATGCAAATAGTCAACAGGGTCGCAAGAACGTGTTAAGAAAAAAAGACGCAAATTAACTGCCAAAGATTTGAGAAGACTCGAACGTAAAGCTACCAGGAACCCATTATCCTCCAGTGCTGTCATATTCCAGAACTGCAACCTACCTGGAGTGCCCAGAAGTACAAGATGATCAGTGCTCAGAGACATGGCCAAGGTAAGGAAGGCTGAAACCCGACCACCACTGAACGAGACACACAAGTTGAAACATCAAGACTGGGCCAAGAAATATCTGAAGAGAGATTCCTCAAAGGTTTTATGGACTGATGGGATGAGAGTGACTCTTGACGGACCAGATGGATGGACCCGTGGCTGGATCAGTAACGGGCACAGAGCTCCACTTTGAATCAGACGCCAGCAAGGTGGAGGCGGGGTTCTGGTATGGGCTGGTATTATTAAAGATGAGCTAGCTGGACCTTTTGGGTTAAAGATGGACTTAAAATCAACTCCCAAACCTACTGCCAGTTTTTAGAAGACACTTTCTTCAAGCAGTGGTATAAGAAAAAGTCTGCATCTTTCAAGAAAACCCATGATTTTTATGCAGGACAATGCTCCATCACATGCATCGAAGTACTCCACTATGTGGCTTGCCAGTAAAGGCCTTAAAAACGAAAGAATAATGACGTGGCCTCCTTCTTCACCTGACCTAAACCCTGTTGAGAACTTGTGGGCCCTTCTTAAATGGGAAATTTACAGTGAAGGAAAAAAAGTACACCTCTCTGAACAGTGTCTGGAAAGCTTTGGTTGTTGCAACACAAAAAGTTGATCGTCAACAGATCAAGAAACTAAAAGACTCCATGAATAGAAGGCTTATGACTGTTATTGAAAAGAAGGGTAGTTACATTGGTCATTGATTTTTTTTTTTTTTTAATTTCAACAATTTTTATTTGTAAATTGAGTTGTTTATCATTCTCACTTCTGCACACTCATAGTTGTCCAGTAATTGTGCACACATAGATATTCTCCTAAGGAAGCCAAAATCTCACTTTTACTCCCTTAAATATTCAGGTTTGAGGTTTAACATTTTGGACTGACCAAGAGCACTGCAGTTGTTCAAAAATAAAATTTATCCTCAAAAATGCAACTTGCCCATTAATTGCGCACACAGTGTATGTATGTATTCCATATACAGTATATGGTTTTATTTGCCTACACCTATGGGTGTCAGGGGTGTGGATGTAGGACCCAAGTGCAGCACAACGGCAGGTAGTTGTTTAGAAAATACTTTTATTGTAACAGTTCACAGCAAACAGGTAACTGAAGATACTGGGATTGATTTAGCAGTCTCTGTAGAACCTCCAAGACCAACAGGAAACAGGTCCATAGGTGATAGGTGAGTGCACACAGAAAACACACTACACCTGAGAGTCTTTGTGAAGTGCAGCGGCACTGTCGAGGGGCAGGCTGGGCTCGTGGTCGAAGCGGAGGCAATGTCGAATCCAGGCAGACAATCAGCGGGCCAGACTAACTCCAGAGGGATCAGACGGAAGGATAGTCGTGGACAGGCAGTAGGTTGGGAAGCCAGCAACACAGCAAAACCTGAAGTTCTCACCAGAGCGAAGAAACTTGACAGGGGATCCAAGGGCTGAGACGATAAGACGTGGTCAGAGACAGGCAGGAGTCGAAACCGAGAAGTCAATCCAAGAAATAATGCTGGAGAGTCGTACATGCTGCGAAGACAATCTGGTACTGACTGAGGGACACAGAGTGACTTAAATGCTGGCTGGCTAATCAGCAGTGAGGAGCTGCAGCTTGTCACTCACAGGTGTGGGGAATCAGTGCTGATGAGGAGGTGTGGCAGGTGAGTGAGAGTCAGCCTGAGATACACAGCAGAGTGTGACAATGGGATAACGTTTCATCAGTTTCATTGGTAAATACATATTTGTGTTTTAATCCAAAAACAAATCATGTCTGATCAAATCTGATGTAGCCTACACTCGTATGTGGAATCATAGGGGTATGAGGTTTTTTTTTTAGCTGACATTAAAATCTGATAGATTTATTTTGATTTCTTTACACTGTTTCACTCATATTGAAGGGTTAAATGAATTAAAAAGCAGATTTTTTTGGTGCGATGAAAACTCAGACACTTATCTGTAAAATGAACTTTTATTTCTCGTTTCTTTAGTTACAGATGAACAAATTCGACTTGTGTGTCTTTACAAAAACAAAGCTCATGATTGGCACAATAACAATTTACAGTGAATACAAAACACATCCGAACTTTCTCTTCAGTATGGAACAAAAACCATTTATGGGTTTAAATAGAAAACTAAAACATGAGGTTTAGTCGAGGTTGAATTAAAATGTCTCTGTGTTTCCTGGAGGGACGTCCCACTGGTGGATTCTTACTGGTCGAACTGGAAGTTAGCTCTTAGCACCCTTTGACATGAACACAGTGTTGTTGTAACCTTCTCTATTTCGGGCGATTTCTATGGCGAAGAACTGAACTCTGGTGGCTGAAGAAAAGGAAAAAAAAACAGATTTAGGTCTTTGTGTGTCACTTTTTCAACGTTCTCTGAATAAATATGAAACGTCGAGAAATGAACGGACCAAAGATGGTGTTCTCCTCCGTGTAGTCCTTCTCACAGTCCAGACGCAGCAGGGTGCCGTAGTTAAAATCCTCCACGAGACCCTCAAACTGGTTACAGAATGGACGCCACGTCTGCAAACACACACACACACACACACACACACACACACACACACACACACACACACACACACACACACACACACACTTAAACATCAGCCTGCTGAGAGGATGTTCAGCGGTTCAGAGGAGCTAACCTCTGTCTGTCTCACCTCTTTGGCCTGGTCAGACTTCAGGTCGTCGGCTTTCAGCACTTTAATGTCCAGGTCTTTGAAGGTTTCTTTGAAGGACGAGTAGATTTTATCGTCCAGTTTGGTCAGCTTTAAAAACTTTGGATCCACTGATGAGATGAGCTGCAGATCGAAGAGAAGAGCGGTTATCAGGGGAAGGCAGAGAGAAGGCAGCAGGTGACTGAGATACTCCACCGAGGAAACACTCAAAACTCAAGACTTGGACAGATAATGAAGAATTTCAGCATAATGTTATTTTAATAAAGAGGCTAAAACACTGCAGTCAGTCCTGTTCAGAAGTTTGACCATGAATCAGAAGATCTGCCGTCTGGATTCAAGAGAGAACATAAATGAAGAAACCGTTCAGAGTTCAGCCAACAGGCCGTAAATGAAGCCTGAGCAGATTTCAGTCTCACATTAAAGTAAACTTCTGCGTGGTTATACGCCTTCATTGCCCACATCACCTCCAACCGCGGCTGGAAAATAAAAAAAAATCACATCACAAAATTATTACCAGTTCAAAGTGACATCTTTAAAAAATACACAGATCTGGACCTGGACCCGGACCCGGACCACATCACAAAGACTACCAGAAATAGGTCTGCTGACTGTTATTACTGTTTATAGTCGTCCAGTAGGGGAGAGTGGGGTAAGATGATCCATGTTTCATATTTGGGATCACTACATCAAGTCAATCCTAGTTTTGTCTCTAACTAGTGTATCTGCAGATATTTCAGGATGTTGTTCATGCCTGCAAACCAACAGAATGAGTGTAAACAGAACTGTAATCTTGATAATATAGCATGACAAAAAAAGTGGTCTCCTATGGTCAACTTACCCCGAGTATGGGGTAAGTTGGAGAATTCAGTATTTTGTATCAGGACTGAGCTTGATGAAGAAATCAGAGAAACAAATTAAATTAAAAAAGTATCTCTCTGATATGTCTTTACAGCACCTAAAGTTAGTGGACAAAAACAGCTGGAAGAGGACGAAAGGGTGTGACAAGGGTACACAAGGGTTAAGTGATTCAGAACATTCACAGCTGTATTTTTGAAAAGAAAAAGTCAAACATTTCAACAATCTGAACCGAAACTCTGATCCTCTCATCAGACTCCTTTACTTTCTCAGTTACCCCAGAACTACTATGACGACTTTGTTAGTCCTCTAAACTAAAATGGTGGACTTTTATGTTAGGTTTTTGACCTCATGTTGTAGCTCATAGATACCACAATTGATATATAAAACTAATTTAAAATGATCTTTTTTGGTCTGAACACAATTATAATCAAACTAATGACAGACTCAATTCACTTTACAGAGTAAAGAAAAATGTTGTTTTGGAAATAAATGTCTAACCCCTTCACCCATGTGCTTCGAACCTTCACAGACTCCATGAATTGATGACCATCTCCTAAAGATTTGGTCATATGATCAATTGTACTAAACAGAGCAGCAAGAACAGCTCTGAATTGCAATTATAGAACAAATACCACAGCCATGTATAACTGTTTGCGCTGGTTATCAGTTAAAAAGAGATTACTGTATTCATTGCTAGTGTTCTTTAAAAACATTTTGATAAAAAAAAGAAACAACAATTCTGTATAAAAATGTAAATTTTAGTTCGGATAAACATAGCTATGTTACCAGACATTGGACTAGAGGAAAATTTACAATTTTTTTTACATGTATTATAAGTGAGAAATTTGCTTTGGTATATTGTAAGTTGGCTTAAGGTCCCCAGGAAGAATTGTTTAGGCTTGGCCAAGGTTAATGAGGATCCCAAATCAATCAAAAATCAATTCAAAATCAAACATGATCAATTTCTTTGACCATTTCCAAGCAACAGGGTGGCGTTTCAATTTACACTTTGGTTCAACATACCCCAATCTCCCCTACAGAGAGACTAAATGAGAATCATGTTGTTTCTCTGACATAAATTTTTTGACTGAATTTGTGTTTTATCAAACTATTATTATTATTAAATCATCCAGATTCAAACAAAAACAGACTCTGAATTATATTTTAGAGTTGATTAAAATGTCTCTTTTTGAACTATGAGATAATAATCAACTGTTTTCTCTCATGTTTTAGCAGAACTTATTTATAATTAACACTTTAATGATTTTATAGTAACCAAAAATATTCACTTACATCATTTCCATAAGCATCAGCTGGAAGAGACAGCGCATGCGCAGCTGCTGATGCTCCCTCCACCCCCTGTGAACACACACACAAACACATTGTCAGTCCAGTATGTTGTTCTGAAGGTTCGGACTCAGAACCTTGTAATGGGGGTCCAAACGGAACTCTGACCCTCAGATAATAAATTAGACCTAAGACTAACAATCCTGAGACCTGGGGGGTATTCCAGAAAGCAGGTTCAACATACTCTGAGTCTATCCCTGAACTCTGAGTTGACACAGGCTGTGTCCGAAATGGCCTACTACTCCTACTACTCCTACTAACGCCGCCTCTGAATTGAGTAGACAGTGCGTTCACACTGTACAGTATGCGAATTTTGTGTATGCGAGAAATGCCCGGATGTATACTCAATCGGCTTCGATTTCTGAGTGTGCAACGGAGCTTGCTTCACGTACTGCTTCTGCCCCACAATGCATTGCGCACCTCAGCTGGTAATATGGCCCTCTTTCCCGAGGCTGAAAAGAAATAGATGGCATGTGATTGCAATAATAATTATATATATATATAAATAGATAAACAATATTTAGTCAGTATACATTACACAATTTATATCATTTTATCATATTTTGATCTTTTTACCAGATTTATTTGTATTTTAAATTAGGATTATAGGTAATGTTTTTAACTCTTCGTATGAATTGACTTTATTTATTTAAGTGTCTATTAAAGATGTATTTATTACATCAAGTTTGAGCATCTTCTCATCTCTGAATGCATAATCAAAGTGGTCGCTCAAATTAAGCACAGACCTCTGATTAATAAAAATTATTATTGGCAGAGAGCACATGATTCAGAATTTACAAACGGGGGAATTTCCAGTTGACAATGTATGTGAGCTTTACTAATTCTTACTTGTGGTTGAAAATCTGATGGTTTCTGAAATTATCATTGTACATGAAAGAATGTCGTCGGGAAATGATGTATTTGCCAAGGAATAACCGAACAAGGTCATAATAATTATGTTGTGTGTTGGTCATTTTGCAGCCCTCTGCTGCTCATCACACAACCAGCAGGTGGTGTATAGCATTATCACCATGGATATACAGATGTTTGTGTGATTTTTTTCATCCACTGCCGCCCGGTTTGTGTCGTGTAGATGTTGATTATGAAAACACTTCGCAATAATTTGGAAACGTGAAGGGGGAGCTGCTGCTGCCCGGTGTTTACGGTAAATAGACGCAAACACCCACCAAGTGGACGCTTCGGTCTCCGAAAACGCCGAGACAAATTTACAAACAGCCACTATTTCAAACAACTGGGCTCATAATCGTGATGTAAACACTTACTTTCTGGCTAGAAAAAATATTATTATTGAATGAATTTATATAATTTGTCCAGAATGCAGTCGTTCTGTGTAGCTTGTGGTAGGACTATTTAAATTTTCCCGGCGCTGCGTCCGGCCGGCACGAAATGCATTCTGGGGTATTTAGTATGCATCTGTATGTAAACGCTCGGGCAGTCGCGGCATACTCAAATCATCTTTGAGTAGTCATATATATATATATATATCATTATTATTGCAATCACATGCCATCTATTTCTTTTCAGCCTCGGGAAGGAAGGCCATATTACCAGCTGAGGTGCGCAATGCATTGTGGGGCAGAAGCAGTACGTGAAGCAAGCTCCGTTGCACACTCAGGCTGTGTCCGAAATGGCCTACTACTCCTACTACTCCTACTAACCCCGCCTCTGAATTGAGTAGACAGTGCGTTCACACTGTACAGTATGCGAATTTTGTGTATGCGAGAAATGCCCGGATGTATACTCAATCGGCTTCAATTTCTGAGTGTGCAACGGAGCTTGCTTCACGTACTGCTTCTGCCCCACAATGCATTGCGCACCTCAGCTGGTAATATGGCCCTCCTTCCCGAGGCTGAAAAGAAATAGATGGCATGTGATTGCAATAATAATGATATATATATAAATAGATAAACAATATTTAGTCCGTATACATTACACAATTTTCATCATTTTATCATATTTTGATCTTTTTACCGGATTTATTTGTATTTTAAATTAGGATTATAGGCAATGTTTTTAACTATTCGTATGAATTGACTTTATTTATTTAAGTGTCTATTAAAGATGTATTTATTACATCAAGTTTGAGCATCTTCTCATCTCTGAATGCATCATCAAAGTGGTCGCTCATATTAAGCACAGACCTCTGATTAATAAAAATTATCTTTGGTAGAGAGCACATGGTTCAGAATATACAAACGGGGGAGTTTCCAGTTGACAATCTATGTGAGCTTTACTAATTCTTACTTGTGATTGAAAATCTGATGGTTTCTGAAATTATCATTGTACATGAAAAGAATGTAGTCGGGAAATGATGTATTTGTCAAGGAATAACCGAACAAGGTCATAATAATTATGTTGTGTGTTGGTCATTTTGCAGCCCTCTGCTGCTCATCACACGGCCAGCAGGTGGTGTATAGCATTATCACCATGGATACACGGATGTTTGTGTGATTTTTTTCATCCACTGCCGCCCGGTTTGTGTCGTGTAGATGTTGATTATGAAAACACTTCGCAATAATTTGGAAACGTGAAGGGGGGGCTGCTGACGCAAACACCGACCAAGTGGACGCTTCGGTCTCCGAAAACGCCGAGACAAATTTACAAACAGACACTATTTCAAACAACTGGGCTCATAATCGTGATGTAAACACTTACTTTCTCGCTAGAAAAAAAAATTATTATTGAATGAATTTATATAATTTGTCCGGGATGCAGTCGTTCTGTGTGGCTTGTGGTAGGACTATTTAAATTTTCCCGGCGCTGCGTCCGGCCGGCACGAAATGCATTCTGGGGTATTTAGTATGTATGTGTGTAAACGCTCGGGCAGCCGCGGCATACTCAAATCCTCTTTGAGTAGTCAGTAGGCAGTAGCTACTGCTTGAGTAGGTAAGTAGATAGTAGGCAGTATGCCATTTCGGACACAGCCTCAGAAATCGAAGCCGATTGAGTATACATCCGGGCATTTCTCGCATACACAAAATTCGCATACTGTACAGTGTGAACGCACTGCCTACTCAATTCAGAGGCGGGGTTAGTAGGAGTAGTAGGAGTAGTAGGCCATTTCGGACACAGCCCCTGAGTATCCGGTTCCAGAAAAGCTGATCTGAATTAGTTCAATCAACTCTGAGTATGATAACCTGGAGTTACGCGCGTGCACAACCACTATAAAAAGCCATCATCAACGGAGCCCCGATACCACGAGTCACCATGACAACAGAGCAAAAACGGTCAATTTATTTCACCCCGGTGGAGTTGGAGGTCCTTATGCTGGCCTAATGCGAGTATGAGAACATTTTTCGCCGCAAATCCAACACGGCTGCAGCAGCGAAGGAGAGAGAGACGGCATGGGAGAAAATTGCTGCGCGAGTCAATGCGTAAGTTTGAATGTACTATTCCACTGACGTAACATATAAGATCGAAGCATAGTCTATAGTTATGAATATAAGTAGGAATGAAATCTGATTTTCATTTAGGTGCAATCCAACGGGAGAAAAAAGGACTTGGAAGCAGCTCAAAATGAAACATAAAAACATAATTCAAAAAGGTAAGGCATATTTTGCTAGGCTGTGATTGCACCTCACTTTGGTTTTAATTTAATTATTTTAAATGGACTTAGGCTATTAGACAAAGTCAATAGTAATTTAAACTAAAATATTAATTCAGCGGCTACTTCAAATTATAATTTAAACCCCAAACAAAATGTAATTTTTCAACGTCCTCTCACTTAATTCTACACTTCGTGGATTAACACTTGATACAAACACATTTATATTTTAGACCTATTGAAGTCATTTAAAATGTGACGCTGTAGCCTACACCAACACTGATTAAAATACTATTTTAAAATAAACATTGACTTCTGCTCAGCCAACAGAAAGAAGGCAGAGGCCCGAAAAACGGGTGGAGGGCCACCTCCACTACATCTGACGGAGGCTGAGGAGCTGGCCCTCAGCCAAAACAGGGGTCGCCCTGTGGCTGAAGGCATCCCCGGGGGAAGCTCATCTGAGCCTGTCACCCCCCAGGACACAAGTCCCTACATCAGATGCAAGTATACACTTATGTCTTTAAAAAATAAAACTAATATATAAATATATATATAGCCTACTTTTTAACAAATATATATCCACCCACCCAACAGTTGTGGATGGTGTCATCTGCCTGCTTCAGCCTCCGACAGAAACAAACCCTGTAGCTGTAAGTCTTCCATACTCAGATTCCTTAGATGGTAGTTCAAAGTATTCTGAAACAGTATATTTTCCTGCATTACAGGAGGGGGAGGAGGAGGAGGAGGAGGATGAAGAAACACTGTCTGCTGCCACAGGGAGAGATCCAGAGGGGCATCCTGAAGTGTGTCTTAATATATAGCTACTGGCAGTGCCCATTCATTTACATTCTAAAGTGGAATTTGGAGTTTGACATGTACACTGAATACACGGCCGGAGAAGGTTATTTAGATAAATTATACTGTTCAAAGAAAAGCGGTAGCGTTCGAAAATAAATTCTTCTGGAAATGATAAAACGTCTAATCTGGGTCGGAAGATTCTCTCGCGACGTAAACCGTTGCGCATTATTCTGGCTTCGATGTCGATCGGATTTTCAAGGAATGGACAATCCATGTTCAACCGCTTTCTTTGTGTGGGAGGAGACATGTAGAAACTCTGGGTCTCTTATAGTAAACCTGTCAGCGAGCAGGTTATGTTCACAGAGTAAGTTACCGCAGTAACTGACCCAGTGTTTAAGTTGCCTCTCTTTCTGGAACGGATAACTCAGAGTTTCCCTCATCTCAGGGTTAACTTACTCAGAGTTTTTCACATAACCCGCTTTCTGGAATACCCCCCTGATGACTTTAATTAAAACATTATTTATTAGTTATTTCAGTTTTTTTCCCTCACATGTGTTCCTCTCAGGTTAGCTTTAGCATGAGCTAACTCAGCCCACTCTCGTTAAAACCGTCACGGATTTATCTTTTATTCTTTCTAAGACTCCATTAACAGTATTTTATAAACATGTTTTCTGATTTTAACTCTGATTGAAGATTAAAGGTTTAATATGAACAAGATTAAGTTTTAATTCTTACCAGAGAGGCCAGTCCATTATCTGACGCCATTTTCCTCAAACAAAGATCGTCTATCAACAGAGACGAACTCATATTTACGGGTTTTAAATCTGCGCATGCGCTCTTCCAACTCGTTCGCTCTCCCAAATACGAGATTTCTTAATAAACAAAGACAGAACAAAATAACTGCACCATACCTGTCGATCTTTTTAAATGAAAATTTAAATCGTGGATAAAACAAAGATCAGTGTCTCTCTAACAGCCTCCCTACCGCTGTTAACAGAGGAGAGAATTAACGATTCTATCAAAAAAAATCCCATTTTTAATGACTGTTACATGTAAAAGTTGATAACTTGTTCTTAAATACACATCAGACACTGATAAATCTGAATATTCAAACTCTCTGAGATCATTAAGGAATAACTAATAACTAATTAATAATTATACAGACTGTTTTCGAACAGAGTAAGCCATCTTACTTTTTCTTGATCTCTGTGCTCAAATTTGACACTGCGGTGACGTCATGTTTCTTAAAGGGACAGTACGAAATAATAAATAAATAAAAACAGAAACTGGTCTGTTCCTTGATAAGTTAAACTTTGACAAACAGTTTAAAGTGATTTTAGTTAGTTTTGACTTTTTTTTTTTACATTTTTATTTGGTCGCAATAAGTCACACATTAATCTCATGTTGTAGTCCATTTTAATCACATTTCTGCGCAAAATTTAAGTATTTAATTAAGGGTTATATGGTATTTAATTTACATCTTATCTGTTATGCAGCACTTTGGTAACCTTGTTGAGGCCAACAAACACGAATATGGAATAATGACAAAAAAAAATATTACTATAATAAAGAAAAAACTACAACAACTTATGTGGAGTTACAGTGGCCCTAAAGATCAACTGAAACTATGACGTCAACTCCTATTCCTTCTAAATAAAAAATAATTAATAAAATATCAAAAAAATTCAAAAAGCTATGAAATATTGATTATCTTAAAAAATCTAAAAACTAAATCTTATGAAATTAAGATTAAAAAACATCTCGTATGCTACACTGTTTTAAAAAAAAGAAAAATCTCATAAAAAATAAAAAACACAAATTGAAAAATATCCTTGATATGAAAGAAGAAAACATTTTCGATGCAAAACATTCCGATTTTTGTACATATATCTATGAATGACATAAAATACTAAAAACAGAAAAAACTCAACCTCCTGAAAAAAGTAAAAAAAAAAAGAATAAAATAAAATGAATATTTGAAATCAAAAACAAGAAAATAAATCAAACAAATAATATTTCATTATACAAAAAGTATCTGAAAACATTGGTGAAAATAATCTGTTGATGTGAATTTCTGTTTATTATTAATCTTGCCCATATTTTTCCTTCCCTACTTTTTTATTTACAGTATTTTATGAATCAGTCTGTTGTCAATGGAAATATTTTTTTCTTTTAATAAAATGTTTAAAAAATGATTTTATTTCACTGAAATGTTTTTTTATTTATTTCTCCACATGTTTTTTTGCAGTCGACCTTCAGGGCCACCGTAGTGGACAGTTATGTGTTGAGCTCTGACAACATATCTTCATGCATTGATGTGAATTTCTTGTCATTTTATTTTTTTTCCTTTTTTTCTTCCTTACTTTTTATTTACTGTATTTTATGAATATTTTTGTTGTCAATTAAAATATTTTTTCCTTTGATAAAATGTTTTATGTTTGTAATTATTTTCTTTTTTACTGAAATGTTTTTTTTCTCCACATGTTATTAGTAGTCGACCTTCAGGGCCGCCGTAGTAGACAGTGTGTGGACCCCTGATAACATGTCATGATGTGTTGCTGGTCTCTATCGGCTGATGTCTCAGGTTTCTCTCTGCAGACATGATGTTGGGCTGAAAAGACACCGAGGATCGCTCTTCTGAATACAGGAGCAACACAGAAACACGCTCTCCTGCTCCTCCTCCTCCTCCTCTTAGGGGGTCCCTGTAGCCCCCTATCCCGTTGTCAGAGCAGCCACCTCCCACTTCACTCCTCCTCCTCCTTTTTCTGTCGTCTTCCTCCTCCACCCTTCCTCCCTCCTCCTCCTCCTCCGTCAGTCGAGGAGCGTCCCCGTCTCTCTCCGGCTGCTCTCCTCTTCATCTCTCGGTTTTATTCCTCGCTGTTTGGAGGTAAGGAGGTTTTTATTTCACACTCACACGCTGATCTAAATGATGGTCTGTTTTGTGTTTGTTTGTTCCGGGAGATCAGTCTGTTTTTATCGGGCAGTTGCTGCTGCAGACGCACTTGCCTCCTCTGCTCCTCTCCTCTCCTCCTCCTCATCCTCGGCGTTATTGAGCCCCAGACCCTGAAGGCCACATGATGAAGAGCAGAAAGACGATTAAGCTGTTTGTCTGTTTTTTTTTTTTTTTTTTTTTTCATTTTTAACAGATCTGTGTTGGTGTGTGTTGCTGGTTGTCTGCAGGCCTCAGTCCGGATCCTAATTACGGTCATCAGTGTTATCTTGCTTATTACACATCTGTAAACACTGATCAGGATAAATGCACGGCCCAGGCTCCAAATAACAACCATCCACAGTCAGGAACTCCTCTGCAGGTTCATTTAGGCTGAAAAATAAAGAATAAAAAAATAAAACTTGAATATTCTAAAGGAGATTTCTGTTTATTCAGATTACAGTCAGAGATATTCACCCATTTCTCCTCTACAAGAGGGCGTAATCTGCTCATGTTTGGCTTTTTTTGAAGCTCCATTTATCATCCAATCATTTCCAGTGTTGACCACTTTATTGACTTATTGATCAATAAAGTGGTCAACACTGACCAGAAAATACTGAGAAATACACAGTCAGAGTCAAATCGGATCATTTACAATAGCAGGAAAGAGAAAACCAGATCATGTTTAACTTTATTCAACAGTAATTTTCTAACTGATGCATTTATAATTCAGGTTGTAGTCTAATCCTAACTTTAATGAAAACAGAGCTGAGATCAGGGAAAGTCAAAGTTTTACTTGAATAAGGTGGGGGAAACAACAGTAAATTTAACTGAAAATGTAAAACCTTTAAACAGTAGAAAGACAAGGCAGCAGTGAACATAATATATTCATTTACTTAATCCCTCCTGTTAACACTCAGCATCTCTTCTTGTCTTTATTGTGATCAGCTAAAACAATAATAAGACTATCTCATTTAAAAGATCTACAGAGATCAGTTATTAAGATGAAACACTGTTAGATATTATTTTATCTATCAGTTTTTCTGTAAAAATCCTCAAAATCTTCCTTTAAAACCCAATAAATACATGACAGTAAACTCTGAAGTTTGAGTCTTAAAAAACTACAAAACCATATTTTCAGTTTGCCTTCAGAAGATTTTAGACTAATAATATAACCATAAAATAATCAATAAACTAAAATAATCAATAAATTGTAAAATAATCAATAACCTAAAATAATCAATACACAGTAAACAACCAGCAGATTGTTTCACACATTTTAAAAACATCCTGATTATAATTTTTGTTTTTAGAGAAACCGTCGCTCTGTTGGACACCCATCTGATTACATGTGTTTAAATTGTGTGTGTGTGTGTGTGTGTTTGTACTAATGCCCCCCCCCCCCCCCACACACACACACACACACACACACACACACACACACACACACACACACTCACAGACAGTGAACAGGCCCGCTCTGATGGCTCTGTGTCGGTTAAAAGCTCTCACTGATAAGACTATCGGACACACAGAGCACTCAGAGCCACTCTGATGGATCAGCCGTCCTCTGAGACTCACACGTTCACTCACTCACAGGAAGTGGCTGAATGAATTCACTTCTCCTGAGGCCTACATTTTGTTTTATTCTTAAAAAAAAGGTCATATTTTCCTCTCTCAGAGTACAAAGAGCCGCTTTTCCTCCTTAAATGAAGTCAAAGATTCATCGATTGATTAATCATCAATAAATCATGACCAGGAAAATGCAACATAAACAACAAGTTTGAGGCTCATAATAAAATTAATGCTAACATAAGCAGACCGACATGCTGAGGAGGAACACCAGGCTAATGATCATGTTCACTTAAAGGGGCACTATGTAGTTTTTAGAAATTATTATTGTTTTATTTTTGCTACGGTATCGAAGTTTGGGGCCATACATACTTCACAAGGATAAGACCACTGATTATGTCACTAAACTAATACTAACAGATTGTTTATTAAACAGGAATACTGAAATTTAAAGACTTAGTAGAAACACAAACACTGGCTGTAATGTATAAATCAAAAAATAGAATATTAGCAGAAAGTAAACAACAAATGTTAGATATTAGATCAGATGACGGAGAACAAAGGAGGAAGTTTCATTTTAAACACCTGTTTGTATGGACAACTCTGAAGCAGATGTGTTTTTCTGTAGTGGGAGTTCAACTATGAAACTGTCAAATTAATGAAATAAAGACCTGTACAAATCTATAACAAGCCAAGAAAATGTTAAAGGAAAATACAGTTAGAAATTAGGACAAAAGTAACCAACGATTGTGGGGCTGACGAAAAGTCAACTTGAAATGCTGTCTAATATTGATATTTATTATTATGTTTGTTTTGTTTACTTCATGGTATGACTACAGAAAAATCAGTGACCAATACGTCTCTTTTGTTTTTTGTTGTTTTATTGTTATTGGGGTTTTTTTTGTGCTTTGTTTTGTTTTTCTGTTTTGTTTTGTTTTGCTTTGTTTTTTGTTTTGCTATAGTTTTGTTTATGTTTTGTTTTGTTTTGTAAGAATATTGCTCAGTGATCGATTATAAGAACAATTAGACTTTGAGTAAGGGGTCAGGTAATATAAGATTAGCCTGGCTGGGCCATCCAGTTGCGTGAATCACTTGCCGTTCCTTCCCACAACAGTCTGGACTTCGGCCAATTGGGAGCCCTGAAAGTGGGCGTGAGTACTTTCCTTAATAGACAGACTACTGTAACCAATCACCGTAACCAAACATCTGACGTCATCAGAGTGCACAACTGTGTTCCCTGCTGAGCTTTCAAGCATCAAGTAAAGGTTTGGTAATATTTCAATGTGTGCGAGCAAACAATGTCTTTTACGTCTTCTTCTGTGGATATAAACGATTTCTGCCAACTTTGCAAAGTCAACTGCAGAATTAGCGGCGTTCTGAATGAACAGCGCTTTGAAAAGTCCTGCAGCATGTGTTAGACGTCACCATCTACACATGGACCAATCAGGGGCTGCCTTTCCTTGTTGTCCGGGGAACAGTGGAAACACAGTAACTGATTGGCCCGGTTATCTTCTGATTTCTAATACATGCTCCGAAATGGCCGAAGTCCAGACTGTTGTGGGAAGGAACGGCAAGTGATTCACGCAACTGGATGGCCCAGCCAGGCTTATATAAGATGTTTCTTCTCCCTGCTCCCTTCCAACCAAGGGATAAGACATGTTCTAATGTGACATGATGTTGTCAAATGGAGAAATTGCCTTGGCTGGAAGAAAGAAAGAAAGAAAGAAAGAAAGAAAGAAAGAAAGAAATTGAAAATAAGACATTCTTATATCTGTTTAAAGCTCCTGTGGAGAGTTTTCTGACGTTAGTGAAAGAGACTAAAATTCACATGAATGTTTTCATATCAAAAATAAAAATAAACAAGAACATCAGAGAAGAAGGGGGTGTTTTCGTTTTTGTGGTTTTCACATGTCAAAATCAGCAGGACCTCGAAATATGTCCACAACAAGCTTTAGCAGAGACCGCTCTGTCCACAGGGGGCGCTAAACTGGACACAAACCAAACGTCTCTCACAGGATCTTTAATGCTGCATTTGAGTAACCTCAGACATCAGAAGTCGGAGCTGGGAATGACGTCACACGCAAGTTCTCAGCGTTTCAGTTACCAAGTCAGAAAAAAGCAAAATCGGAGGCTGAAACAAGATGGCTACTAGCCTGGCTGGGTCATCCTGTTGCGTGAATCACTTGCCGTTCCTTCCCACAACAGTCTGGACTTCGGCCCATTGGGAGCGTGTACTCCCGATCAGAAAATAATCCGGCCAATCAGAGACCGTGTTTCCACTGTTACCCGGACAACAGGGAAAGGCAACCCCTGATTGGTCCATGTGTAGATGGTGTAAATAACATTGGTAAATGTAGCCATCTTGTTTGTGTTTTTGTAAACAGTGTGTGAGCATTTAGAGGAAGAAGAAGAATTATTAGAGAGTGGCTGTTGTGTGTAAAAGAATTACTCCTGACAAACATCTCCTAGATTCTGAACATAGCTCAGATCCACCTGTGTTTCCTCTCTGACTGGGGGGGCCTTTGTTCTGACCCAAACTTCTGTCTGCAGGTTTCTGCGGGTCCAAAGCAGCTGAGCAGAACCAGCAGAGAGCTCCTCCCTCACTGATCTGGTGTCAGTTTTTGGGCGTCTGTGTGCCGACTCTCTGGAGGGAGGAGTATAACCACGGCGAGAACTGTTGAGGATCGGCTGGGCGTTGGCCCAGCTGGGTGAGCTGATAAACAGAGGGGGGGGGGGGTGAGGCTGCATGTGCTGATGGAGGAGGAGGAGGAGGAGGAGGAGGAGGAGGAGGGAGAGGAGGGCAGCAGATGAAAGAGAAGACACAACATGAGGAGGGGGTTCACAGGAAGTTGGGATCTTTCAGCGGAGGATTTCCTCCTGAGGCTGAGACCTCAGTGGAGTGACTCTCATGCTGTTAAAGTACAACGAGTCTTTCCTGTCAGCAGGACTGCCCCCCAGTCCCCTGAGGAGGTCCTGATAACAGCTGGACCTCAACCAGGTTCACAGGCTTGTTTTACACTCAGTCTCCTTGTCCTCACCCTGAGGGACAGACAGGAGGAAGGATCTACTCTCTCATCATCATCAGGATTTCTCTGTTTTCACGGTCCCGGTTCCTGGTTCCTGGTTTTTTTGTTTACCTAGATTCCCAAGTGTCTAGAGTCCCCTGTTTCTTGACTCCCATATTTGAAATCCAGAGACCAAAGGGTCCTAAAGAGAGATCTTCCTTTTGTACCGGATTCTATTAGAATTCCCAAAGGGGGTCTGGTTTTGTTGTTTAGTGTTCTCAGAAGTCCCGGGCTCCTCTGCCCTGCCTTTATCATCTGTTCCTTTGTCATCTGTTCCTCATATTCAGCCTCAGGTCCAGTTCTGGTTCTGCTCACATATGTTCTGTTTTCTGAACAGGGTCTGCTGTAGGAGCTGGTCTTTCCTCAGACCAGCATCCAGCTGAGTCATCCTGAACCTCATTCATAAAGTCCACTGTGGTGATCTGGATTTACTGACACCTCCCCTCTGTCTGCCCCCCCCCCCCCCCCCATTTTTTTTCCAGGTTCAAACGGAGCAGCAGGACGGTTTCTCTCCGGTCATGCAGAAGGTAATCAGTCCTCCTCCAACCCCACCTCATCCTGAACGTCTACAAAAAGGTCGTATCCTCCGATCGTAGCTGATCGTAACCATTTAAGTTAACGTGTCAATTTCCACCGGCTTCTTTCCCAAACTCCAATTATTGTCGGACTAAGGAGTTTACATGAACTTCAGTTGTCCGGTCTTAATCGGAATAAGGCGATAATTCCATTTTCTCGGGTGTCATGGAAATGCACTGCATGATTTCTAATTCTACGTTGAAAGGACAACTGGACTTAGTTTAGACGTTTCGCCCGAGGCATGCAGAGATTTCCACTCCAGAGTCATGTGACTAACCTGTTGGATATAGTTGGTTTGAAATCATCTAAAAACCATAAAAATCTGTTTAATTTCCGATCATTTTAACCCTTTAACCCTGGTAAGTGGATTTAATTTAATTTAAAAAACTTTTTTTTTTAAGTCTGTGTCTCTGATTCTGGAGTTTTCTTAGAACTGAGTCTCAGATTTGTTCTGACCCGTCCAATAACAGTCTTACCGACAATTTCCACGGCTACGAAAAGTTCATATCCTCAGATCGAATCTGATCGTAACCATTCAAGTTAATGTGTCAATTTCCACCGGCTTCTTTCTGTTCCGCTGCAGATCGCCGGACTGCACAGCTGATCACAAGAGTTCTATTTGATTCCGGATGCCGGAGCATGCCGGATAAATTCAGCACAGATTAATCCGTGCTGGAAAGGAAGTCAGGCACAGACACAAAATAAAACATCCGGCTTCTTTTCAAAATATAAAGTTAATTTATTAACTAAGGTTCAGGAGTAGGACCACGCCTCACCACACCTTCAATCACCTGACTAGCATATTTATACACAGTCAGCCCACTACACTCCATTTGTCTGCAATTCTCTAAGGAGCACAGACAGACCGTGCGCCAAGCAGTAACGCTCGCTCGCATTCAAAGAAACTGTTAAATTCAGCCACTTACATGGAACTCCAGCTGCACAACTTGGACAAGGATCTTTATGACGAACTTTTCCAGGTTAATTATCCTTCACCTGGTGAGCAGCAATCGGACCACGGCCAAGCTCCACTGCAGAGCCACTTGCGCTCCGTGGTTAGCATCCCGCAACCACGCCGTACACATTCAAGCTCCCTGAACATCATCCCAATGACTCCCGACAGATCACCAGCCTCATCTTCACCAAGAAGATCTGTAGACCATAGGAGCTACAATCACCTACTCCGCTCCCCATTACGTCGCTCTCACCGCTCAGCCACAGGCATTTCAACACGCTGCAGCAAGGTTCGCTGAGACGACAGACTCTGTGCCCACGAACGAGGATGACATCAGCAACTGGACTGTCCCCTGTCCCTGTTGGTCCCTGAAAGCAAGAGGCATCCCATTCCACCGCAACGACAATAAAGCAAGGCTATTCCTGCTCTACGATTCCTTCACAAAGACCACAGCTGCAGCAGCCATAAATCCTGTGCTTCCTGCTTCCCCGCCCGAGCCAATCACTGTCACTAACGTCAGGAGTGACGTCACAGAACAGCTCCCTCAACCACAGCTCACCTCATCGGCTCCCCCTGGCGGGGACCAGGTCGTATCACCCCCTGTGCCTGCTCCCTCTGTGTCTGACTTCTCTCAAGCTACCACAGCTTTCTTTACTTCCCTGTGTTCGCAGGCTGCACCAAATCCCTGTGCACATACATCCTGTCATCCCAACTTCCCTTTCTCCTCTCTTCTTTCAGCCTCTAACAACAATACGGCTTCTGTTCCCCCTCTTCCCACCATAGCCAGTTCCTTAGTTCTTCAAGGAGCCCCTCCAGCAATTCACAACACTGGCTATTCTCGACCCCCTCCGTTTCCTACTGATCTATCCTATCAACCCTCCCTCCCCATCCCCACCCCCTCCCTTCCCCAACACCCAAATATATTTCCGCCTCCTGTTCATAATTACACACTAGCCACAGCCGCTCCACCTATTCAACCAGCTTCATCCATCAACTGTGCGTCACCCATTTCACCGGCACTATGCCAACAAATTCTCTCCGGTAATTACGTCAATCTAGCTCAGCTACTCCACCCATCCATAACTGACACAAGACAGCCTAGGGAGATGGAAACCATTTTCGGCCCAGTTCAGCTCCACGACCCACTTCCATCCAGGTCAATTTGCCTTAGCATTTTCACTCTTCCGTGACACCATCTGTTCAGTTTTTCCATCTCGCAGGTCCGAGCTTGACGATTACCCCTTCATAATCCTAGACATGGCCCTGCGTTTTGGCGGCACAGGCTTTTACAGTTACCACGTGCACTTCGCTAACCAGGCAGCCGGCTGCATCCAGCAGTTCAATCAGAACACATACTGGGGCACACTCGACTCCGAATTGTATTGCCGCACCTCCCTCTCTTGTGAGCTATGTGGAGCCCCCTCCCACCCTGCCACAGCATGCATCGTCAGCGCCCCAGCACCCCATCCACGCCTTTAACACCACAGTCTTTAACCGCTTGTCACCTGCTGCACCTCCACCTCCAATCATACCTAAGCCCCTAGACATTCGATCCACTGTCAGTGTTCCCATGCCAAAAGGAGTCGACAAGAGAGGAAAGCCTATCCTATACCAAGCCGAAAGGATGGTTTGCAATAACTTCAACCACCTCGGGTGCACCCTCTCCATCTGTCTCTTCCAGACTCCTTCTGCAGGGTGCCCATGCCAGCTGCACCTGCCCACATAACCCAACTATGCCCACCAGCTGACTAGCAGAGCACCACAGCTCACCCATTAAGGTAAACGCTCTAGCTGCAGCTCTAAAAAATCACCCAGACAGAGAGTTTGTCAACTTCCTTCTTAACAGCTTCACTCACGGTTTTCATCTTGGCATAGACATTCTCCCCGACACTTCACATACCTGCCAAAACCTTCAGTCTACTCTGAAGGAACCCAACAGCATTGATTCCTTGCTAGCAAAAGAGGTCAAAGAGGGATTCATGATAGGCCCATTTAAAGAACCACCTTTCCCCGTTTCGGGTCAGCCCCCTCAGCATAGCCACTCTTAAATACTCCGAGGATGATCATAGACCTTTCCTCCCCCCATGGTTCACAAATCCCCAGCATCAACAGCATCATCCCATGCCCTGATTTCTCAATACAATATGCATCAATCGATCATGCCATCACTCTCATCCGTCTCACAGGCCAGGGAGCTTGGCTCTCCAAAGCAGACATCACAAGCGCATGTAAAGTGCTACCCATATACCCCAACTTCTGGTGTTACTCTGGTGTCAGCTGGAAAGGAGCCTATTACTTTGCAGTGCATCTCACTTTCGGTTGCAGAAGCAGCCGTAAGATCTTTGACTCCCTCTCAGAAGCACTGTGCTGGATTCTCACTAACAATCACAGACTCCCATTCATTCTACACCTCCGAGATGACTTCCTCATCGTCACTCCACCATCATCCCCTCCCAAGTTCGGACTCACCACCCTTACAGACTGCTTTTCAGAGTTGGGTGTACCTCTTTCAAAAGAAAAAACTTCAGGGCCTAGCACCTCAATGGAGTTTTTAGGTATTACTCTAGATTCAGTTTTCCTCCAAGCATCTCTACCTCACGAAAAGATACAGCATATCACCCTTCTCCTCTCTAACTATCTCCTAGCAGATAGATGCACCAAACGCCAGTTACTGGCCCTCCTTGGTCACCTCAACTATGCCACCCAAATCATCCCTCAGGCAAAATCTTTCCTTTCCAATCTCCTAACAAAAGCTGCAGCAGTCCCCTCCTCGCATGACAGAGTGGTATTGGACAAAGCATGCAAAATGGAGATAAACATGTGGCAATATTTCCTGTCCTCTTGGAACAGCATTTCTTTCTTCTATGACGATTTCATAACCCAATCAGAAGACATTCAACTGTTCACAGATGCAGCTCCCTCTATAGGTTTCGGAGGCTACTACAGGGGGAGATGGTTTGCTTCCACCTGGCTTGCAGAACTAAAAGACTTCGACTCGAAATCCCAATCTCTTTCGTCAGCCCTTCATGAACTCTACCCCATCATCATTGCAGCCTTACTTTGGGGGCAAGAATGGTCAAGAAAATCTATACTCATACACTCAGATAACACAGCAGTTGTAGAAATCCTGAACAAAGGCAGATCTCATTCCCCGTCAATCATGCAGTTTCTGCGCAGACTCACACTAATCTCAGCTCACCATCAATTCATTCTCAGGGCAGCTCATATTCCTGGATATCAGAACACCATTGCTGACACTCTGTCTCGCTTCCTTTCAGAAATTCAGACATCTGGCCACAGAGTCGGATCCGCATCCCTCACCAGTCCCACCGTTTTCAGCCACAACATTCAATTAACTCCCCAGCTAATAAACCTCACTCATGCCTCACAAGACGCAATTCTCAACAGTCTTGCTCCCAGCACTCTATCCGCTTACCTGACAGGCTGGAACCGCTTCAAGTCCTACCACTCCATATACCAGCTGCCCTTCCCATCTATGGATATCGTATCCATCTGCAATTTCATAACTCACACATACACCATCCAAAATATTTGATCCTCTACCATTCAGACTTACCTCGCTAGCATCAATTTCTTCCTCAAACTCATCACCAGCTCTCAATGTACCGCCATCTCCCACTCTCACTTCACCATGCTAATCAAGGGTTTAAGAAAACAGGAACCTACTATCCCCATTAAGCACCTACCACTCACCTCCGACCTACTCAGCCTCTGCATTCGTACCCTACATTCAGGCTACTCATCTCCAACAGTTGATTCTACACTAGAATCAATGTTCCTGCTCGCCTTCTTTGGTTTCCTCAGATTCTCCGAATTCACTCCGACCTCTTCCGTCTTCAATCCATCCTATCACCCCAAACTATCAGACATCACAGTTATACATCAGCTCCAGGTATGCAGCTCAAGCATCACCTCACGACCCCCTTTTCCTTACCGAAAACGGAAAAATGGCTACACGATTCTGGTTCCTTAAACACCTGTATCAACTCCTCCTCATGTCAGGCATAACATCAGAGTACCACTCAGCCCATTCATTCCCCATCGGCGCAGCATCCACAGCAGCCAGGCTTGGCATATCAAATTGAACAATCCAAATCCTCGGACGATGGTCATCTCAGGCATACCTCTCCTACATTCGTAATAATCTCCACGATCTGCGTCAGGCCCACCCTCAATTAAGCTCCCTTTCATTATAACTCTTTGGGGGTCGGATGAAGCTTGGGCTGAGACGGAACCCCCATCCTGAGTTTCTCACTGCCGGGCCTCTACAGAACCTCCCAGACCAACCAGACATGCGACACTCCTCATCAACGTCATTATCCATCACAACATACACGCATCAGACAAGATATACACACTCCTGAATTTGTATTAAATATTCAAACTTACATCCTTGTGGCATGATCATTGCTAGTGAAATGAAGTTAATGTATTAACTAAGGTTCAGGAGCAGGACCATGCCTCACCACACCTTCAATCACCTGACTAGCATATTTATACACAGCCAGCCCACTACACTCCATTTGTCTGCAATTCCCTGACCCACCCTCCCTCCCTCTCTATTTAACATTAACGCTTCTACTACCTCTCTACCAGTGGCGGCTGCTGGTCTTTCACGGAGGGGAAGCTCATTTTTCTGGCCTACATCATAATTGTGTTTGTTTATTAGTATGTAACAGAACAGAGTCGCCAAACACAACGGCAGTCGTTTTTAACAAAGACAAAAGTCGCTGAGGATCGGTAAAGTCTCTAGAGCAGTTAAGAACAACGGAATGAATAACTTGGAAAATGCTCTGGTAGATGTTTTATTCTTCAAGATCGCTGATTCGCTTGTTTAGCTGTCAATCAAAAAAGGATTTCGCCTCAGACAGCTCATCCAATCATGGATGCAGAAGCTCGAAGTCCGGGAGACAGTCGGGACCGCCCTCTCGCCATAGAACTCCAGAGACGCCGAGCGTCCGATGGGCGGGACAAAGCCCAGCATTTATCCAATGAGCGTCTAGTTTTGCTGCTGGAACAACCCACTTTGAGCTTCCACATTGAAGTCTGCAGACTCTGAGCGTCCGGCTGTGTGAAGCACTGAGGCGCTGTGAGGATGAATGAGAACGAAGTTATGCCGGTTTCCTGTGATTATCAGCTTTTTATCACAGTGTCTGAACAAAAGATGAAGGCTTTCTAGCGCGTATTTAGTTAATGAAATGTACACACAGCAGTACGTATTTCACCACTTTTCTTTTTTTGGGGGGGTGACATATTAAGGGAAGCTGAGCTTCCCTTGCAGTCTTAGAGCAATCGCCACTGCTGTCTACCTCCGCCTCTCTCCGATCTCTCTTCATTTCAGATATAGTCTGGGTCGGACAAAGCTTTGGCAGAACTACGCCTGAGACGGAACCTCCATCCCCCATCCCGGGCCTCTACAGAAACTCCCAGACCAAACAGACATGCGAAACTCCTCATCAACGTCATTATCCATCACAACATACACGCATCAGACAAGATATACACTCACCGGCAACTTTATTAGGTATACCTGTCCAACTGATCGTTAACACTTAATTTCTAATCAGCCAATCACATGGCGGCAACTTAGTGCATTTAGGCATGTAGACATGGTCAAGACAATCTCCTGCAGTTCAAACCGAGCATCAGTATGGGGAAGAAAGGTGATTTGAGTGACTTTGAACGTGGCATGGTTGTTGGTGCCAGAAGGGCTGGTCTGAGTATTTCAGAAACTGTTGATCTACTGGGATTTTCACGCACAACCATCTCTAGGGTTTACAGAGAATGGTCCGAAAAAGAAAAAATATCCAGTGAGCGGCAGTTCTGTGGGCGGAAATGCCTTGTTGATGCCAGAGGTCAGAGGAGAATGGCCAGACTGGTTCGAGCTGATAGAAAGGCAACAGTGACTCAAATAACCACCCGTTACAACCAAGGTAGGCAGAAGAGCATCTCTGAACGCACAGTACGTCGAACTTTGAGGCAGATGGGCTACAGCAGCAGAAGACCACACCGGGTGCCACTCCTTTCAGCTAAGAACAGGAAACTGAGGCTACAATTTGCACAAGCTCATCGAAATTGGACAATAGAAGATTGGAAAAACGTTGCCTGGTCTGATGAGTCTCGATTTCTGCTGCGACATTCGGATGGTAGGGTCAGAATTTGGCGTCAACAACATGAAAGCATGGATCCATCCTGCCTTGTATCAATGGTTCAGGCTGGTGGTGGTGGTGTCATGGTGTGGGGAATATTTTCTTGGCACTCTTTGGGCCCCTTGGTACCAATTGAGCATCATTGCAACGCCACAGCCTACCTGAGTATTGTTGCTGACCATGTCCATCCCTTTATGACCACAATGTACCCAACTTCTGATGGCTACTTTCAGCAGGATAATGCGCCATGTCATAAAGCTGGAATCATCTCAGACTGGTTTCTTGAACATGACAATGAGTTCACTGTACTCAAATGGCCTCCACAGTCACCAGATCTCAATCCAATAGAGCATCTTTGGGATGTGGTGGAACGGGAGATTCGCATCATGGATGTGCAGCCGACAAATCTGCAGCAACTGTGTGATGCCATCATGTCAATATGGACCAAGCTCTCTGAGGAATGCTTCCAGCACCTTGTTGAATCTATGCCACGAAGAATTGATGCAGTTCTGAAGGCAAAAGGGAGTCCAACCCGTTACTAGCATGGTGTACCTAATAAAGTGGCCGGTGAGTGTACACACTCCTGAATTTGTATTAAATATTCAAACTTATATTGTTGTGGCGTGGTCATTGCTAGTGAAAAAACACTCAGTGTTTCAGGAGGATCGTATTTCACACCATGCAAACGGCCGGAGACGAACAAGTGAAAGGTTTTTAGATGCCATTTCACCCGATGACACCATGGATGAGTAGATGCTGATTCTAGAAGTCTAGAAGTAGATTTCCTCCTCTGGAAGGACACAATCTAGTGCTTATATGTCTATATGTCTGTATTTATAGAGACAAGTCGTTATCGCACGATTGAACACGAATCAACGGGTCTTTGTGAGTTCTCACGATTCCCGCTGTCCGTAATCTGCCATGAAATTCACCTCACAAATGGATCCGGTAGGAATTGGTGAACAGCGAAAATTGCAACGTTCCAGATCGGAGCCGTTCTGAATGCAGTGGAAATTTGGATAACTGTAGAGGACACAGACGCAGTTAAACAGGGTCGAGGACCAAAGAGCTCAGATAGCAGACAGGATGGAGACGTCATGTCAGGAGAACAGCTGACTCCACAACCAGTGTTACTCTGCCTCCTAAATCTTTCCAATGATCTCATAGGTGGAGGGACCGGCGACTCCAGTCAACCTGCCATCCTCCAGGGGCTCCAGCACACCGGGGTCTCCCGCCACCGGCATCATGGTAAGCACACCTCCATCCCCCCAATAAAAAGAAACCTGTCAGTCTGTGAACTCCTGAAGTCTAAGCTCTGACCTGTGTGTGTGTGTGTGTGTGTGTGTGTGTGTGTGTGGAGGCCCGACTGAACGACCAGGTGGTGGGTTACAGGGACCTGGCCGCTCTGCCCAGAGATAAAGCCATCCTGCAGGTGGAGAGACCCGACCTGATGACCTACCAACCCCACCTGAGCTTCTCCTCCCTCGACCAGCCGCGCAGAGAGGTAATGGTTAACCTTTGAAGGTCACAGATATTTATCCACTTCCTGTTCTTTATTTTTTTTTTTATTGAAACTGTTTTATTTTGAAAATCTGCGGTTTGTTTCACGTGTTCATAGACATAAAAATCTTAGATTCACAGTAAAAAGCTAAAAGTGCGGGACGTTCAGGTTCCACAGAGCTGCTCACATCCTGATTGGTCCATTTGAATCTGGTCATTCTACCAGAATTGTTCAAAATGGGGCCAGCAATATCTTAAAGGGGACCTGCCATCAAAATTTCATACCCATTTTTATCATTTTTTCATAATCCTTGATGTCCTCTGATCATGTTTGCAACATAATTTTAGCTGAAAAGTTATTTGATGGTTTGTTTTAGTATGCCTAAAAAACCTTACAGGAAAACCAACAGATTTTGGCTCATTAACATTTATGGTAATGAGCTGTGCTCTGATTGGATCGCTGCTGTGAAGCCTGCTGTGCTCTGATTGGCTCAGTAGTGGAGGTTCGGATTTCGGTTTATCCATTTTGCTAATGTGTGCTAAAGTAAGGTGCCCAGATGTCTGTAATGATATCCGGGGATATTTGGTGCGGCGGCGGTGGCGGTGCAGGGGCTGCAGGGGCTGTGTGATCACAGACAAAGTCTCGGTACTATTTAGTAGCAGCGCATGCCCCTTGTAATAACCCCCTTAAAAACTGTTGTTCAGGACTGCTTACTTTTGCTTCCTACCTATTCGGCTACTGTAATAACTGTTGTTCGAGCCCACACGCAACATTTTTGCTCCCATTCATGAAACGCTTAAATCAGGGACATTTTCGGGGACAGCTTTTGCCGGGGAAAGGTCATCCAATACGGGGACTGTCCCCGGAAATCGGGGACGTCTGGTCACCTTATGCTAAAGACTAAAAATGGCAGGTATTAAACCATATATTTTAGACCGCGAGTCCGAAGAGGAGGTGGAAGTTGAAGAAGAAGCCAGAGATCTCCAGCGGTGTTTTCTCATTCATTCTGCCCAGCTTTAAGTTCATTTTCCCGGCAGTGAACCCAAGGAAACACCGATCATTTGGAAGAGACCCATAGCGGATACAGTGGTAGCTGGGTCTTGCTCTGACTGTGAATGAGTACGAGAACAAGAGAGTGGGCGCGGCTCACCGAGGACGCGCTCGTGAATAATAATGAGCAAGGTCAGCGCGACGTCAGAGAGACCTGCTTTTTCATTTGGCCTGGTTTACTCGTTCCTTTATTTTAAACCTTTACAGAATGCAAACGACGTAACGGTTTGTTTTCACATTTACAACACAAGACGAGCATAATATGGACCTTATCTGACACAAAAAACACACAAAATTACATTTTGATGGCAGGTCCCCTTTAAAACTTTGTATTATTCCCCCCAATTTTTCCCTCGATATATTGTACCATATCTAAAGGTCACATATCTAGTAAAAGAACTGTTCATTTTTATATTTTGTATTTTCAGAATTTTTTTCCTCTCCCAAAATGTGTCACAACAGAAACATATATCAAATTATACTAAAAAAATATTATATTGACCTTTAAGATTTTTTTCTTATGTTGTCTACATTCATAAAAAATTTCAGGACAGTTGTCACAAATAAATCAGTAAAAATGAATATTTCAACGAATTTAAAAGTTTAAATATTACAATTCTTCAAAAATCAAATGTAATATTCGTTTGTTTGTTCGTTCGTTCGTTCGTTCGTTCCTTTTCTTCAGCTTCATCTGGGTCGCCGGGGCAGCAGCTTCAGGAGGGAAGCCCAGACGCCCCTCACCCCAGTCACTTCCACCAGCTCCTCCGGGGGGATTCCCAGGCGCTCCCAGGCCAGGCGAGAGATATAATCCCTCCACCTGGTCCTGGGCTGGCCACGAGTTCTCCTCCCGGTGGGACATGTCTGGAACACCTCTAACAGGAGGCATCCAGAAGGCATCCTAACCAGATGCCCGAGCCACCTCAGCTGACTCCTCTCGACGTGGAGTAGCAGTGGTTCTACTCTGAGCGCCTCCCGAGTGTCCGAGCTCCTTACCCTATCTCTAAGGCAGAGTCCGGCCACCCTACGAAGGAAACCCATTTCGGCCGATTGTATCTGCGATCTTGTTCTTTCGGTCATTACCCACAGTTCATGGCCATAGGTGAAGATCGGCACGTAGATTGACCAGTAAATCAAGAGTCTCGCCTTATGGCTCAGCTCTTTGTTCACCACCACCGATTGGTTGAGTGTCCGCATCACCACTCCGATCCGCCTGTCGATCTCCTGCTCCATCCTACCCTCACTCCTGAACAAGACCCCGAGATACTTGAACTCCTCCACTTAAGGCAGGACCGCCCCTCCAAACTGGAGAAGGAAATCAACCTTTTTCTGACTGAGGACCATGGCCTTGGACTTGGAGGTGCTGATTTGCATCTCAGCCGCTTCATGCTAGTCTGCGAACCACCCCAGCAAGAGGTGAAGGTCACTGCTCGACAAAGCGAGGAGAACCACATCATCCGCAAATAGCAGCAATGCGATCCTCTGCCTGCCTAACTGGACACCCTCCACCCCCTGGCTGCACCTAGAAATTCTGTCCATAAAGGTTTTGAACAGAACCGGTGACAAAGGGCAGCCCTGGGAGAGTCCAACCCCTACTGGAAACGAGTCCAACTTACAACCGGCTACACAGACCAAGCTCGTGCTCCTTTGGTAAAGGGATTGGACGGCCCTTAACAAGGAACCCTCCACCCCATACTCCCGGAGCACCTCCCACAGGATTCCCCTAGGGACCCGGTCGTAGGCCTTCTTCAAGTCCACAAAACACATCTGGACTGGTTGGGCAAACTCCCGTCTCCCCTCAAGAACCCGAGCGAGGGTGAAGAGCTGGTCCGTCGTTCCACGACCGGGACGAAACTTGCATTGTTCCTCCTCGATCCGAGGTTCAACTATCGATCGGACCCTCTTTTCCAGCACCCTGGCGTAAGCTTTCCCGGGTAGGCTGAGAAGTGTGATCCTCCTATAGTTGGAACACACCCTCTGGTCCCCCTTCTTAAAGATAGGGACCATCACCCCAGTCTGCCACTCCAAAGGCACTGCCTCTGATTTCCATGCAATGTTTTAGAGGCATGTCAGCCAGGACAGCCCCAACACATCCAGAGCCTTCAGATACCCTGGGTGGATCTCATCCGCCCCTGGAGCTCCGCTGCCACGGAGTTGTTAATGTAAAATTTCTTTGTAAAATGCCGAATTTTTATCAGATTAAATCCAAAGATAATATTTAAAGAAACAGAACATAAAGTCATCAAATTAGTGTGTTAATATATGAGTTGATAAATCATACTTTATTTTTGACATAACATTAGCCCTAGCTCCAACTGGGTAGATGGCAAATCATAGTTTTTGATGCTTTGCCGTCAAAAACTGAAAACTGAAAAGTCTTAAAGGAGCAGGCGGTCAGCAGAGAGAGTTGAGGTGACAACAACACCGCACAATGTATACGACTTGAAAAACTGCCAGACAGCTGAGTTTACGAGAAGAGGGGCGGGGCTGCGCAGGACTGACACATGACCTGGAAATAGGATTAAATACTCTAAACTTTGGTTGATATGGTCATTTCTGAAGAGGACTAAAGAGCCGGACTCAGGCTCTAAAAACCAGACCATCCAAACCCCAGAGGTCGTATTAAAGCTCCCTGCTGTGATTGGATGATTCTATACATTTATTAAAAGTCATGTTTTTCTGTCTTTGCAGCGATCTCTGTCCCCGCCCCCGTCATCTCCTCCCAGGTCTCCTGAGGTAAGAGGTCCATTTCTCTGTTCTCTAATGATGCTGCACCTCGTCTCTGCAGCTTTAATAAACTCTTCTTAAAATAAGCGCTGAGTCATCATGTCACAAACAGAGATGAACTCCTGATCACCCCTTCAGGATCCTCCATGAGCCGGTTTTGGGGTTTTTGAGAGGAGGAGGTTCTGATGGATGCTTCCGTCCTCTGTGATCATTCAATCGCTCCTTTGTGTCCATGAAAAATGTGACCTTTAAAACCCAAAACAGAGAGCGTCTGTTTGGACCGCAGCGGATCTTTAAAGGAGGTTATAACGTCATCGAATAAAGAGTTTAATCAGTTTAAGTCAGAGTTCAAATCATTTTCATGTAATAAGAGTTACTCAAAGAGAGGTTTTTATAGTAAAACATGGACTTGAGTTGAAGAGGCATAAATAGAAATATTCTTTCTTCTCAGATTATGACGGCAGGATTATATATGTGTGAATCAGATCAGGTTCAACAACAACTACGTCAGCTAATGTTGGTTCAAGACTATTTCAATCAGACAAGAGGATTTGTTTTTGTTTCAGAGGGATGTCACAGTTTTTATTAAAGATGAAACATCAAACTGAACTTTTCAGGAAAATCAACACTCGGACTTCAAGGTGGTGTAGTCAGGATCTGATGAAGTTCCAGTTTTTAGGAGAAATCTTGAATGTAAACTCTACCCCCCCCCCAACCAGTTTTCCCCTCAGCTCCTCCTCTCCCCTCCCTCTCTGCTCCAGCAAGCCCCGCCCACAAACAGGCGCTCCTGCTTGCTAGTATCGTTCCAATTAAATTCAGATATAATGCAAATAAATACTTCAGATAATTACAAATGGGGCCCAGTCAATGTGAAAGTAAAAGCATTGGTGCTACTGTAGATGCCAACAGACTACCAGCAAACACAATGTTTGCAGGACTTCTACAACTAGGATAAAGTGACATAGTCCAGGACCTGAGGTCAACAGTTTAGCGGCGCTACAACATGCTACAGCAGGTCCCGTTTGACAAGAAACACTTCTGTTACAGACACTTGGCTTACTTTGTTAAAGTGGTTTACCTGTCCAACAGAAAGGTTACAGGGTCACCAAGATCCCGAAGCGTCCCCCATCGTTTATGTTTACCTGTCTTTTTAGCTCTTGTCCGGTCTACCTCCTTATTAAGCGCCCGTTATTCCGCCAGAGTCTCCGGTATTTTCGTTTTCTTGCTTGTGTTGGCTGTCATGGCCAAAGGAGGATTCAGACAATTCTCCGAACTTTCTGGTTGGTTCCTACTGTCTGATATTGTAGCACGCTAACTTTGTTGGGGCTCGTGAACGACACGGGGGAGCAGCGTCTGCCTCACAACCAATCAGGTTTAGGAGGTGGAGAACGGCTTTGTTTACAGTCAGAAAGAGCAGGCCGCTCAAAAATGTTAAAATGTTGACTACACAGACATAAAAGAACACAGAGATATCGTTATGCTACCAAATCTCACCAATAACTAATAACTATTGATTGATATTAAAAGATTTTTGTATAAAAACACAAAATAAAAAGATGCTTCTTTAACGGATTCCCGCCTACCCCACCTTTAATTGAGCATGATAAGAACTTACTACAATGACAGAAACCATTTTTGAGAAACATTTGACATTTGTTTGGATTTTAGAGTTTGAACCATGTTACATCTGTTTACATGGAGGAGGCGGGCTTTATAACCTGAACTAGGAGACTTTGGCTTCACTTTTATGAAGCTGCTCGTCTTTTCACATAGTTTCTATAATAAACAGGTCTATTTGTACCTTATGCATGAACTAGCTTAACGTTTTAACATGCTAACCTTAGGTACGTAGCAGCAAACACAGAATTAACGTGTCATTAATTTAGCAGATAATTCAAAATGTTACCATTATGTGTTGAAGGGTTAAATGGTGTGTGTGTTTTACTTTCCAGTTAAAGCCTCGCAGAGCAGAAAGTGAGAGCGGCTCCCCCGGAGGATCCACGCTGCAACTGCAGGCCGTACGCAAAATCAGCACCAGCCAGCAGCACTTCCACAGACCAGGTGACCCTCCAGTATTCACCCGAGGACCCGAACCCTGACTTTAACTTCTAATCGAGTCCCAACAACAAACTTGTATTACATACAACATGGGGACCCTAATTTAGGGTCTCCATAATGTTCATAAACATGCATGTGTGTGTTTCCCTACATTTGAAAATGCACAGGCCTGTGTTTTTTTTTTTCATGAACTAATTTGAGGTTACGAGAACGGCCACTGCTGCAAATAAAAAAGAATTAAAAAAAAAAGATGCCACGTCGGAAGTCGTCGTCATCGTCGTTTTCTTCCACTTCAGGAGGGAGCTCCATCCTACCCTCACTCCTGAACAAGACCCCGAGATACTTGAACTCCTCCACTTAAGGCAGGACCGCCCCTCCAAACTGGAGAAGGAAATCAACCTTTTTCTGACTGAGGACCATGGCCTTGGACTTGGAGGTGCTGATTTGCATCTCAGCCGCTTCATGCTAGTCTGCGAACCACCCCAGCAAGAGGTGAAGGTCACTGCTCGACAAAGCGAGGAGAACCACATCATCCGCAAATAGCAGCAATGCGATCCTCTGCCTGCCTAACTGGACACCCTCCACCCCCTGGCTGCGCTTAGAAATTCTGTCCATAAAGGTTTTGAACAGAACCGGTGACAAAGGGCAGCCCTGGGAGAGTCCAACCCCTACTGGAAACGAGTCCAACTTACAACCGGCTACACAGACCAAGCTCGTGCTCCTTTGGTAAAGGGATTGGACGGCCCTTAACAAGGAACCCTCCACCTCATACTCCCGGAGCACCTCCCACAGGATTCCCCTAGGGACCCGGTCGTAGGCCTTCTTCAAGTCCACAAAACACATCTGGACTGGTTGGGCAAACTCCCATCTCCCCTCAAGAACCCGAGTGAGGGTGAAGAGCTGGTCCGTCGTTCCACGACCGGGACGAAAACCCCACAATGGAAGTTACTGATTCAAATAAAAAAAGAAACTGTGCAGATAAAAAACAAAAAGCCACAATGAAAGTTGTAAGAAAAAAAAGTTACTGCAAAAACAAAAGGATGCAAAAAACAAAAAAACAAAACAGAAGTGAGCTTTTGCGGACCAATAATGATGATGCACCAGTGGTTTATGATTTAGGCACAAAAGACGAGTATTGAACTGAAAAATGCCAATGTCGTGTTAGCTTTGGCTAACACGGGAAACTCACTGTGCTCCGAAAGACCACCCACGAGAGGAGAATCAAGTTCGGTAGCTTTACGGTTCGGTTACTGTACTCAAAGAAATAAGTATGCAAACCCCATGCTTTTTTTCATTATTGGTTCCCGGCAGCTTACTTCCGTTGTGGCTTTTTGTAAAAATCAACATCCTTTTCTTTTTATTTGCAGTGGGCTTCGGTTTCTTTTTTTTGCATCAGTATCTTCCGTTGTGGCCTCCTTTTTTTTTGCATTCTTTTTTTTTGCAGCGGTGGCCGTTCTCAGCCACCGTAATCAAACCGTCTTTATGAAACAACAGAAACACTGAGATCTTTGTGAAGTCGTGTCCTAGATCTTCAACTCTGACCTCTGAACCTTCATTTTCACAGATAACGGCTCAAACATCTACAGGAAACCGCCAATCTACAAACAAGGTGACTTCCTGTTCATCTCCCTCACTCTCAGAGTTCGTTAACACTTTCACTCTGAATCAAATACATGTGTTTATGTCTATGCAGAGGCCAATAAACCAGCTGAGATCAGAGAAGTCATCCACTCAGCCAAGTTTCCTGCAGCTCAGCCTCCAGACCCGAACCAACCCTCCAAGATAGAGACTGAGTACTGGCCCTGCCCCCCCTCACTGGCCTCCATGGGTAACTAACACACGCACGCACGCACGCACACACACACACACACACACACACACACACACACCAGCAGCTTAAATTGAGGACGTTATCAAATCTGTTCTGTCTGAATTAGATTGAATACTCGCTCAGAAAAAACTCTACAGGTGGTTCAGTCCAGAACCAGGACTTCAACCGGACCTGCAGCTAACTTGGGTCCACAAAGGCTTGATACTGGGTTTTACAGAGGGCGATGTTAAAGTGGACCTGGTTCAAATCAGACCAGCAGAGGACCAGAAAGTCCAGATCAAACCGCAGAGCCTGTTAATCAAGTCCAATCAGCACACGGCTCTGTGGGAAACCTCTGAGTGTTCTGGTATTACTGGACTGGATCAGACAGCTGAGGGGGGGTTGTGTTTTACCCCCAATTTTCACCACATCCAGAACGGCTCTGATCCGAAATGGCGGCGATTTTCACCGTCTGCCAATTCCTACCGGATCCGTTTGTGAGGCGAATTTTGTGGAGGATTACAGACAGTAGGAATCTCGAGAACTCACAAGAACCCACGGATTCACGTTCAATCGCGCGATAACGAGTTATCTCTATAAAGACAGACACATAGACATATAAGCAGTAGATTGTGTCCTTCCAGACGAGGAAATCTACTTCTAGACTTCTAGAATCAGCATCTCCTCATCCATGGTGTCATCGGGGTGAAATACCTTTCACTTGTTCGTCTCCGACTGTTTGCATGGTGTGAAATACAATCCTCCTGAAACACAGAGTGTTTTATTTTGAAAAGAAGCCGTATGTTTTATTTTGTGTCTGTGCCCAACTTCCTTTCCAGCACGGGTTAATCTGTGCTGAATTTATCCAACATGCTCCGGCATCTGGAAAAAATAGAACTCTTGCGATCAGCTGTGGAGTCCGGCAATCCGCAAAGGAACAGAAAGAAGCCGGTGGAAATTGACACGTTAACTTGAATGGTTACAATCAGCTACGATCGGAAAATACTACCTTTTTCGTAGATGTTCAGGATGCAATGGAAATTGCCGGTAAGACTGTGATTGGACGTGTCAGAACAAATCTGAGACTCGGTGCTGAGAAAGCTCCAGAATCAGAGACACAGACTTAAAAAAAAACAGTTCTTCAATTAAATTAAAGCCATGTACCGGGGTTAAAGGGTTAACATGATCGGAAACAAAACAGATTTTTATGGTTTTCAGATGATTTCACACCAACTATGTCCAACAGGTTAGTCACATGACTCTGGAGTGGGAATCTCCGCATGGAAAGGAGAACTGGACTTAAGCGAAACGTCTCAACTAAGTCCAGTTGTCCTTTCAACGTAGAATTAGAAATCATTCAGTACGTTTCCATGACAATCGAGAAAACTGAATTATTGCCTTATTCCGATCAAGACCGGACAACTGAAGTTCATGTAAACACCTTAGTCCGATTAAAATTGGAGTTTGAGAAAGAAGCCGGTGGAAATTGACACGTTAACTTGAATGGTTACGATCAGCTACGATCGGAGGATACAACCTTTTTGTAGACGTTCAAGATGAGGTGGAAATTGGGGGTCAGTGTTCTGGTTCTAAATAAAGTCTGAACCCACAGAGATCGAGTGGAGGAAGAAGAAACTGAAGGAAGAAGACGAGTTTGAAGATCTGACAGAGGAGGCCAAGACGCTGCAGGAGCAGGAGCTGGAGAAGGTTCAACACATGAACACACACATGCACGCACGCACGCACACACACACACACACACACACACACACACACTGGTTTCACTGGTTTTTCTCCTGGTTCTGAGTCCAGATCAAGTCCAATCTGGGTCGTCTGATCCTGAAGGAGGAGAAGGAGAAAGCGGTTCAGTTCCGGAGGAAGACCCAGTCCCTGCCCGACAGAACCCACATGCACACCAGTAAGTCCAGATCCGGTTCTCTTCAGGGTTTAGGTCCAGGTTCAGGATGACCCGGATCTCAACAGCGCCCCCTTCTGTTCCCTGGTTTGTCTGCAGGTTTGTCTGCGAGTGCGTCCAAGTCTCCTTCACACTCAGGATCGGGACTGACCCGGGTAAGTGACGCTGTAGACCTGAACCAGCAGAGTCCATGTGGAGTTTGTCCTGTAGGGGGCGCCAAAGGATCAGAATGCTCATGTCAGCAGAGTCTGAACTTGGGTTTTCAGTCACTCTGAGTTACAGCTGATGTTAGAATCCAGGAGCTCACGAAGGGCAGTTACGCAGTTTTTTCTAGGTCTGTATATTTATTTGTATCTATTTATTTAGCACAGGTTAAAAACAGTGCGGACTGAGGCTGATAGGCTGATACAGAGTTCCACTCCCATCAGGGCAGTGAAGGTGTAGGGTGGAAACAACAAAGTAATTAGGACATAGACAGGTTATAAATATACAATGATTAGGGAAAGGTCAGAACATATACAAACTGTCATAAATAGAACACAGACTAATCATCAACCAGAGATAGAGACAATTTAAGTATTTATAGAAAGGAAAGAAACATGAACACAACAGAGAATGACGTGTTTAAGACATGATTAGATGAGATTTCAATGATATTTTAAAGGATTTGAAGGATACTATTGATTTTAGAGATCCATCCAGATTATTCCACAGTTTCGGAACTCTAAAAGTGATGTTAGACTGATGAGAAGAAGTTCAACAGAAAGGTAACTGAAGATGGGCATTTTGTCTTGTTGAGTACGGGTGAAGGTTGGATGAAAAGGTAAAAAAGTTTCTGAAGGAGTCAGGAAGGTCTTGTTTGTTATTGATGAACTTGTGGACAAACATAAAAGAGTGAAAGACATTGAGTTTGTCGATGGGTAAGACGGAGTATTTAGAAAAGAGAGGTGCAGAAGGTTCATGTCTGCTGGATCGAGATATCATTCTTAACCCTCACATACTGTTCAAATCCTGTACCCTCACAGTATGTTCCGGGTCAAAATTGCCCCTTCAAAGAGTTCAAAGAGCAGCTTTCTGTCACAGAAAGTTCTCTTGACTAGTTAGGTCATTTTGACCTCTAAGTGTGTTTGTGTGACTGTATGTCTGTGTGCATGCATGCGTGTGTGTGTGTTTCTGTCAAGGTAATGATAGTTTCATAATGATTTGAATATATCTTTTTGAACAACAAACCTTATATTGAACACTGTTGTTACTGTTTGACACTTGTCCCACACTGCTAGATCTAAAATCCATCTAAATATAGATACGGGTCAAATTTGACCCGTAACTGCCTTAGAGGGGAAAAATTTGTAGCACATAAACAAAAATACACATGAATATTTTTTAATTAATTTCATGTATTTTGGGCAACTTCAGGAAAAGTCATCAAGTTTCAGGCTTAAAGAATGACGTTTAGGGTATTTTTACTGCTGTTAAAAGTCAAAACGGGTCAAATTTGACCCAAACAATATGTGAGGGTTAAGAATCTTTTCTGGATAAATAATATTTTCTTGAGGTGAGTTGGATACGTCGCACACCATCCAATATTACAATAGTTCATATAAGAAAATAGAAAGCTATAATACAAAGACAAGTGAGCAGAGGGATTGATCAGGGGACAGACCTTATTGATTATACTGAGGCTCTTCATTGACCTTTTGTTCCACTGAGACGCACATCAAGGACAACACCCAAAAAAGTGGTGTGGGGTACTTGAGAGATTTCAGTACCATTAACTGATATTTTGGATAAGATTGGTTTTTGTTGCCGAAGATCATGAAGTTCCATTTGTTTATATTAAGAGTTAATTTATTAGTCAGAAACCAGGTAGCAACAGAAGATAATTCATCATTCCACACGAGTGATGAGAGTCTCAAAGTCTGCATGAATATCTATGAAACAGGTGACATCAGGAAATGACGAGGGGAGAAGCTTATTACAGGGCAGAGGCAAGACCTGGTCTGCTGTGGGTTCAGAGCAGACTCTGAACTCCTCTCTGAGGGTCTAGACCTCTAAAGGTGGTTTCTGTTGTTTTTTCAGATGCAGTCTGCAGAGTTCTCCACAGACCGGGACAAAGGACAGCCAGGTAAGACTTCGACTGTTCTAATCCTGACCTGAGAGACCTCAGGTTAGACCAGAGACAGGAGGAACATGTGACAAAAACCACCAACTTTAGATGTTAGGGTTAGACTTTAGAGTCCTGAAGGTCCGGACCTGCAGAACTCTGCCCGTCTGACCCCCCCCCCCCTTTTTGTGTCTTTACAGGTTCTCACGTAAGTCCACTTCAGACCTGAATCTCAGACCGGATCATCTGAAGAGTCTCTGAAGACCTGATTGAGCTTCTCTGTCAGAACCTTCACGGTCCTGAGAACCTGAAGTGGACTCTTGTTTGTGGTTTTTCTGCAGAATGGAGAGTCCAGAAGGGACCGGATGGACCGAGGAAACTCTCTGCCCAGTATCCTGGAGCAGAAGGTCAGGTTCTGCAGGTTCTGAAGGTCCATCAGTACCAACGCAGTTCACACAATTTACACACATATTAAACACACTCTTGGTTTCCAGTTCAACCATAGACTGACTGATCAAGAATGGACGCCATCTGCCTCCTCTCTGGGTGGAGTCACTCTGAGAACAGCGCCCTCTGGTGACGGGCTGCAGTATAAGTCATAAATCCTGCCTCCGCCAGCAGAGCTTATTATTAGGGTTATTAGGGTGTTTGTGTTTTCTATGATTGACACTTGATACAGCCTATGGGCGTACCAAGATTGCATAACTCATCCGGGGGATACGCTGTTTGAGCCAAGCGTCATCACAGCGACTCTCCCACTGAATGCGTACAAAGCTGCTGCGCAATGTTTGTTTCAGGAAATGGAGAAAACCCTGAAAATACAAAGAGCTTTTCGGCATCAGATTCGTACAATGACAGGAGGTGGAGCCAAGTTGTCCAAAGTATATACAGTCTATGTTTTTAAACAGACGCTCATTCTCCTCTGCTTTCAGATTTATCCCTATCAAGCTCTGATTGTGACCCACAGAGGGCGCTGTAAGCTGCCGCCAGGAGTGGACCGCACTCGCCTTGAGGTCTGTGTGTGTGTGTGTGTTTATCTCCTTAAATAAAGGAGGAGTCATCTGACCTGTAATGAGGTCTGATGAAAACAGTAAGTCCTTCTGCCTTGAGTCCGATTTTGATGCCACCTTTGGTCCTGATTGGACCCTGAAGAGGTCATTTAGGACAGTGGTTCTCAACTGGTGGGTCCTGGCCAAAAGTGGGTCATGAACAGCTGGTCAAAAAAGTAAATATTTAATGCCCATCTGATGTTTGACATGTCTTTTATTTTGAAAAATAGCTTAGTTTGGCGTGATTTGATAATTTCTGTATTTGTAACTTCAGTAGTTGTCGTCCTCGGGTCATGTGCTCTGAAATGCACTTAACTTAATAAAACAGATGGATTTATGTTAAAGATTTGAGTCTATAAAGGTTTTTTTTTCATATAAAAAACAAATTTTCTTGGTTTGAATTTTATTAAAGTGGGTCGGGTCCGAAGGATAATGGGAAAATGTGGGTCCCAGAGTGAGACCAGTTCAGAACCACTGGTTCACGAGGAATGCAGGTCTAAACCTTCTTCTTCTTCTGTCCTCATAGAAACACCTCTCTCCCGAACAGTTCCAGGAGGTGTTCGGGATGCCGATCGCTGAGTTTGACCGCCTCTCCCTGTGGAAACGAAATGACCTGAAGAAGAAAGCTTCGCTTTTCTAACAGGAAGTGACCTCATGCCTCTGAAATACTTGAAGGAAGGATGAGGAGTAAACATCGACCAATAAGCCGAGTGATACGTCACCTTAGTCCACGCAAACACGCCCACCATCTTACTAACTAATCAAGCCCCTGGATGTGTGCTGGCCCCGCCCCCCTGAGGATCAGAGTTAACTGAAGGCTGGCCCTGATTAACCCTTTACTCTGACTAACTCCGCCCACTTGACGCACTGACACTCAGATTACCTGTGCTGCACTTATAATAATCACCACTGCTAGCAGATCATCTACGTGTCCTTCATCATCATCGTCATCATCATCGTCATCTTCATCGTTTAGTTTCACTGAGCTCCAGAGGTCTGATTGGATGGTCCGGTTCGTACGTCAGCAGCTATCTCCTGGTTTCACTGAGCTGGTTAGCTAGCTGTGCTCACTAACTTCCTGTCCTTCACGTGTTTATGTTCAAATGTAAGCCGCTCTGTTATTTGCCAAATCATGCTAGCTTTATAAAGGAACATATTTGTTTTGTTGACGCATTTAAGAGTCTGCAGGAGTTACAAGTATTTCATTGAGACTGAACAATAAAAGCGTACCCTGAACCTTTTAGCTAGCTCCGCGTTTTAGCTAGCTTCGCGTCTGACGAGTCTCAGTTTCACAGTAAACCGTCGGTCACTCAGAGTTTTTACTCTGGCAAGTTTGGCAGTTTGAAGATAGAAAGGAAACTGATTTTAAAATCATCATTTGTTTATTTCATTTACTACTGAAAACCAAAAAAATCAAAATGTCCTTAAAATTTAACAAATATATTTATTTATCTCATTTGATACATTAGATGTTTTTGGAAAATGATAAACTACAAGAGGACATTTTGATCATTTATTGGACTGTATTCAGGTGTTTTTTTTTAAATTAGTTATTCATATTGGTTTGAGAGAAGAATATAAAAGTATGTATCAAAAATGATACAAAAGGCATTAAAGGGTTAAGTTTTCTGATTTAACATCCTGATGCAGATTTTCAGTGAGTCTCAGTATTACTGTAAAAGTGTTTCACAGAGAGTTCACTTGAACTAAAGAAGTAAATACCTGCCAAACAGATTTTCTCGACATTGACAAGTCTGAAGTTCGCTGAAATAACATCCTATTGAAGATTTAAATAGAGTCTCAGTTTTATTGTAAAATATAAAGTTATTAAGACACTCTGACTCACTACAGCTACACAGACCTGAAAACTCAATTCTTGAATTGCTGAAACATCGTCTCCATGTGGATTTCTTGTCAGTCTCAGTTTTACTGTAAATAGTGAGTCACACTGAGGCTTCACTCCGACTCTATGAACCTAAAAAAAAGGACAAAGACATTTACTTGTGATTTTCCAGCAATAAAACAGTCTTAAGTTTGTAGAAAAAACAAGAACACAGAATTTCAGTGAGGCTCAGTTTGACTGTGAACTGTCGGTCACACTCAGCCTGAACAACTACAGATCTCTGGTGAGTTTAAAGGTGTATAAACCTGAAACTGAAGTTCTGATGATTTTCTCCTCATTAACGGATCTTCAGTTTTCTAAAATAACAGCATCAGGTCCAGATCAGTCCAGAGTCAAGGTTCATCGGGTCTGTCCTTAAAAAAAAGAAAAAACTTTTTCTAAAATGTTCAGATTCAGATTTCTTTTAAATCTAAACCCCTCTTTGTCAGACTTTGTGAAATATGGTAGAGCTTCCCACCACCGTGCGGCGCCAATGAGCCAGTGACTGACCTGTACTGCAGTGAGGGTACTCTGGGTTTACTCACTGGACCTGCTCTGACGGGGTACAGTAGATCTGAAGTCTTCTGTGACGGCCCTCCATGGACAGGGTTTTCTCCTAGACTTCTGTAAAGTCAGACAGACAGGAGTCGCCCCCTGGTGGACATTAGGAAGGCTACAGGTCAGAGACTGTGGTGTCGCTCACAGAGCTTTAAATAATCGAACGTTCAGCTCGAATTTCTCGATTCTTTGTCCTCAGACTCGTTAGTCTTACTGTAAACCAGCTTCTTGATACCAGTGCTTATCAGATCACCAAACATAAACCGACTTCCTGCCTCAGTCCTCTGGTGTCTCTGCTTTAACTTGAACGACAGCAGATCAATGTCACGTATTGAACATGTATTGATTGTAAGATCTATTTATTAAGTGAAGCTTTTATTTATTTCAGGATTGTGATTTTTACGCCACTGTTTTTGTGACTGTGAGCTCATGTTTGAAAGACTTTATTATTATTATTATTATTATTGATGTACAGTCGTAATTTTAACGATTTCCTCCTTCAATATTCCCACAGACCTCGTTAAAGGAGCCGTCCGTACTATTGAACATGTTAGAGTCTTTGTCTCTGCCGTCGTCTTTATGCTTTTATTTTTGTGACACCTTCATAACATCCGGTCCTCGTTGTTTCTGTTCAAAGACGAAAAGAAGTGAAATAAAAAACAAGAGAAAAAGACGTCCCGTCTGTTTTCATTTGTTACAGATTTTCATCATCAAAAACAGAAGAAAAGATTTTAGAGGTGAACTAAAAATAAAAACTCTGTGACGTGTAAATATTTCAAAATAAAATCTAACGTATGATCGAAATATTCAGAAAATAAAAACTTAATTTTTGAAGCTCCTCTAAATCACCACAAAAACTTTTTTGGAGAGCGGTTCCAAACCTGGTGGTCGGGGTCTCATAAGAGTCACCACATGAAGGTAAAAACTTATTTCTGGGACATATTTTCAGTCAGAATTGAAACTCATTTTGTTTTCCTGTAATTTTGGTTTTATTGTCATTGAGTGAAACTTTGACGTCTCGACCTCCTCAGTTTCATGTAGGATATAAAAACTCTGACTGATGTCATCGTGGACGTTTGTTTTTTGTTTTTTGTTTTTTTTTTGGGGGGGGGGCTTTTTCCTTTGTCCGTGAGCATTTTTTTAAAATTATTTCTACTTTTTAAAAATGACTCTGGATCTCCTGCAGCTTCTTCGTCTCGCCTCCTGTTACCCAAATATTACTCTGCACTGATTTTTCCATGTTCAGTTTTGATCGGTGTGTTTTTTATTTCACGTATTTCTGCTGCATTTGTTTAAAGGAGTTTGTTTTAAAATGAGGTTATGAGAATCCAAACTTGTTTCTGGATCCACTGTTCGACCCTCCTCGTATCTGTGCTTTTTACCTCTGTGGTTTACTCTGAATCTCGGGGTTTTTAATCACCTGCTGTCACCTTTGTTACTCACTTTCACACCCCTGCGCAGCTTTCACCTCTGGTCGTGACAGATTGTAATAAACTGTGTTGGTTTTTCTCAAACGCCCCCGCCGCTGATTTTCTCTCATCATCCACCTTTTTTCTGCCTCGCTGCAGCAAACTAGAGCCGTGACTCGTCCACCTCAGGTAATGATGTGGAGGGTTTGTGTTGCTAAGGAACATACGGGCCTACACACTGAAGAGTGATGTTTCAATGCCACTCGTCTCCTCGCACAAAGCATCACCTCCCACACCGGCCTTTTGATTGGCAGCCATCGACGCAGAAACGGCGTCATTGAGCAGCAGCAGCATTCAACAGACACACTCGCAGCTTCACCTTTTTTTTTTATTTGAATGGAGTGAAACATCTACAGAAATGAGAGGCCTCGCAATACATGGACTCGACAAAAAAATGTCTCTTTTCTCAAATTTCGCTGTAAAGAAACAGAAATCTGGATTGATTTGATTTTTTTTCTCTGTACATTCGGTGAGATATGTTCTGAGACCCAAACACAAGTCAGAAATGAGGCCTCACTGCTGACTCACTTCACCCACCCGCACCCCCCAAAAAAAAGAGCAAAAACAGTGAAATCAAACCCACCTAGCCTCCACTCATCAGCTATCACACACCTGATCACACCTTAGAGCTGGCTGAATGAACTCTCTGGTTTTAAGTTTGACCCTCACTTCCCTCACCGACGGACACGTCAGACTCAGAGAGATTTGTCTGAGGAGTCTGAACCCTAAAGAGAACCTGCTGGGTTAGAAACAGGGACAAAAAAAAAAACACCGGGGTTAACCTGCAGGTTCGAGTTCAGGACTGATCAGCTGGAGGTTTTCAACTTTTCAAGATTTAAGAGAACTAAAGAGGACGTTTCATCAGATTTACGGCTGAGTTTCAATTTCAGGAACAGAGAAACAAACCAACAACCGATCTCAGACCTCAGGATAACTGCAGGGTCTCAATTTCACTGTATCTGTCTCTGTCAGGTCTCAGATTCACTGTGTCTGTCTCTGTCAGGTCTCAGATTCACTGTGTCTGTCTCTGTCAGGTCTCAGATTCACTGTATCCGTCCAGTGAGTCACTGAAGTCACACACCATCTGAAATTTGTCTCTGTTTTGAAGCCAAATAATTTTTTTTTTTTTTTTTTTTTAAATGACAGTTCATGGGCTGAGAGGACGCTGAAATAATGACATCATGATGCTGATTTGTAAAAAGTCTGAATTCAGGATTTTTCAGGTCTGTCTGCTGGAAGAGAAGGAGTCTACCTTAAATTACATGATTTTTGGCTTGAGTTTGGTTTGACTGTTTTGGCAGCAACATTAAAATATTTAGGTTGTGAAATGATGCTTCATTATTTGTTGTATTCATTGTTTGTAATAGCAGTGGAAGAAACAGAGTCAATGTTAGACATTAAATCAGTTCATCAGCTGAGTCTCAGTTTCAGTGTCAGTCACACTGAAGTTGTCTAAAATCAGCCCCGACTTCATCACTATAAGGAAACAGAACAGACTCTCTGGTTAAACAGGCTGAGGATGAATTCAGGATTTGTCAGGTCTGTGAACAACTTTAAAATGACTGTTTTCTGAGTGGAGTTTGGTTCTGTCCACCAACATTGAAAGTCCTGTTTTTCACTGTCTTTGTTACAACGCTACACAAAAGTGTGTCTGATCTGCTGCAGTCCTGAGAGTCCTGATTAAAGGGCATTTCATTGTTTTTCACCTGAAGTCACCTGCTTTAACACGTCACTCAAACCGGACACTAGTCAGTCAAAGTCTTTTCTGCTGGACTGGAGGACTTGGAGTGAAACAATGCAGCGATCTGAGCTGAACATGATGTCTCTTTTTATTCCTGGTGCTCTAAAAATAAAGTTGCAGCTGTCTGGAAGGAGTCGGAGAAGAAGCCGAGTCCCTCTGATGAGATTGTTTGAAACGATCATAGAGGGAGTTTGTTTTAGTTCAGCCTGTTTGATTCCTCCTGATCGGCGTGTTTAATAATCCTGTTTCTGTTTAATCTTTACAAACGTTTTGTCGCCTTTTTTCCTTTGATTATTTCTTCATTTTGGACTTTTTAATGGTAGATTTTAGTGACTTCAAACAATAAAAGTCTGAGATTGTTTCTGAGCTGGAAATATTTGGATGTTTATGTGAATCTTTGAGGCTCCATCTAGATGCATGATGGGAAATGTAGGATCTCCTGTTGTTTGACTGTAAGTGCTGATTTAAGTGACAGATATTGGACCTGTTTGGGACCCGGTCAGGTTTCAGCTAAGAGAAGGAGTCTCCCTTAAATTATATGTTTTTCGGCTGGAGTTTGGTTTGACTGTTTTGGCAGCAACATTTAAATATTTCCATTGTGAAATGATGCTTCATTATTTGTTGTATTCATTGTCTGGAGTAACAGTGAAAGAAACAGTCAACGTTGGACATTAAATCAGTTCTGATTCTGTAAGTGCTGATTTAAGTGACAGATATTGGCCCGGTCAGGTTCCAGCTGAAGACTCCGCTCTCTCTGGAGTTGAACGCCGTCAGTATCGAGGGAAATTTGAGCAAACCTGTTTGACATTCAAGTCTGAACTCACGCTGCAGGTACAATCTGCTTCTGGGGTTTTCTGCAGTGTGAGTTCAGATTTTCACTCTCTGTACTCAAAATCTGAGTTTAATAAAGCAAAAATAACCTTTGACACCCCCCCCCCCCCATTTTGGATCATTAAGCCTAAATCTATGTGTTGTAAAAAAAAACAAAAAAAAAACATCACATTGAAAAGAGGGAACAGTTAAAATATACATATATATAATATAAATGTCAATACTCGCTCCGGGGAGCTCAGTCACACTATCATTGGCATAAGAAAGGATGGATCTAACTCTGTGTGTGTGTGTGTGTGTGTCTGTGTGTGTCTGTGTGGGCACGAACAAAGCGTTTGAATGAGCGTCACTTCCTCCCTCGAGACGCTGGACAGAAAGGTGTTGCCTCCTGGTGGTCAGAGAAGTCCAGGTCGCGTGTGCGATTGAGATTTTCTCCTGTTCAGTCTTAAAGGATGATATTTTTAATCGATGATAAAATAAATTAAGCGTGGTGAGAGTCGCTTGGACTGAACAGGTCTCTTCTCCTGCTCATAAAGGAGACAAGAGGGTAAGGGAAGGAAGCAAGGAAGGAAGCAAGGAAGAGAGGAGAGGAAGAGGGGAGGAGAAAGAGGGGGAGGCGGGGGAGGTTTAGGCCTGTGTGTTGGTGCCGTTCTTGTCGGGGGGTCCGGTGCTGGCGGGCAGGTTGTTGAGGGAGGGTGTGGCCTCTTGCTGCTTGCTGTCCCGGCGTGGAGGCATCCTCTCGTTGATGCGGTCCAGACCTCGGGCCTCCTCGAAGCTCTGGATCTTGTGCTGAGGGTTGAAGCCTTGGATGGCTGCGAGGGAGAGGAGGCAGCGTGTGAGAGGAGACGTGGCATGGGCGAAAACCACAAACAGAAACAGGAAGTAGATCGACTTCTCTATCCAGCCTAGATCTACACGTGAATATAAGACTTCTGAGCTCATAGATATAGGAGGATTTTAGGTCATAAATCGGTTTAAGAGACCGGCAGTGAGAGAAACTTACTTCAAACAGGACAAGGACGGCGTGAAGACAAAGAAACAGACTTTCATTAAAGGGACATTTTACCGTTTTTGACAAAAACATCAATTAAGTGACTTTTCTGATCAAAAGCAGCAAAATGAGAAACAGCTGATTATTCTAATGATTATGTAAAAGTTTAAACAACAACAACAACAACCAGGTGAAACACATAAAGTACAAAACCACCAGTCTGGTCCTGTTTGGACTTTAAAGGGGGTGTAGTCAGGATCTGAGGAAGTTGCAGTTTTTAGGAAAAATCTCCCAACCCCCTCCCAACCAGTTTTCCCCTAAGCTCCTCCTCTCCCCTCCCTCTCTGCTCCAGCAAGCCCCGCCCACAAACAGACGCTCCTACCAGCTCGTATCGTTCCAATTAAATTCAGATATAATGCAGATAAATACTTCAGAGAATTACAAATGGGGCCCAGTCAATGTGAAAGTAAAAAGCATTGGTGCTACTGGAGATGCCAACAGGCTACCAGCAAACACAATGTTTGCAGGACTTCTACAACAAGGATAAAGTGACATAGTCCAGGACCTGAGGTCAACAGTTTAGCGGCGCTACAACACGCTACAGCAGGTCCCGCTTGACAAGAAACACTTCTGTTACAGACACTTGGCTTACTTTGTTAAAGCGGTTTACCTGTCCAGCAGAAAGGTTACAGGGTCACCAATGTCCCGAAGTGTCCCCCATTGTTTTATGTTGACCCGTCTTTTTAGCTCTTGTCCAGTCTACCTCCTTTTTAAGCACCAGAGTCTCTGATATTTACTTCATTTTCTTGCTTGTGTTGGCAGTCATGACCAAAGGAGGATTCAGACAATTTCCCGAACTTTCTGGTTGGTTTCTACTGTCCAACATTGTAGCAGGCTAACTTTGTTTGTGCTCGTGAACTATACGGGGGAGCAGCATCTACCTCACAACCAGTCAGAATGGGGGAGGTGGAGAACGGCTTTGTTTATACAGACATAAGAGAACACAGAGATATCATTATATTACCAAATGCCATCAATAACTAATAACTATTGACTGTTATTAAAAGATTTTTTGTAAATACACCACAAAAAAGCTGCTTCTTTAACGGATTCCTGCCTACTCCACCTTTAAGACAGTCCCAGGACCAAATGAGACAGACTGAGGTTCAGCTGGTGGAGGAGATGAGGTCTCAGCACACAACAACACTGACATTTAAAGCTTCATTTGGAAGGAAAGTGGCTCTGTAACCGTGACAGCCTTCATCACAACATGTCAAAGTAATGACACACACACACACACACACACACACACACACACACACACACACACACACACACACACACACACACACACACACACACACACACACACACACACACACACACACACACACACACACGGAGAGAGAGATTAGAGAGAGATGGTTGCATACCTCGTGCCTCTTCTGCCTCTACGGTGGCTGTGTAAGCGTGAGTAGAAGTGCCATGCCCAAAACCAATGGAGAGAGAGTGGGAAGGACGTTATCAATGCATTCAGTCAGTAATGTTATTAACATGTCAATCTGTCAGTCCTGTTAACATGGAGTGTCAATTATCACACAGCCCCGCCCCCTCCCCTCCACACAGGTATAAAAGTGATCCTGCTCAAAACAAGAATGATCATCATCGGTGTCGGAAGAACTGAGTTTGCATCATGCTGCCATGAAAAGACCTGAACCTGCAGACGAGGTCATCTGTTTGGAGTTCCACAGGGATCAGTGCTGAGACCTTCAGGTTTTAACTTCTCTGCTGTTCAAGCCTAAACTAAAACTACGTTTGAACAGTTATCTTTTGTAGATGATAAAGCTGAGACAGAACTACAAAACCTGCAGACATTGGTTTTATTGTATCTGTCTGTACTGAGTCTCAGTTTTACTGTATCTGTGTTAAGTCTCAGGTTAACTGTATCTGTCTCTGCTGAGTCTCAAGTTTACTGTATCTGTGTTAAGTGTCAGTTTTACTGCATCTGTGTCAAGTGTCAGTTTTACTGTATCTGTGTTAAGTGTCAGTTGTACTGTATCTGTGTTGAGTCTCAGTATTACTGTATCTGTGTTAGGTGTCAGTTTTACTGTATCTGTGTTGAGTCTCAGTTTTACTGTATCTCTGTTAAGTGTCAGTTTAACTGTATCTGTGTTAAGTGTCAGTTTTACTGTATCTGTCTGTATAGAGTCTCAGTTTTACAGTATCTGTGTCTCAGGTCTCAGGTTTATGGTATCTATGTAAAGTCTCAGTTTTACTGTATCTGTGTTAAGTCTCGGTTGTCGTTTGGCAGTGAAAATTACAATAGGACTTCATTTCATCTAGACTAGCACTATTTATTTATTTATTTTCAGGTATTTATCTATTTATTTATTTTTCTTATCATGTAATTATTCATTTTTCTGTATGTATATATCATTATGATAATTTATGTTTTTTTATCATTATGATTATTATAACAAGTATCATTATTTTCATTGTAATTTTTATTATAATCATTTTATAATAATAATAATTATTATCATTATAAAATATTTTTTTAATAATTATTTATATTATTACTGTCATTATCATTACCACCATCATTACAATTATTATTATTTTTGTTATTATAATAATAATTATTATCATTATCATTACCATCATATCATTATAATTATTATAACTAATATTTCAATTATTACAATTTTAATTATTACTATTACTGTTGTTATTATGATGTCATTATTATGATGTTTACTATTGTAATAATAATAATAATAATAATAGTAATAATAATAATAATAATAATAATAATAATAATAATAATATTATTATTATTATTATCATTGTTATTATTTATTAATTTTTTTTTTAAATAAAAATAAAAATCATTATTATTATTTATATTATAATTAATTGCAGCAGGGCTCCTGAATATTGAGGAGGGTTTCCACATGAGTGGATTAACTGACGGTCGACCCTCCAAACAGCTGTGAACTTCCTGCTGAGTGAGAACACTCGATGATCTGTTGGTCGTGCAGTTGCTATCATCTCTCCTCTCTGCAGCTCGCTGTCTTTAAAGGGCAGCAGTTTGCTCTAAGAGAACGGTCCTTCAGAGGAGGAGAGGAAACCTCTTGACATTTGCGTCTGTGTGAGTGTGTGTGTGTGTGTGTGTGTGCGTGTGTGTCCCTGCAGTTAGTCTCAGTGTGAGTGCAGGCACAGGGAGTTAGTGTTAGCTGGACTCTGTGTTAGTGTCTGGATGCTCGGCTGCGTTCACACTCACCGCTTTGCAGAGTTCGCCGACCTCCGGACAGAACTCCCAGAGGCAGAGTTCCTGTTGGGGTCAGGCCCTTCAGCTGGAGCACGCTCTCGTTCTCCTCTCTATCAATGACACAAACACACAGATTTTTGATTCCCTGTCACAGCGAGCGCTGACCTCTGACACCACTGGATACTAAGCTGCTCTGTCAGGCTAATGGAAACAGAACAGTTCTTATCTGGAGTCCCACAGGGGTCAGCCTTCGAACCACCAGTTTTTTTTTTTAACTAACCTGTGCACTTACTCAGCAGCGGGAAAACCATGAACGATGAAAACAACAGCAATAACCTTCAGACTCCAGGTTAAGCCTCGGAGATCACCTGGACGCTCAGTACGTTTATTTACATCCAGCTTTAACTTTGTTTCCATGACGGCTTCCTATACGGTGCTTTAACTTTTATTCACTTAAATACGAGTCCAATCAGGTTATATGTGGTTAGGAAACACACACTCAGGGTCTGCAAAAGGGGTGGAAAATTTTCAGTAAATTTCCAGAATCTTTCCATGGGAATTATGGGAGTTATTTGGAATTTATGGGAATTAACAGGAAAATGGGGGTAATTTAAACAAACTGTATCATATCCAAACATAAATGTAAATATTTTTGTTCTGTCATAAGCAAACATTAATGGAAAATAATACAATTAAAAAACATGACACACATCAGATGGCAAATGTGACGTTTTTCTGTAGAATAAAATAACAAATAATCTTGTAAAAACACTAATGCAGTTGGGTAATAGTTGGCTAAACTACTGGAATGGTCTTCAAAATATTTGATAATTTATGTATAAATTATTGTTTGGTTACAGGAAACCGTCTGTCAGGAGTTCCTTAAATGGTCAATGAAATGAAAAATAGCTGACATTTAGCACCTATTTTTATTAAATTTTTACAAGTTAAATATTAATACTAGGGCCCGACCAATTTATCAGTGAGCTGATTAAATCAGCCAATTTTAGCCTGTTTGAGACTTATCAGCAATCAGCAAAAACTCGCTGATTTTCGCCGATATCTTCAAAAATAAAATGCAGAGAATAAGATTTGGTTTCACTTCAAAAAAGTAGTTGAAAATGCTTTTCTGGTCCGACTTTGATCAGTCGGTCCTTCTGTAGGCGTGAAGAGCAGTAGCCTACAGTATATATATATATATATATATATACACACACACACATATACACTCACCGGCCACTTTATTAGGTACACCATGCTAGTAACGGGTTGGACCCCCTTTTGCCTTCAGAACTGCCTCAATTCTTCGTGGCATAGATTCAACAAGGTGCTGGAAGCATTCCTCAGAGAGCTTGGTCCATATTGACATGATGGCATCACACAGTTGCCGCAGATTTGTCGGCTGCACATCCATGATGCGAATCTCCCGTTCCACCACATCCCAAAGATGCTCTATTGGATTGAGATCTGGTGACTGTAGAGGCCATTTGAGTACAGTGAACTCATTGTCATGTTCAAGAAACCAGTCTGAGATGATTCCAGCTTTATGACATGGCGCATTATCCTGCTGAAAGTAGCCATCAGAAGTTGGGTATATTGTGGTCATAAAGGGATGGACATGGTCAGCAACAATACTCAGGTAGGCTGTGGCGTTGCAACGATGCTCAATTGGTACCAAGGGGCCCAAAGAGTGCCAAGAAAATATTCCCCACACCATGACACCACCACCACCAGCCTGAACCGTTGATACAAGGCATGATGGATCCATGCTTTCATGTTGTTGACGCCAAATTCTGACCCTACCATCCGAATGTCGCAGCAGAAATCGAGACTCATCAGACCAGGCAACGTTTTTCCAATCTTCTATTGTCCAATTTCGATGAGCTTGTGCAAATTGTAGCCTCAGTTTCCTGTTCTTAGCTGAAAGGAGTGGCACCCGGCGTGGTCTTCTGCTGCTGTAGCCCATCTGCCTCAAAGTTCGACGTACTGTGCGTTCAGAGATGCTCTTCTGCCTACCTTGGTTGTAACGGGTGGTTATTTGAGTCACTGTTGCCTTTCTATCAGCTCGAACCAGTCTGGCCATTCTCCTCTGACCTCTGGCATCAACAAGGCATTTCCGCCCACAGAACTGCCGCTCACTGGATATTTTTTCATTTTCGGACCATTCTCTGTAAACCCTAGAGATGGTTGTGTGTGAAAATCCCAGTAGATCAGCAGTTTCTGAAATACTCAGACCAGCCCTTCTGGCACCAACAACCATGCCACGTTCAAAGTCACTCAAATCACCTTTCTTCCCCATACTGATGCTCGGTTTGAACTGCAGGAGATTGTCTTGACCGTGTCTACATGCCTAAATGCACTAAGTTGCCGCCATGTGATTGGCTGATTAGAAATTAAGTGTTAACGAGCAGTTGGACAGGTGTACCTAATAAAGTGGCCGGTGAGTGTATATATATATATATACATATATACTGTAGATATCTGTAGATAAGTGTTCTGTGTGATCATGTGATTGAGGAGTGAACTTACATTAAATCTGGTTGTTTTAGTCAAGATTATGCTACAAGATATTTCACCAACTTTATTTAAGTTCCTGTTGAGGAACAACCTTCAATTTGGTACATTTCTGATTTATTCCCATTAATTCCTGTGGAAAATTTCCAACTTCGAAATTCCCGGAACTTTGCAACCCTTATTTGTTGTTCATATAACCGTCTGAAAACGCTTACATGATTTGAACTCCCACATAAAGAGCCTTTAGTGAATTAATCCCTGTCGGAAGTCACTGTATTGATCGGTGTCTGGGTCAATAAACTGTATTAAAATCTTTTTAAATAACCAAACACATGAGTAGGACAGATGCCGCAGACACGGGATGTTTCTTCTTTATCACTACCAGACTGCGAAAGAGATGATCAATTATTGTTAACGATTACGTCTCATGACACAACGAGGTTTGGAAAACAGCTTGGGATGCTTTTGTGGGACGGAGAATAACTCTGAGACATTTTCTGAAGGAGAGCGTTGATTGTTTGAGGACAGATGATTGTGACACACTTCCAGCAGATTAAAAGAGGACACATGTAAATCAGGGAGGAAGTCGTTAGCCTTATCGGAAAGTAGAGCAAGGTTGGAAAAGTGGAGAACTGGAGCTCCACAGCAGACTGAAAAAACAGTCAGAGACACCGATTTAAAAGATTCACTTCTGCTTTCTCAAATATTCCATCTTTTCTCCCCGAGTAGAAAACAGGTGATTCTTCAGAAACGATCCAACAGGCTGCGTAAAAACACCAAGTAATCCACATCAAGAAGCTAAAAACTTTATAAAGGTGATTTTTCAGAGGAAATAAAAACCCACCGGAGCACAGAGAAGACTCGAGCCATCTTTCCGATGGCCCGGATCTTATTCCTGATCACCTCCTTCCTGACAGCAGGAGCTCCACCTGAGGAGAGAAGCCAAACAGTCAGGGTGAGAGACAGGAGGAGGAGGAGGCGTAGGAGCACACACACACACACACACACACACACACACACACACACACACACACACACACACACACACACACACACACACACACACACACACACACACGGCAGGAGAGGAATCACTCCGTGTTTGCAGAGCAGACCAACTCCACCTTCAGCAAAGTCTGATGTTTGCTTACAGTCGGGGATCTGCACCGTACGGAGATCTTTGGAGGTTTAATTTCTCTGTAACATTCAGAACCGGGTCATCTTAGATTAGGGGGTCTACATAAAGAATCTGGACCCTCAGATGAGCTTCGAACCCCTGACCTTTAAAGGGACTGAAAGAGGTTCAAGAGATGAGGAGAACCCTAAAAGAAGGTCTGAGGTTTGGAGAGACATGGTCAGGGTCTGAACCAGCACACAGGTCTTTCTTCTCACCCAGCCCCCTCCCTCCCTCTGTGGATGTATATGAGGTCAGAGAACGTCAGGCTCTTCACATGATCAACCCGACTGTATCCTCTAAAACAAAGAGGACATTCAGATCCATGAGAGTCCGGAGCTGCTCCACTAATTCAAAAACCATCGTCCAGATCATCTACGACCATCATCCATCATCAGTTTAAGAGTCTGAACATGTTTATACAACTTCAGAGTTTTTATTCTGAGAGTTAAGAACTAAAGAAGAAGTTTTCATGTTCACCAAAGTCTGAATGATCAGAAACACAATCTGAGGGACTTCAGAGAAAACACTCATTAAGATCAGACTCAGATTTTACATGGGCTTAAGTATTTCAGCTCTTTTACTGCTGAGGTAGTGTTAGGCGGTATGAACTAAATCTTATATCACAGTAATGGTATATATCACTGTATGTTTTTCCCTGTAAATTCAATTAATGTCTTAAAAATAACAATAATGTCTCATTTGTTCATTTTCTTTCATTTTTAAACTCTGATTTTTATACAGAGGAACGGAAAGAAGCCGGTGGAAATTGACACGTTAACTTGAATGGTTACGATAAGCTACGATCGGAGGATACGACCTTTTAATAGACGTTCAGGATAAGGTGGAAATTGGGGGTAACCCGACATCTGGACTGACTGTCCTCCTCTGATGTGAATCTGGAATCATGAATAAAAAAGGAGACACTTGTCTAAAGAGTGTTGCTTGTACATGTTTCTTCCTCTCATTTCCCGCATTTGTGTATTTTATTAATATTTCAGTAAATAAGCGTTGAGCAGAGTTAGTCCACAGGCCAGTTTCCATCTTCAGTCCCTGCACAGATGTCTGAACAGACTCCCTGAATAAAGAGATCTCCTTCCTGCTCCTTCTTCATGTGGATCACATCATGTGAAAGGAAGAACCGGGTTTCGTCAAATTCACCCACCTCCTTATCTAAAGGATTTTCACGCTCTTTTCTGCTCTTTCCTTCGCCCCGCTCGAGTCTGACCTCTTTAGACTCTGGTGGAAGTTTGTGCTGTGATGCTTCAGGACCTCATTAAACACAAGAGGACGAAACTCACAACAGGTCCACTTTGGAAAAATGCAGGTATGATCCCACAGCCCACAGCCATGTGTGTGGAGTGGGTTATTTCCACTGAAGTTTCCTCATGACTGAGAATCAGTTATCAGAAAAAAGAAACACACTTTTGATCGTTCTAAACGAGATCAGGGTCATGTGGCTCCAGAGGAGACCAGAGGAGAAATCTGCCTCTGTGGAGCATTCAGGGACAGTCTGAGACGGGGGACATGAGAGTTTCTGATGGAAGAGAATCTGAATATTAAAACGACCAGAGAAACACACAACAGTGCTGAACTCTAACACACACACACACACACACAGAGTTTTACAAAGACAGGGTGAATCAAAGGTGTGTGTGTGTGTGTGTGTGTCCTTCTCTCTTACCCTCGCAGGTGTCGTCCCCCTCTGACATCAGCTCGTCGTCAGAGCAGATGTTCAACACATTCACCAGCATCTCCGTCACTGTGTGCAAACACAACAACACACCAGAGTCACACACAGCTCCACAAAAAAACATAAACACAACATCACACCAGAGTCACACACAGCTCCACAAAAACACACAAACACAACATCACACCAGAGTCTCACACACACACACACACACACACACACACACACACACACACACACACACACACACACACACACACACACACACACACACACACACACACACACACAGAGTCATTAAAGGTCATCTAAAGATTTAACCCTTTATTTCTCTAACAGTTGTTTTTAATGTTCAGGAAAGATTTTAAAGTCATTTCAAATATTTTTATTTCTTTAATTAAAATTTTTTTAAACTGTTTTTAAATTCTTTTATTTTTAAAACAGTATAAATAATTATGGATTTAAAACAAAGTTGTTATTTTTTGAAATCTTTTTTTAACCTTTTCCTTTAACAAAAATTTTTAATCTTTTATAATGATTTATTATTTATTAACACATTTATTAGTAGAATTTGGCTTTGAATAAAGCATTTTTACTTACTGCCCATTTTTTCTTCTCATTGCTTTTATTTCTTTAAGTTTTAACATGTTTATTCTTTTTATTTCTTAGATCTAATTTTGGTTCAAACATTATTTATCTCTTTTAAATGTTTTTATTTCTAGAATTGTTCATAAAAATTAAATCTCGTTTTTAAACTGTTGACAATTGTCAGTATTTGTCAGTTGTTGGTATTTCCTATTTATTATGCAGATTTTTACTTCTCATTTTTTTAACCCTATATTTCTCTAACAGCTGTTTTTAATGCTCAGGAAAGCTTTTAAAGTTGTTCAAAAAAAATATTTCTTTTATCAAAAACATTTTTACTTTTTAAATTTTTTTTTCATTTCTAAAACAGTTCAAATTAATAATTATAGATTTTAAAAAGTTGTTTTTTGTCCTTTTTTAAAACTTTTTCCTCTAACAAAAATGTTTAATCTTCTGAAACGATTTATTATTACAACACTTTTCACTAATATATGGCTTTAAATATAGCATTTTTATTCACTGCCCATCTTCTTTGCTTTTATTATTTCTTAAGGTTTTAAAATGTTTTTTCCTTGTTTTTGTCCCTTTTTTATTTCTTAGATCTAACTTTGTTTCAAACATTAAATGTTTAAATGTTATTCTGCAGATTTTTACTTCTTTTTTTTTCTTTTAAGTCCTTTAATTTTCTTTTGAATTGTTGTATATTTTTTAATGGTCAATTTTTATCTTTTGTTCTGTACGGTTGATAATTGGTTTTGTTTCTAATACTTGGAGCCGTGTCTGTTGTTGATTTTGCCTTTATTTCTCAGAGTTTTTATTTCTTTCTCTCACAAACACAAACACGTTCAATGAACAGTCTGGCGGTAAACAGTTTATTTTCCAGTTTTATCGGATCGTAAAGCTCCTCTCATTGACAACAGCCTCACCTTTCTCTCCGACGAAGGGCAGAGACCAGGTGAAGACGTCCATGAAGTTGGGCAGCCAGTAGGGATGAGGGGAACAGTTAAACTGCCGGATGTTCATCACATTATTCTCATATTTCAGCACCGCAGCTGCACACAAAACACACGCGCGCGCGCACGCACACACACACACACACACACACACACACACACACACACACACACACACACACACACACACACACACACACACACACACACACACACACACATTAACATTTTCTTCTTCATTAGGCACTTCCTGTCTCCTGTTGCCAGGGCCTCAAGGTTTCTCTGCTGTTGCCATGGTTGCCGCCTCCCTCTCCTCTTACCTTTGTTATTGTACACATCCAGGTAGTTAGGAGCCGAGAAGATTGTGATTAAAGAAGGAAAGCCTGTCGTTTGACTTTTCCTGTACATTCGATACCTGGTGGACACAGAAACATTTCGGGGATAAGTCCACAAAGACGAAGGTCTGACCACAGAGAGCAGAAGATAACAGCAGGACAGTTGGAGGAGTGGAGCAGGTCTAAGGTTTGTTGTCAATCAGCTTCCTACTCCCCTGTCCTCAGTTTACAGAATTAATTAATAATCAATCATCAATGATTCTCAGTTTACAAGATCTTAAGCTGCACTTTAATTTTTGTTTGTATCTGAATGACGACAAAGATCTTCTCCACAGAAGGTCAGCTCTAAACTTTTTGACTCTAATACTTTATGGAACAGAAGTTGTTCTGGTTCCTTCTCTGTCTGTTTTGAGGACATTTGTCATTTTTTTCCTCTTTATTTTGAGCTGACAGTCACATTTTTAAAGATTGGAAAATCAAATTTGGTGAGAGTTCTTATTTTTCTTCATATTAAACAAAAAAAAAAAACTCTGTCACCTGTAGTTCTCTGTCACCACATTTTAGCTCCACCCACCCACCTTTGTCCACAAACTGGCCAATAGACTTCCATTAAAAACAGGTTTTTTGACTATGTGTTTATGGCACCATAACAACATATTACAACCTTCTTTTTGCAGTCAGTCGATCACCAGGGCTCTAAATTTGACTTTCCCTCAGTGATACAACAGATTGAGCCGGCACATAATTTTAACTGCTGATTCATCCACTAAACATCATCAGAAATGAATGAAACTTTACATGCCACTAGATACGAATGTCTAAGAGTGGGATATGTGTGTAAGTTAAAGATTATGCGCTCCTGCGTGTGTGTACGGTAAGGGTGTGGAAAATAATCTAAATTAATTGATGCATCGATGCGCATGTGCGCGATGCGACTGCGTCGGCTCATTCACTGGGTATCGATGCAATTGACAGGTTAAATCTAGATTCATCTAGATGCGTTGGTGGGTATCGGTAAAATCCGATGCAAGCGCCGTTTTATTCATGTTAAACTTCACCCCATCTGCTGTTCCCCTGGCGCATTGAATGCACCATCATTATTTCGCGTTTTGTATTGAATACGGACGAAAGCCGTGAGGGACATACAATGCACTACTAGTAAAACAGCATGGACCACATTCAAGTGAGTAGCATCGAGGAACAGTTTATATGTAATGCACCCGCTACGTTTAAATCATATGTTTGGAAACACTACGGATTTGCAAAGAAAGACGGAAAGCTCGACAAAACGGCCGTCATTTGCAAAGAATGCCGGGTTAAGAAGCCGTACAACGGCAGCACGACAAACATGCAGACCCACTTAAAAAGAGTACACCACATCACCGACAAGTCTAACGCCACCTCCCCTCCCTTAACATTGATTGCACTATTGAAAGTGTCACTTTAGGTTACTCATTGAGAGTGTTTTGTTGTTGCTGTTTACTGTACTTTTTACAACAGTAATTATTGTGTAATTGTTTTAGTCTTTTATTATTGCAGAACTCACTCAAATCACTGATTTTCAGTGGCCAGTTAGAAAGTCAACTCTAGCACATTGGTTTGGCAGACAGTAGTATGGCCATTGAATGGTTTATTTGCACCATGTTAGGCAGTGCATTAGTTGTTTAATAATGTGTACTGTAATATTACCCAACAAGTATAGAGCACTTGTGTGATGTAGGGTTGGGACTGGAATCCTTTTTTTATTTTTTATTTTTTATTTTATTGATTCAGATTCCTTAACAGTTGCAGGAGGTCTGTCTAATCTGTGTAACTGTACAAAATGGAACCCAAAGGAGCATAGAAAAAAGACAAAAAGCCCTTTTGTTGAATTAACTGCCAAGTGCCTTTAAGGAATAAAGCCAAATCATTTCTGTAGTACCGTACTGAATTCCATCTTTTATTTTTATTTCTTTTTTTTCTTTGCTTATTTGCATCATGTTGAATTGCATCATATCGCAACAAATTGCATCATATCGTATCGGATCACATTGATTTGAACTAAATGATTATCGTATCGTATCGCATCATGAAGAGGGTGAATCGTATCGCCAGAAAATTCCATGTATCGTTAAAGTATCGTATCGCTGGCAGTGCATCGAGATGCGTATCGAATCGTCCTCAGTGCTGAGATTCACACCCCTAGTGTACGGGTGCGAATCTGCATCCATGTTTATAACCGGGCATGCCGTGAGCGGGGTTTTTACAGTTGAAAATCGGACGTCCAAGTTCTGCAATGTGGGACAAAGAGATGGGGACATTTGGACAATTTCAACTTTGCCCTCACTTCAGAGCAATTGGATGGACATGCATGAGGATGAACAGGTCCTTCAGATCATTAGGTGAGAAGATATCACATCTCAGATATGCAGTTATTTTTTTTATATGCGCGTAATCAGCGTAATCAGCGTAATCAGCGTAATCAGCGTAATCACGGTCATATTTTGGTTGGAGGTGGATAACTTGTAAATGATTCCTATCTTACAAATATCCTCTGATTTTATATGCCCATATATACAATTAATTTATTATGAACAAATGAATTTGATCACATTTGATTTGGTAGAGGACGAGGCTCGAGAAAAGGTGGGAAAAATGGCATGATTTTCCGCTCCAATAGACTCAGTAGAACGCACAATAAATATGACATGGTGAACAAAAACTGGCATATAAAGGGAAATACATCGAATTTTCTATTCATCATTTTTTAATGGTTAGGGCTGAAGTTGTTTAAGAGATTTGAGTTGAAAAAGTAAAA